TACTTTGCTGGTGGTAAGCGAAAGTCGTTAAATGATCACATTTCAGCGTGTGATTTACTAAGAAATCGATACAGTTTATGTAACGAAAAAATATGAAGATCAACTTTAATCTTGTGTTATTAATCAGAGAATGCATGCCATCAATCACATACATAAACTGTGCTCTGTACACATTGTATTAAAAGTTTGTTGTTGCTGTGTTGTTCGTGTGTTTTATTTTTTAATGAGTCACTGAACATCTGTTGCATTAATATTCTAAGTTTAGTAAGTTCGATGTGGATTTGTAAGAATTTCATTTTAAATATTTAGCATCCGATTTTGCATAACGTTTGATTTTGTTACAAGGTAAATGGTTATATATGACCTACCTGTGGCATCTAGGTAACAAAATAAAAATGTGTGTGTGTGTCTGTCTGTCTGTCTGTGTTTCTGCGTGTCTGTGTGTGGCTATCAACACAGCATTGCTCCAGTAAATTCTAGAAAACAAATCAAATGCCCTAGACCTTTCATTTTCTTTACAACTACAAGAACTTAGTGGAGTATTATATAGACTTCCCAAAGGGAGATGCTTTTGACAGCCTTACTATAAAAACCTACCGTTTACATATGACTTTAACGGTATGTGCTTAGTCTTAGAGAAGAATAGTAAAACTGAGTTTTGTTGGGTTTTATAAAAAGTTGGGATTAAGAAATATATCATAATTTGGATAGCATATAAACTATAGATTATAAGTAACATTTTAAGTGTTATATAGATATATTAGGCACTGAATTGATAGACAGATAGAGAGAGACAGATAGATAGATAGATAGATAGATAGATAGATAGATACATAGATAGATAGATAGATAGATAGATAGATAGATAGATAGATACATACATACATAGACAGACAGGTAGACAGATAGATAGATAGATAGATAGATAGATAGATAGATAGATAGATAGATAGATAGATAGATAGATAGATAGATAGATAGATAGATAGATAGATAGAACATGCAAAGTTTGTACAGAAAATACAATGATAGATAAGACATATAATATTGGTAGATAAAATGGATAGATCTGGCATGTGAAAGATAGATGTAAAGAAAATGATATATCTATACAGAGCTATATTGCAATGTAGAGGGTAGAAATGATTTTAGATTCAGCAGTAAAGCCATGATCAGCACTATCTGCCCTCCACTTATTTGGTCTCAGATCATCTCATATGAACTTCGAATGAACTACCAGCTAGTTTCCTTTACATTAGCAGCACTGTGATCACTTAACCTTGTTCAGTGCTGGAAGCCTTTCAGTGTATACATTCCTTCCATAAAGAGTTAAATCTGCCATCAAAACAGAGGTAATAATCCTAAAATGTATATGACTTGTTTTTTTTATACTTGCTTTGATAGCTGCAGTCATTGGAACGTGTGCAACAGTTACCCAATGGAGCAGAAATTCTGGATACAATATATACTTTTCTTAATGAAGAGACTGGGTTGAAATTAGGTTTTCGTCAATCTGTATGCAAATTTTTAGTTATAACTTTATTCACTAAGCAGTGACTTCTTGTGAATCGAAAACTGATTTACAAACTTTAGGCCATTTGTTTACTTTTGTTTTGTTTGTTTTTCCCCTTTTCAGCTTTTGACTACTTTGGCCTTCATTTTAATATTAAGTTCTCAATTTACTTAAATTCGCTTTTTTAAATGCAGCCATGTTCTTATGATATCTATGTGGATATACTAACCAAGTACACGGTTATACATTCAAAGGTATGAAAAATAAATTATATTATAAATATTGATATAGATTATTCTAGATAGGTTTAGAAAGGTCGATAGATTGAGAGATAATAAATAGATACTTTCCTGTACTTGTACTTCAAAAATTTTTATTTTTCATTTATTTATCCAGTTAATCTTAAAATGTGCTCTACAAACAATGTCTTTCTTTTTACTTTAATCTAAAACATGTCGTTTTTGTGCTGCGAAACGTTGTTTATTTACACAGAAGCGACTTGAGAACCGACATTTCGCCCAATGAGAACTGAGGTGAAAACAAATGTTTGAACCTGAAAATTTAGGGGTCTGAAAAATAAAAAAAATTAAAACCTCCAGCTTTTAGTAAGTTGGATCAATATATTCAAATATAAGTATAAAAATAGAATAAATATAATTCTAAAAATAGAATGAATGCTAAAGTTTTGAAAACACTCTATAGCTTCTTTTTAAATATACAACTTTCACTGAACTACAATAAATCGGCTTTGAAAACTAAGAAAAAGGTGTGTACAAAAGCCCTTTTTACCATGCACCATAAACCATCAATTATGAGATCATAAATACTAGTTTGACTTCTGAAGGCTGAATGAGGAGTGTGCTCCTTAACTATTTCAAGGCCAGAGCCAGGGATATATCTACTTACATTGACATGACAACAGTCTTGAACTGATCATTCTATACTATCACATGATACTGGAATAATACATATATATATATATATATATATATATATATATATATATAACTGACATAATATAATAAATAGCTTACATAACTGACACCCTCATATTTTAGTACAATACTATAATATTTTATCCTGAATGCAAAATGGAAACACATTAAAATCGTGTTGTATAAACTTTTTCTGCATTTTCTATAGTACATACATATAGGTATTATGCTTCAGCTTTCTAAATTTGGAACATACCTTACTTATCCTGAACATATATCTATTACTGTATATAGGTTTAGTAAGGTAGGTACATAGGTATAACAAGGAAGTTTAAAATTTAGCTTTCTAAATTTTGAGCAGACCTTAACCTGAGCATATATATACATGTATTTTGAACAAACAAAGTCTATACAGACATATACATAGTATCCTTTAGCTTTCTATCTTTTGGACAGACTTTCAAAATTGTATATATATATATGTTCAGGATAAGATCTGTTCAAAATTTAGAAAGTTAGGATAATGAAGGATAACACCTACTATGTATGTACTATAGAAAATGCAGTGAAAGTCTATACAACATAGACTTTTACAGTTAAGTGGGTTTCCATTTTGGATTCAGTATAAAATAATATAGTATTGTACCTCTTAAATATGAGGGTGTAAGCTATTAAACTATGCAATGCTATGGGGTTATATTTAAATACTCAATGCAGCATTGGTTCTATGTAATATTTGGGACAGCTTAATAAAATAAGCATATATCTTTATAGATGAAGTATTTTATTTCTATAAGAATATCTGCATCTTATTGTTCAGTGATATAGAATTAAGCTAATGCAACGTGATTATAACATAGGACAGGGCACACCAATATGCTACATCTTAAACATACTTTAAAATGTTGTATACGTTATATGATCTGTTTAATAATTACTAGTGATATGTAAGTGTGAGATATAACATTTCTGCGAAATATTTCATAAAATCAAGAATCAAATCAGCATTACATATGGAATAAATGTAACTTCATTATTATTATTAATATAAAATGGAATATATTATAAGACGATAAATATTTAATAAGATGCAATACAATAGATTAGAATATATCCTAAGGATATTTAAAATACTGATGTGAGTTAATTTAACTTATTGTACAGGTAACATACTATGTGAATGTTACGATAGAGCAAACATAAGAAATAATTAAGACGTTAAAAATTCAGGACAGGGTAATATTTTATATACTGCTCTCTGCATTTATAGTATTGTCGGCCCATTGAACAGCGCTACTGAATTTGTTGGCGCCATATAAATAATAAAATAATAATAATAATAATAATCTATACTGTGTTACATTTTGCGTTAATGATTTAAATGTTTTTATCATGTGTTGAGCATCAAACAGAGCAGGCAAAGGTTATATAAATAACTTAATATATAGTATCTATTTAATGACAGCTTATAAAAACTTTATTGGCTATTCTTATAAAAGAGCAACATTAAGACTCTTACGTAATTTTATATGCTAACTTGCAGAACAAGCACTGCTTTATATACTTTTATCCTTACTAAATACGTTTTTGCAGTATTTTGTTTATAATATTTTAAAATTTGTGACTACTGATACTTTATTGCCCATTATATCTAAATATTTGCAAAGCAATCTAGTATGTTGGTTGTATGAAACTATATATATTTAGTAGATATTTAAAATTGTATAACTATAAAATTGTAAAAATTTAAAAAAAAACTATATATATTGCAGATATTTACAATTTAGACATTGTAATAATATCTATCAGGTGTGTGTGTGTGTGTGTGTGTGTGTGTGTGTAGTCAGACATACTGCTAGAAAGATATATTTATGTGATATATAATGTGATATATTTTGTAGTGATGCAGGATTAGGCGTGTGTAATTCCCCTTTAACTCTTATTCAGGCTAGGGATATACACTGTGCCATATTTTCATCTTGCCTGTTAAATGAAGTATTTATAGCATTTCTGTCTGCAGAGTGTGCAATGTAATTTATAGGGATGCTTTATGAAGTCTGTGTAAAACAAGCAACAGCAGAGCAGGTAAAGGGTTATTATCTAATAGATGTTAATGCAGGATACACACACTGTAACCTATTCTACATTAAGTCCCAGCACTTGCTAGATCTGTCATTAATTAGGAATTTAATTCCATCTCTCTTGTTGCTAGAAAAATGGAAGATATATTTCTACTTTGTGTCTTGTATTACTGTGTCTGCGTTTAGGCTTTTATTATTCCTTCAATTTCCCCCTGATTTTCACTTACCTCTCATTTAATAAGACTATATTTGAGAGGGCTGGAAGAGAGGGGGGAGGAAAGACAGATTATATCAATATTGTATTAATACCTTCCACCCCTCTCATACCGTGTTCTGTACAGTCTGCTACACATAAAGCTCACTCCATTAACTGTTGAATATATTGTCACATTAAAGAGTAAGCTCAGCTGTGATGGCAGAGCAGAGCAGCTCTCTCTAGACGTCTAGGTCTGCAGGGTCACTAGAAGGCACCACTACCTGCAGCCTGCGTTGTGAGACCCCCACGTTCCTATGTATTGGCTGAGGAGGGGGTGCTGGTCGGATCTCAGGCGTGTACCAAGCCTCATCCACATAAAACAATGGCTCCTTGCTATCAATGCTGACAGCTCTGTGCGGCCCCTCCGATTGATTAATGTCCCTCTGACGCTTTATCAAGCACACGGATAAAGTTTGACCAATCATTTGCCAGGAGCTCACAAGGCAGCAGCCCAAGTGTACTTTGTTGGATAGGAAGTTGGGGAGGATTGAGAATCTGTGAGCTGCCTCTGTCCCCAGATCTTCTTCCAGTCAATGAACCTGCTGTGTATGATGTCCAAGAATGTCCATTTCTGGAACTCTCAGTAACTACTTTGTGGAATCTATCATAAGCCCTGAGAGTGAGGAGTCTCCTCCAGCACCTAAATTCTCTGGCCAGTACCCCAGTCCCAGGTCAGCAGGACACTCAGACACCCTGGACTTCCCTTCCTGTAGTTTCCAGCCCAAACCTGTATTCAGCACATCCTGGACCCCCCTGAACCCACACAGCTCTGCTCCCCTACCTTCTGTCTACCACCCCTACATCCAGCAAGGAGGTCCTACTTCTGAGACCAGGTACTTACGGGGCTGGCTGGAGCCACTGCCCAGGGCAGAGACTGGAGCAGGACAAGGGACTGTAAAAGCCGAACCGTTGCTGGGGCACCCGGGGGACCTGCAGAAACTAGGAGCCCAAGAGTACACTTTAGAAACAGCGGCTGCAAGAGAAGAGCCTAATGAGAGGCCCACTTATCAGGGCAATAAAGGGTGTGAAGAAAGCGAAGTCAAAGACAGGACACATCAAAGTAAGTTATAACGCAAGGAAGTGAAACACAATACAGCTTTGGCAGAGCAATAAAAATACAGGGTGCAGGCTAGGGGAGAGCTGAGGTCCAGCTCAGAGGTGGAGAAGATACTACAAATCTCAGAGATACTGACAATATACAACAGCTTAGTATAGATAGAACGGAACTCCAGGAAATCTAAATACAGTAAAAACTAAACATTCTAATGTATCCAACACACACATACACAGCACAGTGGAAACAGACAACACAGCTTAACATACAGTAACACAATACACAATGGTTGAGCTTAAACATATATTCATATATCAATGGTGTATATCAAGCTATACCGGAGTCTTAACCACAAATTTTGAAAAATATATCTAGTTATATGTATTAAATTGGCAAGTAATAATTGTCTGGGCCTTAGATTCTCTATCCTTTCATCAGCTAGGACAATAGATGCTGTTATAAATGATATGTAATGCTATGAGTATTAATAAACTCAGAACAGCCACATTTAATGTCACCTTAAATGTGTATTTTAATGTATTGCATATTGCAATTTTTTATGTAACTCTAAAAATATTAAGTCACAGTTGTAATGACCAGTAAAGCACTTTACTTTGATGAATGTTGATATTATGCATTTAACTTAAACCGTACTGTAAAGACATTATATTTCACTATACTGGGCAGGAATCCAAAACAAACTCCACTATAGACATAAGGATTTAATGTGAGAGATGCAGGCTGTGTACTTAACACCCATTTCGAAAGAGAAGAGTTGAAAATAATTCTTTTCAAAACTGTATTATGTCTTTTTGGTGATTTGTTCGAAGCTTTTTTTTTTTTTTTTCAATTATGACTTCTGTCACAAAACAGGTTTCTTTTCATTTTTTTCTTGCTGTTTTTATGGTTTTTTTTTTTCATTTTTATTTATTTTTTTATTATTTATTTATTTTTATTTATTTATTATTTATTATTTTTGTGGTGCGTTCAAGTTATATTTTCTGCTTATATTGCTGTGTAACATAATACCTTATATTACAATAAATCTCACTGATCACGATTCAAAGCGACCCGTGTTCTAGAGATTTATCCACATTACTGACAGTCAAAAATTAGGACTGGAAAATGCAATCTATTTCCTCTTTTTTTTTTTTTTCAAGCGTGTCTATTTAAATTGTATAAAGTGGACAAAGCAGAATGAATTGAGTCAACTGCTAATTAAGAAAATATTTGCAGAAAATAAAAACCCACAGTCTGCAATCTTGATAAGAAGTCGTATTAACTGTATTAATTATTAACCGATTTAATTATCTTTAATATTTAATTTCCCTGAAAATTATGTTTAGTCTGGAGAAAGGGAGATACGATCTAAAGGCAGAAAGTTACACGGGGGAAGGCAGAGCACCGATCACATATTAGCATGTATTTTTTATTAGCTCAATGTACATTGTCTGTGCTTTAATCACAATGACTAATCCATTTTGAACTGTGCGGTCGTCTAAACAAATACATGTCAAGTTCGTATCTGTACAATAATAAACCCAATCCCTTGTAGTTTCAGCACCTGCACAGTGACTCGAGTGTATATTAAAATGGAATTTTACGTATTATTCATAAGAATAAATTCAAACATTCCTAAGAGATTGTTAACCATCTTTAACAACTGAACAAGTGTTCTTCACTGTTAAAAAAAGACATCATCATCTAGCAAAGGCTGAGCAAATATAATGAGCAATATAGAGTTAACAATGGTTAATTATATATGTATGGAATATTGTGTAACAACTTTATATGTATATATCTGTGTTAGACAGACAAACAGACAGACAGACAGACAGATAGACAGACAGACAGACAGACAGATAGATAGATATATAAATAGTTTAATAAGTGTTGTTATTGCTTCATTTAAATACAATGTCTATATAAGTGGCTATCATATGCAGCTGGTTTTTTTTTTCGTGATATAAAATATTGATCATTTAATGTCTGTTCTTGTACTATTTTTCAGCGAATCCTTCCGCTAACTGGCTACATGCGCGGTCTTCCAGGAAAAAGAGGTGTCCTTATACCAAATACCAAACTCTGGAGCTGGAGAAGGAGTTTCTGTTCAACATGTACCTGACCAGGGACAGGAGACACGAGGTGGCCAGGCTGCTTAACCTGAGTGAGAGACAGGTCAAAATCTGGTTTCAGAACAGAAGGATGAAAATGAAGAAACTGAACAAAGAGCAGGGGAAAGACTGAGACCCCCAGGACCCCTCAAATCCCCCCTTCCCCTCAACACACACACTGCACCTGCTCCCTATTTATGGCTCCAAGACAGGACAGGTCTCATTAAACTAACATTGGACTTTCCACATTGTGCATGGCATATCATATCTATAACCAATACTCATTCCAAAGCCATCCATAGTATGACCAGTAGGACACATTCGGAGACCCTGTCTGTTCCTGTATGTGCTGTTCTGTGCTTTATTAAATTATCCTCCTGATGTTTTTTACAACTGTTTATCTGCAAGCTTTGGACAGTGAATGTGTGACATATTGGAAGGTGGGTGAAGCCTATGGGTGCTACAATGTCTACCTAAGGAATGGGTGGACAAGATGGACTGGGGACCAAGAGGAGTAAGGAAGCAGCTCCTTGGAGTTTACATGTTTAAATGGTTAAATAAAGTTGCCCACACCAATAATCTGTGCCATGTATTGATACCCAAAATTCAGCAATGCCATAAAACACTAATGAAGTATATATATATATATACACTTGGAAACCAGCAATTTCACTTTTTTAACAGTCTACTGAGCCCTCAAATTATAACTAAAAGCACACTGGATGTTCTCACTTTGCTAAAATAGTTTTTTAGAAAATTGTAAGAAATGAAAAAAAAATACATTTTCTAGTTGAATAAAATAGAAGAGATCGCTGAATGTATTGCTAGGAGTAGCTATTTATAATTTATTGTGTTTATAGATTTCTGTTATTGTGCAAAGTAAAGTGTTTTGTTAATAATTCCCCTTGTTTGTGTGGGAAGCTTTATACTTGACATGTGTATGTTATATTGTAGCTAATCGGCTATATATTTCCGTTTTTGTTTTTTTTGTTTCAAACTGTTTACAATTTGAGAGGAAGAATTTGTATTTCATGCTGTTGTGATTATTTTCCAAAAGTGTTATTAAATAAGTGACAATGTTCACCAGTTCTCAATCTTGAATCTTCTTTTCGATCAAATGGTTATCATCTACTACAATATATATGATAAACTGTCATTAAAAGTTACATATTTAGTCTTAAAAACCTCGATTTTAGTTAGATAGACAGACAGACAGACAGACAGACAGATAGACAGACAGACGACAGACAGATAGATAGACAGACAGACAGACAGACAGATAGACAGACAGATAGATAGATAGATAGATAGACCTATCCTATAGACTGTAAGCTCCTTTGAGCAGGGTCCTCTTCAACCTATCGTTCCTGTAAGTTTTCTTGTAATTGTCCTATTTGTAGTTAAATCCCCCCTCTCATAATATTGTAAAGCGCTACGGAATCTGTTGGCGCTATATAAATGGCAATAATAATAAATAATAATATATAGACAGACAGACAGATAGATAGATAGATATTTTTTAAATTACTTTTATTTTTTTCTGAATGATAAAGTAAGGGAAACAAACGTTATGTGTGTGTATTTTAATTCTACAATTCATAAACATTATTAATGGTTTAAGTGAAAATATGCAAATATTGGTCCAATTTTAAATTAAATACTCAAACATCCCATTTTCCTTCCTTTCTTATTTTATTTTATTTTTATGAACATTTGCAATGGATGATAAAAGAATGCGATTTATAGCTTCTATCTGATTTTGTTCACTATCTCAGCTGTCATTAAATAAACACAAGCAACATGACTCATTTTAATATTTTATTTCCAAACCACATTACTTTATTTCCAAACCACATTATTTATCCACAAACGTAAAATAAGCATACAGGGATCTGGGGGGGAGGGGAGTATTGTTTGTATGTTTGTGTGTGGGTGGGTGGGGGGGTTCTGCTTGTTCTTTTTTCTGACCATTTGCATACTTCTTTCGTAAAACAAAGAGAAATGAAATGGTCATAAAAGGAGAATTTCGTTTAGTGTTCACCCATAAAACAATACAGCTGCTGTAAAAGTTTATGGCAACGATGTAAGGAGAGCTGTGAGGAAGTTTTGTGTGTGTGTGTAAAGGATTGGGTCCTGGACACACCATGTAAAATAGCTTTCAACAGTTCACACAAAATATATGTTTAGACAGAAGGAAGCTGAGAAATTCACACTAGGTTTTTTTTTTTACCCCTTTCAGAAGCCTTGGAAACTCCTCTATGGGAATAAATGTCTTTGTTCTTTTTTTTAAGCAATTCCAGGCTACGAGTATCCAAGTCATAAACTTGGAAGGAACAGATCTCTGGCGAGACGTCTGGAATTGAATTTTCTTTATCAGTATTCAGCCAAAAAGACAAAAAAAAGTATCTGATCCCTTTACAGCCAGATAGCTCAGTATTCAAACTGCACATCAGATCATTTTCTAAGGAACTATTTGTATATTTGTAGTTACCCAGGGTTTTAAGTATCTTTCCAGAGGTTTTGATGCTAACTCTCTCTCTCTCTCTCTCTTTTAATTCTTTGGAAATAAACCAGCACTATAAATGCACCAGTTACTTCGCATAATAAAAAAAGTTTGCTCGCTTTCATTAACTGGATCCTAAGGCTATTCCAGTAACAGACGCTAGGTGACGCTGTTGGTCTATCATTCCAATTCGAATCCTCATTACCTCTGTAAAAAGAGCTTAAAACACACAAGTTCCCCTTAAAGATGTTTTTTTTTTTTTTTAATAATGCCTTTTTTTCCTTACGTCCTTTACATCAGATATCTAGAAAAAAAAATGTTTGAAAAAAGACAGTGATCTTTAAATGTGATTTTAGCAAATTATTCAGCTTTATAATGTTATAAAACAATTTAGGTTTCTAACAATCAGTATATTGAACAATAAAAATATTGGGGTAACAAAACTCAGAATATCACTGGTTTAGTCCCCTTACTTCTGAGTCCCCTTTATAGACACATATATACCGAGTCTTATAAAAAGAAGGGATTATGCAGTTATCAAGGGATTTGCAACTAATGGTCTCCTAAGTGTAGCTCTTTCTTTAATCAACATACAAAGTATTTATTTAAACATAATACTCATAGGATGCAATTGATAGGTCTATTCACTAAATGTGAGATGTCAACAAATATGACATTTTTAGATTATAATCATAGAGTTAGAGAAATAATCATCAGTTCGGCTGAATTCGACAATTGTTCAATCTCTTTCATTCTGGCCTACATTTTGGCGAATTGTTATAAACTCGCAACTCTTCGCTATTTAGTGAATAAATCTCTTTAAGAGCTAGAACTACATGTGATGAAGTTTTCACACATTAATATTGGTTGATTTATAAACTGAATGTCTATAGTTTTAAATGCACTTAACAATACTAGAGTGGCCAAGCGGTGTTCATTTAATATCACATAGCAAAATAATAACAAAGTAACGTATTCTAACATTCTATAAAAGTGGGACTTTACAATTTATTACAGTTCACGTAAAGTAAACAATAACATTATTTTACACGTTGTACAGATGAATCCCTTTACCAATACCTCCAGCGAAGAAACAGATTGCTAAAGACAGACTTATACATAGAGAAAGAAACTTTTTCGTATTTTATTTTTATGATCATTATTGTATTTTATATACACAATCCCTGGATCCTTGTTTTTCCATTATTTCAAAAGTAATAATGAATTATTTATACAGGAAGTCTAGCTATAGATCTACACACATACATTTATAGATTAGTATATATGTGATTGTGTACATTGTGTATATGTGCGTATATACATACGCATGCACACACTCACACACTTGCATTTGCAATACAATAAACTAGAAACTATTCACAATGTGCTCCACTGATCACACCCATTAAAATGTTTGAAAACCATTACATATCCCCATATCAATAAATACGCATTGCTGGCGAATTGTTCCGAGGTTTACAAACACCAACAACATGCGGTTTATGGATAGACACAGATGTACTCTGATTTCTAACTCTGAGGCGTTTATATACTAAGGAGGGGGGTTTATTATTATTATTATTATTATTAGTTTATATTTTTAGACCACAATGGCCAAATTGGAAAAAAAAATGATGTTTTTAATCTAGAACATCTCTTTGGCCTGACATTTCCAATTCCATTTTAAATTCGCCACAATATACTGTTTTGACATAAACGCCCTATTTGTTAACACTCAGGCTATTAGATATATATATATATATATATATATATATACAGAAAACTCACAATGCAAAATTGACAACATATATAGCAACATATTTTAAGTGTGTGTATGTATGTGTGTGTATTTATGTGTGTGTGTGTGTGTGTGTAAGTATGTGTATTTATGTGTGTGTGTATGTGTGTGTATTTATGTGTGTGTGTATATGTATATATATATATATATAAGATGCCAAAATACCAGAGTATTGCAGTATATATATATATATATATATATATATATATATATATATATATATATATATATACAGATATACACACACACAGTTTTATAAATACTATACATGCAAAAAATACAGGTTTTTTTATGCCACTACTGAAAAGCCATGCAAATCTTGGTAGGTATAATACACAGTTCTTGTCCTAGTATATACAATTGTAACTGAATCTCAGTGCTGTTGGTTAGTATATATAACGTGTGTATATACTTGTGTGTGACTGATCTGCTTTAAAACCAAAATCCCCTCCTTTTCAAATCTTGTTGGATCTTTCCCTTATTCCATTATTCCATTTTATGTATTATTGATAAGCAGCCTATTCTGATCTCAAGCCCTGTTTATATGGCATAGACTTTTAATATCAATAAGATATAGCATTTGGCCTTCCTTATTGCACATCACACATACAGAAAGAATGGCTTCGTTGTCCAAATCACTTTTCACACAGTGCTCCCCTAGTTTGCAGAAGGACCTCTGTTTTCTCCCTAAAATTAACCCTTTGTGCGTTTAAACCCTGTGGAAGTCTTTACAAGAAAAATGAAGAGGCGCCAACAGTGGGCGCAGTGCAGTACACAGAGGGCAATCATTACATGCCAATTATTTTATATTCCTCATTGTTTCTATTTATATTGCTGATGTGGAACGAAAACGATTCGTGCAGTATGCTAGAATTCTGCTAGAATGATCTCTGTGCTCTGATTGAGAAAGCACCAACATCCACAGGAGCAGATATCAGCATAATATCGCTCGTGTGTAAGTCTTTTGGTTGCTCAATTTTTTTTCCAAAGACTTTCCAGAAGTCAGATCCTTCAAAAAAAAGAGGAGAGAATGAAAAAAAATAGAAAGTGAGAATGAATAGAAAAAAAAAAAAGAGTGTTATTTTGAAAACAATAATTATTTTAATTCAGTATCGACACTTGCAGCATCTTGCAGTAATGTGAATGCTCCAATCTAAGCCTCTACTTTATTGCAGTAAGTTAAGGCTCTGCCATAAACTGCTAACAGCTTTTATATGTTGCGGTATAAACAACATCAACATACCGGTTTTATAGCATTTTATAGTTTGCTAAACACTTTACAGCCCTTTTTTTTGGCGATTACAAACGCCATTCCTTTCATTTGAATAGTTAAACCTTTATCAATAATAGGGAAAATTGATCATTAAAATGTTAAATATGACTGCCTCGTTTGTTTTAAAATATGTTTAGCCTGAGAAACTGTATGATTTGATAACTTGTATTAAAATACCAATTACATTTATTGGAGTTTTAAAAAACTAGTGTGCAATTAATTCGTGTACTTTTACAGTTTCCTAAACCGACCCTGACATTTAGAAAGGCTAAAACTGCCTCGTTAAATTTTTTGTGAAATTAACGACTAAATGTCCCTCTCTTTAATTTCTAACACTCCCCAAAAATCAATCTTTGGGTGGGCTAGGTAGGTGATTTGTTGTGGATGGGAGATATCTCATTAGTGGATGTAGTTAAACATATTTAATTCTTATATTCTATCCAGCTTCTCCCCCTCTTGAGCTGAGCTATTTTATTCTCTGAATCTCTCCCCCTCTCTCCCAATTCTGAGCACAGTCCGTGTGGATCACAGGAAGCCAATAGGATGAAAGCTTTGCTAATAGATGCAAATGCTTCTGAAAAGACACTGCAAAATATGAAACAACTCATTTGCTACGAAGTAAATCACAGAAACTGTTTATGAACTGGCATCCCTTCTTGGAAATGTAAAGCGAGAACTCTTTAAGTGGTTTATTTTTTTTTTTTATTTATTTAAAAAAAAAAATTCCCCCCCACCCCACCAAAAAAAAACCCCAACAAAAAAAAAAAAACAGGGATGTAATATCATCCAGACATAGACTTTTTTGATTGTGACTTCTATTATATTCCTGGAAATCACAGCACATCAGCCAGCATCTTAGACTCTTCTCTTCTTGTCTGGGTTTTTTTTTTTTTTTTTTTTTAGAAAAACAAAAACAAACAACAAACAACAACAACAACAACAAAAAAGACATTAAAATGAGCTCTTATTTTGTCAATTCACTCTTCTCCAAATACAAAACAGGGGAGTCTTTGCGCCCCAATTACTATGATTGTGGGTTTGCTCAGGACCTAGGAGGCAGACCCACTGTGGTGTATGGACCTAGTGCTGGTGGAACCTTTCAACACCCTTCTCAAATTCAGGAGTTTTACCATGGAACGTCCTCCCTCTCCTCTCCTCCTTACCAGCAGAATCCTTGCGCTGTGACCTGCCATGGGGACCCAGCAAGCTTCTATGGATATGAACCTTTGCAAAGACAGAGCCTCTTCAGCACCCAAGAGTCTGACATAGTACAATACACTGACTGCAAGCTAGCCTCTTCTGGCCTCGGGGAGGAAGCTGAAAGCTCTGAGCAGAGTCCTTCTCCAAGTCAGCTCTTCCCATGGATGAGACCACAAGGTGAGGCAAAGTGAGAATGGAATCCGATAAAACTGACCCTGGCCACTTTCACTGCTTAATGATGGCTCTTAACTTGTGCACTTGTGAATTGCTTTATAGTTTAATTGCCTGGATGAAGGTTTACACCTTCCTTTTTCCCCGTTAACTGCTGATGCTTCCCCAGGCATTATACACCCTAATTTCCCCCTACCAGCCCCTCTTGTTTTTTTGTAACCAGGGATTTGATTGTTTTATGGCTTTGGTAGGGGGATATCTTATTTTATTTATTTTACTTAACCCTTTCTACGTTTTATGTGTGTCCACTAAACCCCTCTTTTGCCCCCCACTCCTTCACCATTATTTTTTTGTTTGTTTGTTTGTTTGTTTTATTGTCTATCTTTTCATCCAATTTATTCTTCACCTCCTTTTATGTTTTGTGATCTCCAGCAGCTGCTGGTCGCAGGAGAGGGAGGCAGACCTACAGCCGATACCAGACCTTAGAATTGGAGAAAGAATTTCTCTTCAACCCATATCTGACCCGCAAGAGGCGCATCGAGGTGTCTCACGCCCTGGGACTCACTGAGAGACAAGTCAAAATCTGGTTCCAGAACAGGAGGATGAAATGGAAAAAGGAGAACAACAAGGACAAGTTTCCTAGCAGCAAATGCGAGCAGGAGGAATTAGAGAAACAGAAAATGGAGAGAGCACAGGACACAGAGGAAGGCTTAGATGGACAAAAGGGAGAAAAAAGTAATTAATCTGGACTTGTGAGTCAACACAGAATGTCTCTCTGATTTTCCCAGCTTCCATGAAACGTTCTAGGAGAAGGACACAGTGTGGCTACCCTAGATCTGGCTGTACCCTTTCTCTGTATCCCATCTTATTTGATACATAAATTACCAGAAGCCCCCCCATAAGACCAGTAAAGGCTGCTGTTGTCTTTTTCCTTTCCCAGTGGTGGGGTGGATCAGGCTGGCTGGCTGGGGGGGGGGATGACTTTTTAGTGTTTGTGTCTAATGCAATAGCTTTTTGTGGAATCATACCTATGATCGGGGCAATTGTTTGGTTGGGGGGTGGGGGGGTAAAACGTTTGCTATAGAAGTTTTGTGTGCACTATTCTGTTTGTGGTCTACTGTATTTCTTTATATATATAAAAAAAAAAAAGGAGAAAAAAAAAGAAGCCAACAACATGAAACTGCCTAATTGAGATGTAGTTCCCTCTCTAACACAGTGCTAGATCACCCCCTCCCCACCCACCACCACCACCTTTGTGTTTCCCCATCAGAAACCCCATTCCCCTGTGTCTTTGCCAAGATTTGTTTTAGCATGCTCGCAGTTGTGATATTAGGGTTTTACTGTGAAACAGACTGTGTATTGTATACGTGAATACCTTTGTTTTGTTTGTTGTTTTTGATTGTTTTTGTTTTGTTTTTTTTCTTTTAATGAGGGATAGGGAGGGGTTAATTCTTCTATTTTATTGTTCTACACACTATGTTCTATTGTCTAAACATGGAAGCGTTGGAGGATGAGTTACAATAAAGTTTACAAGAGGGAGTCCGTGACATCATGACTATTTGGCTTCCTCTGTTGTGGCTGGGGGTAGAAGGAAAATGAAAAAGATATTTGTGTCAGTTTTCAGGCTTTCGCTGGTTGAGAAAAAAAAAGCCACAGACACAGTAGAAGGCGTGTTATGGTGGGGGGAGAGATCCTGGCAAAGGAAATGAAAGCAAAAAAAAAAAAAAAGGTGGGGAGTATTTCTCTTTAAAAAAAAGGAACAAAAAATAAAAAAAACATGTCTTATTCTCAAAGGATCATCTGGGAGCTCTCTGTGTTGTGGACTCTTTGCAAGTCACCCAGGTAACCACTTTTTCAAACTATTCTGACATAGATGTAGCTAATGTGCGTTTAGATAGATATGCTGTGTATATTGTAGTTTTTATGTGGCATAGATGGTATAGCTTTTCAAATATGCTTGAAATTGGTTTGCAGACCTCTGTTCTAGCTGAAAATCCTCCTGGGATCTCAGGGGTTAAACTCAATATAGTACATGGCATAAAGTGAATATGGGTTATGGAATATGTCAGTCCCCTTAGGGGGTGGGTGTTAGATTTAGGGTTTAATCGTGAGCCATGTATTGTTGCTAACACAATTTGAGCCCAGTCCTAGCAGTATTTATAGATCTCTGCCAGTTGCAGTTTGAGAGCAATTTCAGAGCTTAGTAAGAACATGCAATCACAGCTAAAAGGTACAATTCTTTCCTGACTGCATGTTTTTGGACTCTCTGTGGTTATTAACCGACCAGAGTCTGAAAGTATCCATTAATAACTATGGCACACATAGTGAAATCTCTTTGAACGCAGACAGAAACGTTAGAGCAAATCAATACACAAATAAATAGGTTTCAGTTTTTCTTTTTTTTTTTTCTTTCAGTCTGAGAAGTGGCCACTAACTCGCTTTTTTTTCTATTTTCTATTTGCAAACCTTTTTTTTTTCCTCGTCTGAAACAGATTAAAGCTCACTTATCGACTACACTGTAGTTTCACCTTTATAACATAGATCTTAGAAGGTTAGATCACATCAAATATTTATCATATTTTATAAATCCAGCTGTAGAGATTTTTTTTCCACATTACAGGAGCTGTGGGAAGCTGGGTTTGCATTGGGTGGAGGAAAATCACGTGCTGCACAGTCACATGGTCAGGGAGGAAAAAGGGGGTCCTTTTTGGTGTAAATCTGGACTCTAATTCTGTAATATATCACGGTACCTCGTAAAACCGACACTAAAACGTCCCGGCCTACAAATCATCCGGCCGAATTATGAGTTCATTGTATTATGCGAATGCTTTATTCTCTAAATATCAAACTGCAAGTTCTGTTTTCCCATCCGGGGTTTTCCCAGAGCAAACTTCATGCGCCTTTGCATCCAACACTCAGCGCTCTGGCTATGGGTCCAGCTCCAGCTCTTCCTTCCCAGGGTCAATGCCTGGGATGTACAGCAATGGGACCCCCCTGCACCCCCAGAGCCCAGCCATATATCCCTCCAGCTATGGGCTGGACCCTGCCTCCTTCAACATGCACTGCTCTCCCTTTGATCAAAACCTCTCCCTAATGTGCCCCAGTGACTCTTCCAAGCAGACCTGCACCAAGGCTGAGCAGAGGGACCTGGATCTGCAGAATGAGAGCAACTACAGAATTTACCCCTGGATGAGGAGCACAGGTAAGAAGGAAAGTGTGGTGGGTAGAAGAGGGTAGCTAGGGGATTAAAATAAAGTACTATCTGACCCATGGGGATAATCCAGCCAGCGTTCTATCACTTCACAGGGAAGAGATGTGAGCTTGTTTTAGTTAGAACGTTAGAATGTTACAATTTTAGAATATGAAATGTTGCACTGTGGGGATGGGACTGGAGCTTGTTATAGCAAGACTTGCTTACATTATGGCTTGGGAAAGTATGGATTATCCAGAAGCCCTGGGATCGTGTGAGGGTATAATGCTTCTCTCCATGACTGGAATTGGAGTTTACAAGCAAACACGATGGCAACCATAAACCTACAGCTAAACAGCTATGCAAATAGGAGAGATGGATGATACATAGCTCCTGTGAGGTGGGAGAGCGCTGTATTTACTGGGATATGTCACTTCGGTAAATGTGCAATAAGCGACTGACAGGGAGAATTACATTAATACAATACACTGACTGTATATTACCGTCGGGGAGCTGCGAGCTGGGAGATCCGGGAGCTCTGAGCTGCGACAGTAACAGTCATATCCTCTATATATCGCTAATGTAACCCTGCATTTAATCACACACGCTTCCCATCGCTAGATCGCCTCTTATGTGTCTCTGTGTTACCATTTCTCTCTTTCTCTCGATATATCTGTCAATATGTCTATAGCTATCTATCTTTTTCTCTGATAATCAGTACTAATCTGACAATAGACTGAGCTTTGTATGGTAAAGGCATTTTGTCACTTGTCTATTTTCTGGCATAATTTATCTATAGATTGTATAAATATTTATCTATCTATCTATCTATCTATCTCTATCAATCTATCTATATATCTATCTATCTATATATATATGTCTATCTCTCTCTCTCTCTATCTAGCTATCTATCTATCTATCTTCTATTTCTCTATTTCTCTGTCTATCTGTCTATCTATCTATCTATCTATATGTTCTAGTCCATCCATCCATTCATATATTTTATTAAATATCCCCCTCTATTTAGATGCGTAGCTATAAAACGTTTATTTTAGTCATGGATATAATAAAAGACGTCACACATAGCAAACTTTTGTTAAAGCTCACATTGATATTTGTTTTGCCATTTATAATGAACTCCGTTGCACTCGGGCTCAGCACATTGCATTTTAATCTCACCCTAGAAAGCTGATGCTTTTCTCGTTTTTTTTTCTCATCATTTCTTTTATTGCTTTTATCGTTTCATCTTCAGATGTACTTTACTCGGAGTACTTTGAAAGATGAAATTAAATGGCTGTTGCTAAATTTAGAGACTTAATGGCTGTTAGATGCGAGTCTGCAAATTGTATCAACCTGTAATGTTTATTTATAAAGCTTCTGGAGGCTCGGTCTGGACACGCTATGTGTGTGAATCTTTGTTTATATTGAATCCCTTCTGATCAATGCCTGTGTACATTTCTACATGTTAGGCTATATATACCCAGGACATACTTGAAAACGAGAGAAATCTCAGTGTATCCATCCTGGTAAAATATTTTATAAATAAATCATAAAGATATATATTTACACATACACACATAGCAAGGAGCCAGGCAATCAAGGTTGAAAATATGATGTCCCAGAGTCTTCTACAGCCAATACATTGAACATTAATAAGCAGTACCTGTATATATAAAATATATTAGAATCATTTCTGGCTAGGCCTTGGGAGATACAGCATTTTGCCCATTATATTGGGTTCTTAAAGACTGTATTGAGTCTACAATGTAGAGATCTTCTCCTCTGAGAAACTGGCTCCTAGATATCGCTGGACTAATGTCAGTTGATTCATATAATTTTCCTTTCATTGAGTTATGAGCGTTTCACTAACACCCAGTAAAGATAAATACACGTTGCATTAAATAAACTCTACATACACGAGAAATAATGACTTTACACCCACAACATAGACTTGCGGTTTCCTTCTGACCATCAAAACATTCCGAATAGAACATTTCTAGTAACTGTTGTCACATTCGAACCCCACAGCATTAGTTATATGGTTACTAAGTGCCCCCCAAGAACACTAGAGCTCTATGTCTGGTAATATATTGCTTAACAAAACCCATAGAAGTGAATATATGGCTACTTATTGCTCCTCAGAACATCCCAAGAACATAATATCGTGTAACCGATTGCCACTAAAGACCACTATTTCTCCATATTGTGGTTTATCCTCTAAACAGCGACCTGCTCTAAATTGCAAAACTGGATTTGCAAAATGTATGTTAAAACAGTGAAGTTCTAGAAATATCTCCATGAGAACGGATTTGGAGTTATTTTTCTAACTGATCTTTGTGCATTTCGCATGTTGATTTTGTGGCAGCCAGAACTGGCTGTCAAATGGATAAGTCTATTTATAATGAGAGAGAGTCTTATACTAAACCCCCCAGTATAAAATGTGATCATGTATATGGAAAAAAAAAAAAGTTTTATGAGTGGAACTTTCATTTTTCCAGATTCTCTTGAGAAATTCATGTCTTTGGTAATTATCCACGGCCTACACAAAATTACGTTCAAATTACCACTGATCCCCTAAATCTAAGCTCCTTATTACTCATTCTTCCCTTGCTTCTGACAGGGCTACATATTACTAACCAGTTTCTCACCAATTATAAACCCAAAACTACCTATTAGAGCTGTAAGAACCCAATTTCGCCCCAACTATAACAGTGGTTGCTGTCTGAAAGTACGTAAAACCTCAGTGATCTACATTACCATTACCATGAAATATAGACATACCTTGGAATGATCCCAGATCTCGAATCACCAGTTTTTCCACCTCAACGTTCCATGTAGAACCTTGGTCAATACCTACAGACCTAGAATATTGCTGACCCACAACTAGCACAAAGGACTTCAATAGGAAAGGCTATTGCCCACCCCATCACCCCCACCACAACACTCCCTGTACAAATATGGAGAGAGGTATTACCAAGAGTTCTTTAAAGCTGGTAATAATGGTTACACCATACCCAGAACAAGTCTGCTAAAATTCAACTTGCTTTTGACTTGCACCGGGCTTGGATTTGTAAAAGTGTGTTTACAACTCATTTAGTTTTTGTTTGTTTGTTTTTTTCTACTTTTTATTGTAGGAACAGACCGGAAAAGGGGTCGTCAGACCTACACCAGGTATCAGACGCTAGAACTGGAGAAAGAGTTCCATTATAACCGATATCTGACCCGCAGGAGGAGAATTGAGATCGCCCATGCTCTGTGTCTGACCGAGAGACAGATAAAAATCTGGTTCCAGAACCGAAGAATGAAATGGAAAAAGGAAAATAAAACCCCCAGTCCTTCATCAAATAGCCAGGAAAAGCAGGAGACTGAAGAAGAAGAGGAGGAGTGAACACACCCCAAAGACTGATGAACCCCAAGATCCACTGGCACTCCTGGATCCTGCCATAATACTACCTACATCCCTTTTCTACTCTAGGGTTAGCTACCTACCCCACGTGGTGATCCAGTAGGACCATTTCTATGTGACATTTCATTTAGCAATGTATTTGAAGATCCTTAAACTTTCTGGACTCCAATATGTGAGAGATTGTGACCCAATACCGTATCTGTGCTTGTTCGATGTTAAGGGGGTGACAATATATCCCTGTAGGATTGTACTGTTCATATTAAATGTGTTGTGTTGTTTTTATTCATTGCCTATCGTGACAATGTAAAAAAAAAAAAATTACAAAAAAATAAAATAAAACATGGATATTTTACATTTTCCTCTCCCCTTGATTCCCCCTTACGACGGATGTGTAATATTAATGTGCAAATAAAACTGTGGTGTAAAGTTAATTTTAATATAATTTAATCATAGTCTGTATTTTCATTTATTGAAAGTGCGCTCTTCTTGTAATATGTCCTTCAAATAAAATGAAAATTAATAGAAAAAATTGTGCTTTTTTTTTTCGAAATGTTGCAATGCAAACATTTTTTATGAAACAAAATAAGATTGTTGCAAAAAAAAAAAAAATAGTCGCTGTATCTATCAATCTATCTATCCAGTTTCTTTAGATTTATTTTCTCTTTTCCATGCATATAATTTTTTTTCAAATAGTTGCCCATATACACACATGTGTAAATATATATATATATATATATATATATATATATATATATATATATATATATATATATAAACACACACACACACATATACATGGTTGTCTATGGACAACTATCTAAAAACATGTGTATGTATATATATAAATATATATATATATATATATAATACATTTAGAACATAAATATACAATATTAAAATGCATTACAATAAATAAAATGCTGAAATTCTAAACAATGAAATAAGAATATATGTGAAATATAAATATATATATTTCACATATATTCTCATTTCGTTGTTTAGAATTTCAGAATTCTATTTAAATATATATATATATAATATGTACATATTTTCTTTTTTAATTGTTTGTGTAGATATACATGAATGTGTATATGTATAAAACACAGATTAAATTAATATCTTGTAAAATCTTTATGCGTACAAGCGTTTTTACATATATAGAAACATAGAAGCAGAAAGATATATCGATATAGATAACATTATAATAAAAATTATAATGTAAAATTAATAATAAAACGATTATCTCATAAAATGGTAACTCATAATTATACGAAAAAAAATTCTAAAACATTTAAGAAATACACATACATCTCTGTAATACCGTAATCACCATATTATTAATTTATTATTATTTGAACTCTGAGTATAATTTATAAGTTACGAACATTGGTGGGAAACATTCTCCCGTGTATTGGAAGGTTTTAAGGCTAAGTCTCTCAGTAATTAAATCCGCTGTAGTTTGATTTTCTCGATTTCTGATCAACAGGGAATTGTGTGGAATAACAGGAATTATCTCGATGGAAATAAGATAAAATCCTTGTTCTTTTTTTTTCTTCTTCCAAATCTCCCTAGCTGTACGTGTGCACACCTACACTCACATATAATCAAGCACCCACTCCATCCATATCCAGGATTACACTTCTTGTAATTATCCCTCTGCAACAGACACATAGAAACCCAGAAACACAGAACACACACGTACAACAGTAGAGTCTTTTTTCTGTTTTTAAATCTATTTCATTTCCTGAATATATATATAAACAAATAAATAAATAATATATATATATATATATATATACACACACACATATATATTTATATGTATATATATATATATACAGATAGATAGACAGACAGACAGACAGACAGATAGATAGATAGATAGATAGATAGATAGATAGACAGTTTGAATAACCCCCCTATCAGTGTCTGGGTGTCTGCCATTAACATTTGAGGGGTGCACATCATGCAGTGTTGTATATTTTCTCATCCTCCCCTTCCTTCCCCCACCCCCATTGTTGTAGTTCTGTGATCACACATTAATACACAGGAATCCTTTTTTATTTTTTTGTTTCCTGCCAGTGCATTCTTTAAACACAAAGATGATAGTGTGTGACAAAAATACTCATTCTCTGTATTTAATCCCCCATCATACACCAGGACCTGCAAGATTCGTCTTTTAAAGGGAAAATAAAGATGGCGGCTGAGAAAAGGCTGCTCTTAAAGCAGTCATGAAGAAATGCAATAAATTCCTTGTTGTTTTATGAAAATTTACAACTTTGTGCTAGAAGTTTATGAGTGGCTGGGTCCTGGGATTGGCCAGGGCCGGTCATGTGGACTTGTAGCCGTGAACATGAACTTTTATCATTTCCCATGTGGGTAGATTGCAGTAGTCTCTCGGTCACCGCACCTTGGGTAGGATCAGTGTCTCCTTCAGGGCTCCTGGCTGTGTCCTGGATGTGGGGATAAAGTGCAGCTCTGAAGGCTGGAGAGGAATCATTTTCATGGAGGAGACTGCAGGAAGGTGGAGGAGAGCAATGGAGGAGCCCAGGAGCTGCAGACAGAGGACAGCATTGCTCAAACAGGGAACAAGCTCCATTTTGCAGACAAATGACAGAAATCTAAAAGCAATCATAAGACAGAGGAGAAAAAAAACATGGATTTCAGCCTGGGACAATCTGTCATCTTAAAATAACCTGCAAAGGTAAAGAAACATGGCATTCTTCTATCTACTCTCCTAATAACACCCTGTGCTGCCTTGCATGAACATATACCTGTTATCAATGGCTATGCAGTATTTTGGGAGAACATGCTAATAGAATAGAATATTATATGGATTTTTCATTTTACCTGTGCTGTTGTTTGTGTTTTATGTATGTAAATATTATGTTAAAGAAGTAGAATGCAACATATATATTTATAAAACTATACTATTTGACATGGATAGATTAGATAGATTACATTAGATAGATAGATAGATAGATAGATAGATAGATAAGGAAAGTTGGAGACATGGATAGACAGACAGACAGGCAGACAGACAAAGATGGGAGGAGATAAGGAAATGTTAAAACAGAGAGTTTTTCTTTATTGTCATTAAAGACAGATTGTGTACAGACTTGCTGCTGGTTGGTTTTGGAACACGGTACTTTTTACAGGTAAAGCCATATAGTGTTGTGCTTGTGAAAGGTGAGTGTACATGCATAGGGTGTTGTTTCAGTAGCGTGAGATGAATACAAATCTAGGAATGGCGCAGTTTAAAGCGCAGGAGGGTCACATCTCCCACACTCTGCATACCTTGAGTCTTAATTATATCTCACAATCTACAACATACATACACACATTAATCTATCTATTAATATACATTATAATACACACACACATACACACACACACACGTACACAAACACACACACACACAACACGCACACAAAGACCACACGCACACAAATACATGCACATGCATATGATTTTATATATATTATTACACACAGACAAAGTAAAACAGCATAGAAATGTACATGTATTTTCATACAAACGCGCTACCATGCACAACTTTCCATATAGACAAATATGCATGAGATCACGTACATAACAGTGTTTATCTGTTTTGGGTTGTGTTTTTTGTTGGTTTGGTTTGGTTTAGTTTTTTATTTTATTGTTATTTTTTTTATTTTTTTGCAGTTCATGGCTTGTCAAATAACTACTTTTTTTTTCTTTTCTACCTATTTATGTAGACCTATGAATATTGATGTGTATATATAAAAATGTGTAAATGTATGTTTATGAATAGCATGTCAAAAGTCATACTTACTGTAATATGTCTTAGTACTAATAATTTAGCCTTCTGTTTATAGAACAGAGTGTTGAAGTGTGGCAAAATTCCGACCAAGTATCACATTTGAAAAAGCTTCCAGTGCCAATGAACTGGGTACACATTTTTTTTCAATGTGGGCTATTTTATTCTAAATTTTCCTGGTTGGTTCTCAGGACATCAGGTCTCATTGTTTTATGTATACATTCTATTATACCTTATTAGCCATTGCATATATTTAACGATTAAAATAAAATTTTTGAAGGCATCAGAAGTATGAATAATGAAACCACTTGAAGAATTGCTTATAGACACGCCGACAGTATTTATTGATTTAAAACAATTTGTACAATGTGTGCTTTGTTTACTGTGAAAAAGGCGCTTCATTATTTCCCTGTCTTATTTCCCAATGAAAACTATTGAGTAGACATTTTTTTTTTTGGTTAAACCTCTCTGATGTTGCTGAGCAAGTTCAAAATATGTAATTTGCTGCCATCTACCGTCTGGCAGTTGAAATCACCTCATAAGTGCTAAAGTGCAGTTATTTGCAGGTTTGGAAAAAAACAATTGGCCCCAAAGAAAACTTTTTCACTTAATACAGACTTTATAGTCCTGTCTACAAAAAAATAATAAAAACTCGATAGATAAAGGTACAGTTATTTCCATTAAAGTTATTCATTAATAGGCAGATTGTAACATTCAAATTACGAAACAATATTGATTACGTACACATTTTCATGTTAAAATTTCAAGTAGTTGTATAAGTATAAATAGTGAATAAACAGGTTTTGTTAATATTATTTTATTAGTATTTATGATAAAGGTTGTAGGAAAATATTACAGAAAACCATTTAAATTTAAATTACTTTCTAAATGTAAATGTTAAATGGATTATATATTAATAATCATTATACTTGTAATCTTATTTAGTAAGTACGAAATGACCTAGTTAATTATAGAAACGGGATCATAGTGACATAAAAATATTTACTGTATTAATAATATATAAAATATATAATTTAATAATATATTTAATATGTAATCTAATAATATATTATATATTATAATTATTAATATTATTTTATTATATTATATATAATATAATTATATTCATTATATATGTATAAATATATATATATATATAATAAAGCGAATTTAAGAAATATTTTAAAGGCTGAGGAGTCGATGTCACTAATCGATAAGCGATAAAATATAATTATATATTCTGCAAGAATAGAAAATTGTATTTTACTTACAAAATAAGATACGATTTAACAGCAAATTAAATGTTTCATCGCACTTCTTGAAAGTCTGTTAAAACAATAACCAAGAACAGACACACATGAGTCTCAGGCCTGCTTTAGCGGAATCTCCTTTGCTGTAAAATTACAAAGCATTTAAAAGTGAGTTTTATGACAGCAATAAGGTCCTGAAGTGAGAAAGCCTGCTGGGTGCTCACTTAATTTGCTTCTAAAGATTCCAACAGAGACCTGGAAAATCTGCAATCTGTGGTTGAGCACTGTGTTTGTTTGGTTGTTCCAGGGAAAAGTATCAGGAAATGCTTTTATTTCCGTTCACTGAAGCACAAAAATGCTTTGATACTTAAAAAAAAAAAAAAAAAAAAGAATCTAAAGAATCTAAATGTTTTTGAGCTGAGTAACAATCTGCCAGTTATTCTTAAACAAATAACATTATTTTCAGAATGGTTCTGCATCGTTTAGATAGCTGATTTAAATAAAGACTTCGTAAAGGTATGTATGTATATATATATATATATATATATATATATATATATATTTATTTTAATTTATTTTTTTCTTTAACTGTTGAGTTTGGATTATAAATAAATAAATATAAATAAATAAATATTTTATATAAATATATATATATATATATATATATATATATATATATATAAGCAGAGATTGCATATATATATATATATATTCACACACACACACACACACACACACAGTAGAGAGAGAAAGTGAAATAGTTCTCACCTTCTTGATTAAATTAAGAAAATAACCGTTTAAAAGAGCTTGCTAAAATAAACTATTCGGTTTACTGCTCCTATGTGTTCTCCTATAATACATTCATTTTCACAGGGGGAATTGGCATTAATGAATGAATTAATGAATGAATTAATAGGATATAGTAAAATTGTTACCATTTTCACTCCTGCAGACATGCAGACAAGAGCAAATTTACAATCCATTTTCGTGGACATTACAAAGAATTACAAAGTGTTATATAATTTGTATAATTCGCTGTAGCCAGTCTCCTCCTTTTACTGTCCTGGGATTTCAGGAAAGAGTACATTCAGTTTTAGTCACTGTACTGGATTTTCAGTAAGTGGAAATGAAGGCGATCCCGGTAATGGATGCAATATATCGTATAAAGTGGTTCTTTTTTTTTTCGTGCTGAGAAGGTGAGAATCGGTTGATGTTCCATTCGCATAATCGGTAGGGGAAAGTAGCAGATCGGAGTGAAAGTCCATATTTTCCATTCAAAAAAGAAAATCGCTTTTCTCTGAATAAAATCTTCATTTTATCACAAGCCCAAAATATCATATTCTTTTACCAAAAACCGCTCACCCCTGAAAAAAAAGACAAATAGCAAGGATTATATTGATGGCTAAATTTAACAGCCTTAAATCACTATTGTTAAATAAAGTCATTTATTGATATATCGATCACAGTTATCCCTTACAGTCACTGAAAAAGGAATAAATTGGTCTGCCTCTGTTATATACAGGCGTGTAAACATACTATATAGTAGTAATAGTAGTAATAATAATAATAACAGCAACAACAATAATAATAACAACAACAATAATAATAATAATAATAGTAACAATAATAATAATAATAATAATATAAAATAGTTATTAATGCTCCATATTAGACTTAATGGCACCTTAATTAACTTTCCAGCAAAGCCCCAAACCTCTCCACCCCTTTCTAAATTTATGAATCAGATGCCAAACGGCCACGTTAATAATTTTTTTCCCCCTCAATTGGGGACAGTAAAGCGCTTTAACGATAAAGAAATATCTAACTACCAATTGTAAAGTAAAAGTAAATAAATACATTTTATATATATATTATAAGAGAGAGAGATACATAAGTCAAAGTGCTAGTAATAAAATATAAAATACAAATTTAATAATGTGTGACTATATAATATACAGATGGCCTTCTCTTGTATGATGAAAGCGTTATCCCCGATTCACCAGTAATAAATATAAAGGGGGACATGTACCAGAGTCCATTTCTCGTTTTAAAACCTTAAGATTTAAGAGGATCAATAATCACATTATGCAGCCCTTGACCAGAACGTAGAGCGTGTTTTAGTGTAAAGTGTCATGCATAGATTTTACCCACATTACAAAACAAATGCCCACAGACTGTGCGAGGAATGGGTGATGGAGGGGCATAGACTAAGCCCAGGCAGTGCTCTGCACTTGGTATTGAGAGTACCCTGTTGGTGGCGTGTCCATTCTGCGTACATTTTTCTACACTATTCTATGCTATTTATTAACCCGTAAGACTTAAGAAAAACACACAATGTTGCAACCTGAATCCCCCCAAGATTTCAGATTTCTGCCTCACACCTCTGTAATGGAATTATGTTTTTATCCATGAATTGCTTATTTGTCGCTGAAGTGTTTGGTGATTTCTATTAGTTGCTTTGTTAAGAATGATGGAAGAATTCCAAAAACTTTCCATTTTATCACACATTTTCTATGTTGATCTATGTTTTGAAACCTGCAATCAAATCTTTATTTTCAAAGTGATCTGTTGTACAGTCAGCAGTATTTATATATATATACATATATTTTTTATTTTATTTTTGGGGACTTTTTTTGTTTGTTTGTTGTTTTTTGTTGTTGTTGTTTTTTTCCCTGTGTTTCTTTAGAAAGGCTGGTGGATTGTTCACAGGGTCCCTGGTGTAATGCAAGCCCCTCTAGGGTGCTATTTCGCAATATCAGGCTCTTGCTATTGGTCAGTATCTGATCATATGCTACAATTTCTTTCTGTCCCTCACTGGCACCCGGCCACCCCCCTTCAGCTAAAACCCAATCTCCGATAAACTACTAATAGCTAAACCACTTGGACTATAAAACACAACAAATCATAAAGCCAGGAAGCTCGCTGCCTCCTCCCAATGAGTTCTTATTTTGTCAATTCCACTTTCCCGGTAACTCTGCCTGCTGGCCAGGAATCCTTCCTAGGTCAAATCCCCTTATATTCCTCAGGCTATGCGGACCCTTTAAGACACTATCCTGCAGGCTATGGAGCCACTGGAGTCCAGGACAAGGGCTATGGTTCATCTCCCTATTACCAGCCAGCTAATGGAGCTTACAGCAGGACAGCAGCCTGTGACTATGGAGCAGCTGGGTCATTTTACAGGGACAAGGACCCTGGCTGCTCACTGTCCTCCCTGGATGAGCAGAGCCACTACAGCCAAGAGCAGCGCAAACCGGACTGTGCGCACAGCAAGACGCTATTTGACGAGCAGGAAGACGCAAAGTGCTCCACGCCAGTCTACCCCTGGATGCAGAGGATGAACTCTTGTAACAGTAAGTTCTCTCTCATTCTCTGTTTTTGGGGGATTTAGAGCTTCTCACACTCCTGCCTTCTACCCTTCTACAAAGTACAGGCTGGGAAGTCATAAATCACAGAACTCCAACCAAATGTACATTTCTGGTTGAAAGCATGCCATGGAGGAGTTTAGCAAGCCCCCTTCTCCTCTCTCGCTCTCTCCTCTTTCCAAACTCCTGTCTCTCCCTCCCCTCTCTCCCTTCTCTCTCTCTCTCACACACACATACACACAGACTCACATTTATTAAATTTATCGAATTATGATTTTCACACCCATTTATCAAAATCCCTTAACAGTTTTCTCTACTTTATCTGACGCTCTTCTCGTTTTCAGACACTTATTATACATAAAGAGCCAACATAGTCTGCAGCGCAGTACAATAACAATGAACACACACACACACACCCACTTTCTTTTTAAACAATTCACCTTCCTGTGCTAGATTCTTCTGTTATATTTTACTGTCTCTCTAAACTTCTCTCTGCAGATCCTCTCATCCTTCTCTCTCTCCCTCTTTTTCTCCCTCCTTTATTTTTTCCCTCTCTGTCTCTCTCTCTCTCATTCTCTATCATTTGTCTCTGTCTCTCTCATTTATTTTCTCTTCTTGTTACTGTGTAAATAGCAGTAAGTATAGTTGATGTGCACATTAAGGAGCCCTGCTTTACACCATGTAATGTAAGTTTAGTGAAATAAAAGCTCCCAGAAGATGGTTTAGCACACACACTTATTGCCAGATTAATATTCCCTGAGCCCTGGAGTGAGGGTCCCGCATTCCAGGATCGGTTGGTTTCTCTACTCGTTTGGACCTGGCGCCCATTAGTCAGGGGATAAAGTGCTGGATCCATTACAGTACAAGACTTCTGGCGATCAATACATTTCATTATCACTAAACGCTGAAACAGTTATTATAACCGGTTGGTGAAACCGAGAAAACCCTTGATTCTGGGCAGAACTCAATATTTAGTCCAGACAAGAACTCAGAGTCCTCTCCTCCTATTCTGTCTCTGTGTATTATGCAGAATGTGTCAATCATTTTATATACAGTACACACATATAACATCACTAAAACATTGTGTAGAAAAATGTACATGCAATTATATTCTAAAAAAACCCAACTATTTATATATATGGGGGTGAGGGGAAAGGACAGAGTATGGGGAGAATGTGAAGGAAAAATGGATAGATGGATGAATACAACACAGAAACAGGTAGAATCTATGTACAAATTGGCACAAATTGAGGGAAACATTAAACACAGTAACACACAAAACATGTATTTAAACAATGTGTGTGTGTGTGTGTGTGTATTTATACATATGTGTGTGTATAGAACAATGTAGTATGTGTTCACACATACCAGAGGTACACATACAGCATGTTGAATGAAAATCCCCCATATCATAGTACATCTCTATCTCTCCCCACTTATGTGTGTATATATTTCTGTCTGGGGACTTAACAAATTTATTTATTCTGTTAGAAGATGCACATATACTATAATAGCATTCTTATAGACAGGCCATAAATTCCTACCTTTAAATACAGAATATTTTAAGCACATGCCTCTACACCTTCACTGTCACCCGATAAACAGATTCTAGAGATAAATACATAAATGAATCCATATTCTGGAAGGGCATAGTGTGTGAAAATAATATTTTTTTTAACGATCTCTTCTTCCAGGTTCGGTATTTGGGCCCAGTGGAAGGAGAGGCCGGCAGACCTACACCAGATACCAGACCCTGGAGCTGGAGAAAGAGTTTCATTTTAACCGATACCTGACCCGAAGGCGCAGGATCGAGATCGCTCATTCTCTGTGCTTGACCGAGCGTCAGATAAAGATCTGGTTCCAGAACAGGAGAATGAAATGGAAAAAAGAGAGCAAACTTCTCAACTCCTCTCTGCAGAGCACAGGGGAGGAAGAGAAAGCAGCTGAGTGACAGAACGTCTGTCGAAACGTGCGCCACAATCCTTGTTCCTTGAATAAATTATTCTTGCACACAAGACTGGTAAAGAACAAAAAAACTAGTGACACAGATTCTATGTGAAACATAAACATTCTACTACCTATATGTCTGACTACTAGTCAGAATCCTTGATAGACTTTTGAATATGCATAATTATATGTATGTATCTATATAAGTTTATAAATACATACATGTATATATATGTCTGTATATATGCATATACATGTATTTACACACATATATATATTAATAAAAAGCACTCGATCTTCAAGAGTCTTGTGTACCAACCATGCACGATTTGAAGGTTCTATATTCTTTCTTTTATTTCTATGTCTACTGAAAGTACTTATATATATATTGCCTAGGATCAAATTGTGAATTGCTATATTTTGTTATTTTTTTTGAATGTGGTTGTTTGTGATTTCTATTTGTAGTTTGTATGAGAAAAAAAAATATGTTTATTATATTGTCCATTGTTAGTTAATAATATACTGAAAGACATCCATAGGATTTGGTATCTTTATTGTTCTAAGTGTACTGTTATACTGGAAGCACAAACTGTCTGTATTTTTTAAAGCACACGGCCCATGGGGGATTTAAACTGACCAAACATCCGTTCTCATTAAAAAAAAAAAAAAAAAACCGAAAAAATAAAAATTAAAAATAAACTGGCTGTGTTCTGCACTTTCCCAACATTAAAATTAGAGGTATCACAAATGGAAAAATTACCCATATATTTTACCAGCACAGCGTCTGCACATCTCACTAATTCAATTTTCTGCTGTTCTAAGGACGCAGACTGTCTGGGATATTTCATTAAATGTTGCTGGAATTAAACTTGTGACTTATTTTCTCTGTATATTTGGGACTGGGTATTTAGATATGATTTTATCTGCTGTATAATAAAATATTTGCATTTCCCCGAGAAATATGTAATTTATTTGCAATTGTTTGGAAATTAAAACTCATTAGGAGATTCGAATCTTTTTTATCATTGCATGGAAAAATTGCTATTTAATTAGTCTTTAAAAAGCGTCGGTATTCGATTATGTATGACAAATACACACGTGATAACAATGAGAATGATGATAATAATAACTCAAATATGTATTGTCCAGTGTTTCTCTCAATAAGCTAAGTAAAACGATAAATATATTTATATAAATTTATGGTTATGACATAACTATTGTAGGTTCTATTAGCACCATTGTATACATAGTGGGGCAGATATAACCCTACTTCCATTCACCTTTTAATCAGGCCAGGTATTTTTATAGAACCATACACATTACACACATGTAGCTTTAACTTCTGACTATTTTATATATCGCATGCAATATGTATTGCAATATTTCTGAGCTTAAATTAAATAACCCTTTATAAATAAACAAAATATTTATTCTTCACAAAGGCATAACTTGCTAACTTATATTATTGGTTTTCAAGCATATTAAGATTTTTATTTAAATAGTTAAGGGTACTGTGTAAGAAAAAAGCATCGATTCAATTCCATTGTTGAAATAGGGTTAATGCAATTTTCTTGCAGACAAATATATTTTTATATTTATTTTATATATATTAACGGTTCTTTGTTAAGATACTATATATATATATATGTGTGTGTGTATAAAAATATATATATATATAAATTTTAAGAAACCTTAAATTGGTTGAGGGGGAGGGTTGGGGGAGGGGGGGGGCAAGTAACTATTTTTTTGGGTGTGTACCCAGAAGAAGTTCCCCGTTTCTCCGGTAGGTGTCACGGTCTGACAACATGCAGAGAGCTTCTTCCCTGAGATTTTTTTTTTTGGAAGCCGTACATTGACTCGGGCCTAACGATTCTCAGATCGTCATTATTTGTAACCATAGAGCATGAATTACCTCTTGAGGTCATCAGTGAGAATTTACGACTGGTCAACAAAAGCACGTGATTTCCAAACGCACCCACACCCCCATATTTGGCCGCATACATAGCAAAAACGAAGTACAGTGCATTGCTATAATTCATTAATACATCATAAATCGTGAGGCACGGGGTGATCCACAAATCAAGCCTCCAAAATCACCCAAATGAGTTCCTACTTTGTGAACTCGTTCTCAGGGCGCTATTCTAATGGCCCCGACTACCATGTGTTAAATTATGGGACTGGCAACAGCAATGTGAACGGCTCTTACAGGGAGACAGGCAGCATGCATTCCACCTCTTATGGTTACAACTACAATGGAATGGACCTCAGCGTCAGCCGGGGAGCAGCTTCCAGCAGCCACTATGGGGATAGCTCGGGAGGGTTCCCAGCCCAGGAGAACAGATTCAGAGCAGCTTCCAGCTGCCCCCTCTCCTCCCCAGAGTCCCAGAGTCATGGGGGGAAGAATGAGCCTACCCCCTCAGACCCTGCCAGCTCTAGCACCCACTTCACAGAGGTTGAGGAAACCAGTGCTTCCTCAGAAACCGAGGAAGCCACCCCAAGAACCAGCAGCAGCACCAGCAGCACATCAAGGGCACAGCCAGAGAGTAGTCCATCAGGAGGAGCCAGTGCAGACGGACAAACTCCACAGATATTCCCTTGGATGAGGAAACTGCACATCAGTCACGGTACGGCTGCTTTTTGTATTTTCTCATTTTCCAGGGCAAAGGCGAGAAAAAGTCCTGAATTTGGGTTTTATTTTTTTCTTGAAGTGTTCATTTTGCACAGAACCATTTAAAGAATGAGGGGTTCAGGCAAGGTGAGATAGGATTGCAACACAACGTTCTAATGCCAGTGACGTAAAATAGGATAGAACACGGCGGGTTTAATATCAAGGGATATAATATAGCATGATATGGAATTAGTATAATAAATAAAATGGGCTGAATTTAATATATACCACGTAATAAATGAAAACTGTACTAAAAATTTATGAGTTGTATATATATATATATATATATATATATATATATCTAAGTAAAATAGATACATAAAAATAGATAGATAGATAGATAGACAGACAGAGAGACAGACAGACAGACAGAAAGATAGACAGGCAGACAGACAGACAGGCAAGCTGGCAGACAGATATAATTTAACACTGCACAAACTAGACAGACAACACAATGAGCTATAAAGTCGTGATTCATAATGTAATCTTAAAAAAACAACAACAAACACTTGAGAAGATGTAAATTAATGATAAAATGTATCGTGATTTGTATTTTCATTTTTTTCTAAAAATAAAATATCAGGGAAGTTAGTAATACTGTTTAATGTCATGTACATATCATCAAGCACATTATTCCATGAAATAAAATATAGATATATAACAATTCATGTTATGCTGTGTGATTTTTATTATAGCGTTTATAATAATGTATAATAATGAAAATGAAACACAGATCATACAAGTCTGTGAAGAATCTGTAGAGTAGGCTAAATTATGTAAATAAAAAAATAAAATGCAATAATAGCCAATATGGTAGATACATTGTACAAAGTTAAGGGGTGTTCTCCTAATTGCAGTGTTTTAGACACAGTCCATACAGGTGTGTGGGTGGAGGAACTCAAAGGTTACAATGGGATTGTGCCACTAATAACCCGGAACGTTGTCCCCCCATGATGCAGATATGACAGGTCCTGATGGGAAACGGGCGAGAACAGCCTACACCCGTTACCAGACCCTGGAGCTGGAGAAAGAGTTCCACTTTAACAGGTACCTGACCAGAAGAAGGAGAATCGAGATAGCCCATGCCCTGTGCCTGTCCGAGCGTCAGATCAAAATCTGGTTCCAGAACAGGAGGATGAAATGGAAAAAAGATAACAAATTAAAAAGCATGAGTTTGGCTACCACAGCCAGTGCCTTCCAGCCCTGAAGGGCCAGTAGTTCCCTCACTGGACTATACCCAGGGCTCCTACATAGGGCACTTGTTTGGTCACCTCTTGGCATGTCGGTATTATGGACACAATGAGGTGGGGTATTATTTTTTTCCAAGTGGATTGTTCCCCATTTTTTTCCCCTCATATCTTGTTGCATCCAATGCTCTCAATTCCGGTGTTGTCCTAAATGTTTGTGACCGTGACATAATGCTGCTTTGGAGAACATCGCATGTTTATAAAAGCTCTTATATGGTATAACTTAATTTATAATTGCTAATAAAAAAATTAAAAAAGTGATGTTTTACATTTACAGGTCTGGGTAATTTCTGTGTCAGGCCAGGTAGGCTATCAATGCACTAAAACAAGGCTCCTGAGTTGTGTTATATCAATGTGAAGTCTGTGTTTATGGGTTATTATTTTTTATTTTGATATATATATTTTTATTATTATAATAATTATTATTTTAATTGTTGTTAGACTTTTAGGCAGAATATGTTCGGCCTGATTGTGTTTACTATCTTCTTGTAAGGTTAGCCTAATGATGGTGTGATATATGTTGGGGGATGGGGGGGAGTGAATGACTTGTTATGTAAAGGTACCTGTCACTTTTGGCTGCCTGAAGATATGCCATTTTTTTGTAATTGTTTGTAGAAATAATAAAACATCTCTCCTGATATAAAAAAACAATAACCTGGTCTCTCTCTTTCTTTCCAATATACATGTTTGTACAGACATTTTTATATGTGTTTAACGTTATAATTGTGCTAACTGTGAAGATACATAGAATCAAAAACAAACATAAACCATTCTTAAAACACATTTAAAGCACGAACGATCCTAATAAATAAATGAATTATATTATGTTATGTAGAAAGAAAAGTCTGCCTGGATAATCAAGGGGTAAGTGGCCTAGGAGGAATCTCCTAGCTTTGGATAAAATCTTTCCTCCATACAATGCAGAGATATCACATCAATGAACTGCCCTTTGATCCTCCCAAGTGAACAGAAACACATTAAGATCTAGTAATATTAAAGACAATTATGATATTTTTTCAAGAACGAAAGTTGAAAAACTTACCCCTAGTCTGCACAGTTTGGGCCCTTCTAAGAGACTTTAAAAGCTGGCTGAACACACTTCCATTTGCTATTTTTGTAGAAGCAAACTAAACCCCAAGTAGGTATGACATTTACATGTCAAATGGGTTCGTTTTTATCTAGAAGTTAGATCGTAAAAATCGCCCAGACCTCAGACAGATACCCCCTCACTGGCTCTCAAAAGTCACGTGAGGTCCATAAAGTTAGGTTTATGGTTTTAGGGAGTTGACATTGTACAATATATTTCACATTCTCCGGAATGTTAAGTGACAGTTTTACTGGCTTACTAGGGACGCTGTGAGTTAGTATTTTAGCAGATGAGCTGGTGGAAGCCATATCAGACTGTGCAGGTTTTCTACCTACTGCAGAAGACGAAAGGATCTGCAATAAAAGTAAGTATTCTATCTATATTCTTACCCATATACTTTTAAAGTCTCTCATTCTAGGGTGTTTCCTACAAGCACAGGGCTTAATGGGAGAGCTCATAGTCACTTTATGTGTTAGCAGAGAGAACCAAACGTTACTTAATATTCTTAGAATATAAGAAAGAACAGCAAGGGTTTCAGAACATAACGTTGACAGGTGTTACCATTCGGGTAGATCATGTGGGGACCAGTATATGTGTGTGACCTTTCAAAGCTTACAGTGAGGGTATTTCTTTTAACGTATAGATTGCAACTAAAGAATATGTAATCATTAGGATGTTTTAAATGATGTGGTGTGTTAGCATTGTTATATTGGTAAATGAATTCACAAGGAAAAACGTGCAAAATAGAAAAAAAAGAGGTGTAGTTTTTTGTAAAAAAAAAAAAACAGATTGACATTGTAATAGCTAGGAAATAACTGGAAAAAAACATAAAACAAAGGGGAAAAATGGGTGAATACTGTCAGAAGCTTTTTTTCTCTATTCTATGCATATACAAAGATAGATAGATAGAAAGATAGATAGAAAGATAGATAGGTAGATAGATAGATAGATAGATAGATAGATAGATAGATAGATAGATAGATAGATAGATAGATAGACGACAGAGAGAGAGAAATACTGAGGGTGAGAAAGAAAAAGAAAGAAATAGACATCGACAGATAGATAGATAGATAGATAAATAGATAGATAGATAGATAGATAGATAGATAGATAGGCATAAAATAAGAATACACATTTCAACCTTCAGTTAATTTCTGTATTTCTTATCAATCTTCCTTTGATCACTCTTTGAAACATCCTTTGATCTTCATAACAACAAAAGTCTATGGTTTCTAGAATACCTATCTATTTACACAATATTACGTCTTTCTGTGTTCACAGTATTTTAGAACTGTAAAAACAAACACACACACACACACACACACACACAAACACATTCTTTTTATATTTTTTTCTTTTACTAAAACCCTGACTGGTATAACTTTTAAATACATATTCTACAAGGTGCCTCTGTTTCCCATGTTTAGCCTGCAGACATAACATCTGGTCCAGGCTCCGAATTTTATTTCCAAAAACCAGTTTTCTTTGCTGTCACGCGAAATGGATTTTGTAGCGAATTACAGATGACAAATCATCCGAAGGTCATTTAGCGAGTCATATTACACTGGGCTCTGTAAGGAGACTAAAAGCTAAACTTACTTCAAGATTATAGGTTGCAAAATTATATGTTATAAAAGTGTGTGTGTGTGTGTGTGTGTGTGTATAGAGAGAAAGAGACAGACAGAGATAGAGAGCGGAGATTACACACATAGACTTTTTATTTATTATTTTTATTTTTCAATATATGCATATTTGTAGGCCTGTGGCTGTTTGCTCCCCATGGAAAGTTTGTATAGGGCTGCGGGGTGGGGTCATTCACAGGGGTAGTGCAGGCTGTGCCCACTCCCCCTGCAGCAGAAAGTTGTGTGGGTGTTTTTTTTACTCTTGCAGGAGGATGAGGTGTTACAGAGTAAACAGGAAAGCTGGGATATGTCTGTGCAGACAGAGAATTTTCACTGAGTTTTAAACTGGTTTCCTCTATTTTTTATGTTTTAAAAAAAAATTAATTATATATATATAAGATAAATAGTTGTTAACTTTGCAGCTGAAATAACTTAAAAGCCTGCCTAACTGCAAGCTATCCTCTCAGATTCAAGGCCCACGTTTTACAGCTGCCATGTGTGTGTGTGTGTGTGTGTGTGTGTGTGTAGCACAATTAAACTGCTAAATACACACAATGCACGTGTATGGGCGTATTGCTGTATAAATGATCGTCCTTAATTTAATGCTATATAATTAGTTTGTATGATTGTGTGTGTGTGTGTGTGTGTGTGTGTGTGTGTGTGTGTGTGTGTGTGTGTTTGTGTGTATGCATTTAAAACGATGTTATATTCAGAGTATGTGTGTCGGTTTGTGCAGATTATATTTTATGACATTATTCAGTGTGAGCATATTGTGTGTGTGTTTGTTACATTAGTTTAGACAAACTATATCACACATATATTCTGCAAGAATATATATACTCTATTTTACTTTCATTCGTTTTCATACAAATAAATACATGAAATAAGTGTGTATAAGAGAACGATGCTGACTTAATTTATCTAAATGCTAAATATGTGCATTTAGTGTCTTCTGTCAGTGACTCAGTGTGTAACAGGATTGATCCATTCTTTACATCTATAATTTGATCACTTTTCCAAGCCTGCACGTGTTTTATTGGTAGATCGATGGAAATCCAAATTTGTAACATTTGTTAAATACAAGATTATCCATTTCAATAGTTAGTAAGCTTAATGCAACAAAGAAACACACACCCACACAACTAATCACGCAAACACACACATATAAATTAACTCAATCCATATTATCTAATAGATCCCTATCTCTAAATAAAATAGAAATTGGTTTGAAATTTTAAGACAAGGGGGGAAAAAAAGATTTGCTCGCCAAACGAATTCACAATGTCTCATTAGCACTGCGTCAAACGAGCCTGCATTAAAAATTCGCACTGCGTCACTGACTTGCTCTGCAGCACCATTACTGCACTTTTACCCTCTCAGAATTTCATTAGTATTCTTGAACCCTTGTTCACCTTTGCTACAATGTTGCTGGAATTAACATTTTCAATAATTGCCAGTGTGTGTGTGTGTTTCTGTGTGTGTGTGTGTTGTTGTTTTTTTTCATTTCTCTCCTTAACGCAATAGAACTTTGTGAAATCAAATGTGTGGCATGTTTTACTTGGTTGTAAGTGAAGTGATTGAAATCTGGTAAACGATTTAATTAGGAATATCAAATGAAAAGCAAAAGGGGGCTCGAATGATTTGAAAAAGCACAGCTATTCTAAACGATTAAATCGCCATTTTAGCAGGATAATGGGGTTTGCATGCTGAATGGAAGAAGCGGTGCACACAAGCTATTAATTATTCATGTAAAAGGATCATTGAGAGGTCAGCAGACTAGTGCAGAACAGAGCACCAAGCCTGGGCTGTGCCTCCTCTGCTGGGCATCTCACCCCAACCGGGTCACTCTCTAGTCAGGTTTATGGCTCATTCATTTAGCTTATTTTTCTTCCTATAAGACAATTTTATATTTAACATGTTTTCTGTACAGTGCTTTGTATTTCTTTGTATTTATTATTTTAAAATCGCCTTCAAAACCAATGCTAGGCAATATTTCATTGTAAAGAATATCTGAACCTATTACTCTAAGCAAAAATATTTGTTTTTTACATGAAAAACTTTGATACACATATTTGAATGTCATTTTTAAGATATTCTAAGGGATATTGGTGGCCTGTAGTACCATTGACTGAACAGCAGAGCCCGCTTTAGACCAAGCTCATGGCCCTATACCTTATATACTATACACGTAGCATATAGCAATCTTTTTCAGGTACACCTAAATGTATCTCCATATACATCCTCCTATCCGAGAAACTCATAGTAATACGCAAGTACATTTTATATTGCTGGATAATGAACGTGTATAATTAAGGAAATAATTTAAGATAATATAGATACCCGAAAAGTAGAATTTCTTGTCTACAAGCTTGCGATCTAAACGTTTTAAACCTAAGCCCATAAAGTATATACTCTTTAATTCGTTTGCAGAATACCCATTTATAGCAAGGTACTTTTTACCCCATATATAATAAATTCAGCACTAGATCAAATGGACATTTAGTTAAGAATCAAAATAATCCAATTTAATTTAAGAACAAATATAACATACTCGCCAATATTTTAGTATATCTAGTTTTTTCGTTCTCAGATCTTCTACAAATGTACAGTATTGTATTCCCAGTAAACTAGTTAGTGTGATCCCTGCAGCCTGTCTGTTGAAACCAGAGAGAAGCCTGCCAGAGGCTTGTTTGCACCTTATTATAGTTCATGGGGTCAAAAAGTGGAAGGTCAAAAGTTTACTCTGTGCCTGACTCACCACTGCAGCGCTATAGATCCATAAGGATAGGAATGGGATTGTGTGCAAGTGTCAGGGGAGAAGCACTCACTTCTGTAGGATTACTAACATACTTTGTGTTTTAGAAGTGGAGTACTATGGTAAGGGGATCAAGGGGAAACTCAATTCTTCTGCCAAACACCTGATATCCCCAGAACTATCTCAGGCGAAGAAAAATATAATTTATTTTATTTTTCTATATGTTAGTAATTTTAAATAAATAAAATAAATATGTATGTATTTGAAATTACTTAAATGTAAAAAAAATTGGAGTAAAAAATTAAATTATATATATATTTATTGTGTTTGTGTGTGTGTCACAGCTATTCATTTAAGTAATTAAAAAAAATGTACACTTGCATATTACTCACACCCCAAGGCTTTCTTTAAAAGTAAAAGTAAAGTTTTCTCTCGGAAATGTAGGTGATGTGCGTGAACAAAACTGTAAAAGAATAGATTATGGACATAGATCTTTACAGAAAAGCCTCTAGGAAAGTCACTCGTGTCTGGTTTTAATATATTGCAGGATTTATTTTTATTATTTCCAGTTGTGCTGAGCTAAGAAGCTGCAAAATGCAGAATGTAATTACCGAGTGGGGAAATCTAAGATTTGCTCCAGTTTGACTATTTTGGTCTAATTTTCTTTTTAATTCGGTTACCACCTAATTGGATTTATATCTTAACTAATATACCCAAATAATACACTTACATAAAAATAAGTTATTAAAAAGGACAGTTGACTATACAAGAGTACATGCTACACAGCCTACTTGCACAAAAATGTTTTCTAGAAATAGCCGAACCCAGCAAAATATCCATGTTGACATTTGAGAAATAGTAATCGGGTTACGAAATCTCAAGCCATCTGTTTACCAGTTTCAGAGTTCTAGAACGATAGTTTAAACGTGTGTATGAAATATGGCGAGTCAGACAAACACTCTTCCCTACTTCGGTACTACTCATCCTGTATATACCGAGTTCTGAACTAGACTTGAAACATTTAGGCCAAAATAAATTGTAAAACTGTCTCAATATCTTCTAGAACTATTTTTCAAGCTCTGCTATTTTGCCCAAATAAGTCGTACAGCTCCACACACCTCTGCAACATTTTAGTAAATATACTTTTATAATACTTACGGTTAATATTGTGCTGGAAAATTGCTGACAACGTAGGAATTGAAATATTAAGGTATGTGGAGTGAGAGTAAAGTATCTAATTGACTTATATCACTTAACATATATCTGTGGCTACACCTACCTTGTAGAGGTTTAGGTAGGTACCTGTGCAGTGCTACAGAGGCAGAGTCCGTTCTGGAATACGGGACCCATTGGGAATATTCTTTGTGCTGGTACATGTTCAGGCATGCAATATTTATTTTTAGGAGAAATCATTAATTAAATATAAAACTCAAACTTTGTTGGAACCGTGCTGAGTTCAATCTGTGTCACTAAATATGCTACACAACAGTATATAGTGGAAAACACCATGTCAGACAGTGATAAAAATGAATAAATAGATAGCTCGACAGACAGACGGACAGGGACAGACAGACGGACAGACAGACAAATAGATAGATAGATAGACAGAGAGATAGATAGATCGACAGACAGATAGATAGATCGACAGACAGACAGATAGATAGATATATAGATAGATAGACCGACAGACAGACAGACAGACAGACAGATAGATAGATAGATAGATAGATAGATAGATAGATAGATAGATAGATAGACCGACAGATAGATAGATAGATCGACAGACAGACAGATAGATAGATAGAAAGATAGATAGAAACAGACAGACAGATAGATAGATAGATAGATAGATAGATAGATCGACAGACAGATAGATAGATAGATAGATCGACAGACAGATAGATAGATAGATAGATAGATAGATAGATAGATAGACAGACAGATAGATAGATAGATAGATAGACCGACATACAGACAGACAGATAGATAGATAGATAGATAGATAGATAGATCGACAGACAGACAGATAGATAGATAGATAGATAGATAGATAGATAAAGAGAGAGAGAGAGATACTATATACGAAAATTAGACTACCAACCTAAACTTGCATTAATATTGTATTGTTTTCTGTAGATGTGAAATTAGTATATCCAGAGGTGTATTAATATATCAGGCAGGGCCCTCCTTTACCTTTTATATAGCTCTGTGTATCTTGTATACTGTAATTTTCCACAATTAAAGCGCTGCGGAATATGCTGGCGCTTTAAAAATGCATATACTAATAACCATGCTACAAATATAATAAGTTGGGCTCATAACACCATGGGTTAGTGACTCCATTCAGGAATGTATTGTTACAGAGTAATTAATCATAAAATATGGTATGCAGAAGAAAGAGAGCTCTTGATACTAGCCAAGGCACTGTACTAGGATAATTAGCAAAATGGAGGAGATATGATGGAAACTAATACAGTTGGGACTAAAAGCAGGAACAACACATGGATTGTAAACAAACACAAAATCATCTATACCAAGGGAAATGTCCATAGACAGATATCCTGCTGTAATAAACCTGTAGCACAATGGGATGTAAATAGGCAATAGCAAATATTCCTTGCATCTATAAAATATAAATTTATTGCCAATACAAGCAGAAACTAAGTTACAGTTAGACATAGGAGTATTGTGGAATCATTCTATCTATCTATCTATCTATCTATCTATCTATCTATATCTTTGTCTAACTATCTACCTATCAATTTATCTATCTATCTATGTCTGTCTATCTATCTATCTATCTATCTATCTATCTATCTATGTCTAACTAACTAACTATCTATCTATCTCTCTATCTAACCATCTAACTCAGAGTTGCATTATAATTAGTATAATCACTTACATTGTATTCGGCTTCTTGTAAATATGTACATAATAGTATAATGGACTCACCACTCTGAGATATGACATGTACTTCTCTAAATGCAGGCAATCAAATATAGGTCGCTTGTGCTAGGGCCTTTAACAAGAATATTTATTAGTATAAGAGAAATCTATCTATCTATCTATCTATCTATCTATCTATCTATCTATCTATCTACCTGTCTGACTTTCTATCTATCTATCTATCTATCTACCGTCTGTCTTTCTATCTATCTATCTATCTATCTATCTATCTATATATCTGTCTATCTTTCTTTATTTCTCTCTGTCTGTCTATCTTTCTCTCTCTTTTTATCTCTATCTATCTCTCTCTTTCTATCTATCTCTATCATCTATATATATATATATCTAACTACCTGTCTATCTATCTATCTATCTATCTATCCATCTATCTATATTTCTCTCTATTTCTCTCTCTCCCCCTCTCTCTCTCTCTATCTGTCTATCTATCCATATACAGGGTTATTTATTAAAATGAGAATTCAAAGTGAATTTCACATTTAAGGCCAAAGTATCTGAACTAAAAGCTCTATTGACTTAGAGAACTTTTCCAGTTCGGCCTTAATATTAGAAATTCACTTGGAAGTCCCCTAAAATTCTCACATTAGTGAACAGTCATGATAATAGTATATCATATGATCAGCAAAATAAATGACTTCCTGTGCAATATTTATATCCTAAAAAACATATCTAATCTACAGCACTGCTTATTATTATTATTATTAATATTATTATTATTATTATTATTATTTGTCGTTTAATCGCAGGATCTGCTGGCAATCCTTTTTATACTGCTATAGGTGATCTTATTGTAAAGACTAATATAATGCATTCTGTCTAGATGAAAAAACGTGGGTGTCCTAGTCTGGATATTCTGTGCTCTCCTGCGTTTTGCTACAGACAGGCACAAGGTCTGAATGACATTGACAAACACTGGCATAGTGTAGGATCCTGTAACATAGTGTCAGTATAATTCTCCCGTTCTATTTTTTCCTCTTTCCGAGTACTGATTCAATATCAGGCAACAATTAAAGCGAGCTCAGTGTTGAGAGTGGGAGAGGCTAAGGCAGGGTGAATCGCAGGTCACAGTTTGTAACTAATATGAAAATGCCATAGGGATTCACACACCACGCCTCGCTGTTTAACAAAGGATGACAAAAGTATGAGATTAATTCACCAAAAAAGGGTGATATCTGCGACAAATCTGATCACAAGGCCTGCCTCTGACCACAGGAAGGAGCAGAGCCCTTTAATTCATTAGACTGGGCTATATTAAAGTTCTAGGGGAAAGAAGGATGAAGAAGACATGGCAGAGAGGTGGGGGCTCCTTGTATACTCTCTTGTGGACACATTTTGTTTTGTATTTCCTTTTTTTTTTTTTTAATGAAGGAGGAAAAGGGGCTCACGACTGGGACTTGCACTGTCCCGGCAAGGTAGGTTAATTTGATTTGGAAAGGGGGTGGGCAATATTGAGCTGGAGTCAAGGATGTTGCAGGAGGTGGGGGGTATAGGAGAGATAAGAACAAAACAGGTTTTAAAAAGGTATATTCGCAGTGACCGCAATGAGTGAGAATGTTAATTAACCCTTTCAGTGCCTGGTAGCAGTGTAGAAAGATCTAAGGAAGTGGGTGGTAGGACAAGTCTCAAATTAAAACAACAGTGCAGGAAATATTGGATTACTCGGCTTAGTTCCAATTGGGCTATTGTTAGAAAACTGCTGGTGAAACCAGTGTGCTTAAAACAACTGGTTTGGTGTCTGTCACTTTAAAATGTGACAGACTGTGGGGTAACTACTGACTTGAGTCAATCCACTGCACGTTACAGGAGCAAAATCCAAGAAAATAAGTTTTGATTTTAACTGAGAAAGAAAAGCTATTGTTTCTTGAATAACAAATGGTAATGAAGATAATGTATAGGTCAAGGCCTATCCTTCCATACCATAACAACCTGGTTGGTGTATTGGAGGTGAATTTAAGGGTATTGGTATGTGGGGTGTACACTAAGAAAGTGGCCTTTAATGTAATGATTGCATTGTGATATGTAACATAAAGGTTGCAATCAAGATACCATCAGTGTTTCTAATGTGTTGCTTCACTTTTTCAATAAATACATTCATACATACACACACACAAACATAAGTGCACTTAGACATACATAACTGCAGACACACATGAGCATGCAATCAAAAAATACAGACACTGATAAGGACATATCTTTAGACAAAAACACAAATATACACCCATATACTCAGTGAATAGAGATCCACGTACACACATCCATATACAGGTTCACCCAGCCATGTATTCATACGCAGATAGGTACCACTTGTAGATATATACATATAAACACAAACATGCACATAGATATTTGCATTAATTCATAAACTAGATGACCATGCACACATACACACATACACCTAAACACATACACATGCATGCACACATAGACATCTACACAGGGGCACATTTATGACAAACATATATGTTCACTGGTAGACACACATAGACCTAGGCTTATAAACTTACTTACAGGCAGACATGCACATGTATATATGCAATTACAAGCAAACAAACAAACAAATAAATAAATAAATAAATAAATAAAAATTGCCTTTCTAAGGATTACCATTTACATGTTCTCTCTGTTATGTGATATGTAAAGAAGTGATTGTGTAAAGAACGATTTCTATGTTCACAGGCACACATAAATATATCACTACCCTGAACCAAATGTTAAGTTTGATGAGTTAATAATAGAGACAATGAGTTATATTTGGTTATGTTAATAATAATAATAATAATAATAATAATAATAATATTGGTAGGTTTAAGTACATATCTCCATCATGTCCATCCCGTCTCCTTCCATATTTTGTTTTATGTTGCAGGATTATTAAAGATAATCCCAAGTGTATTATATTTAATAACGTGATATGCATGCTGATTATTGCTATTCAATCTCTGCACTTTCAGTTTAATAAGAGGGCTGCTATTATTAGCCATTGATAGCACTTTGTTCTACAAATCCTGAATTTTTAAGGTAAAATATCGGCACTAAAAGGTTGGTTAGTTTATTTATTAAACACACATGGCTAGTTTTGGAAACTTTTTTTGACTTGGGATTTTACAATTCAATGTATTATTTATTTATGACAATGTTTTATTTATATTTATATATATATGTGTGTGTGTGTGTGTGTGTTATATAGATATATATATCTGATATATGTGTTTTATATGTGTTTGTATGTATATATAAACACACATATGTGTTTTTAATTGTATTTTTTTTCAAATATTGTGTGTGTGTGTGTGTGTGTGTGTGTGTATATATATATATATATATATATATATATATATATATATACACACACACACACAATATAATATATATACACACACAATATATGCAAAAATGCAATTGATGGATACACGCGTTGTCACTTAAGGATGTTTTCTATAATCACAGACCTGTTTGGAATAATCTCAATTTTTAAACCAGATACATTCTTTTTATTTATTTTTGTGACCTTGTTTACATAAGTATTCCTCTCTAAAATAGACTTGACTATTTGTGTATTTATTTAATATTCTAATTGGAAAATTTCCCTATTCTTCAACCCAGGTGTTATCTCCATAAATGTAATAATTGTTACTGTCCGTTTACACTGTGTCACCTCTTCCATATAGCTTTCATTCTCATATCTCAGTATCCACGTAAAATATTATTATGGAATCTTGGCCCGAATCTATAATTCTGGCAAATTATGCATTTATGTCTCTCCATAAAAGTATTAAATGTTCATTAAGGTCGTATATAACAAATTTAATTTGTGTTTGTCTGGCTATTAGCGTGTATGAATCTGAATCTGGAAGTTAATAATTTTATCCTTTACCTAGCATCGGACAGACAGCAAGAATTCAAGAGATTTACAGACATGTCTGTCTTCTGTATGTACCCTGTAGATCCGAATTTGTGTGATAACAGCAATTTCACAAATTCGTGTCTGGGGGAATATGCAGTTGACGCAAACGCTACAGACGCTGCTGGAACTTGACGCAGTTTTGCGTCGAACTGATTTCATAATCCATTTATATTATTTATTATCTTTTTTTTTTTTTTTTTTACAAATGCCTCCAGCTGAATAATCTCTGGATAATATCAAGGTTTGAGAGAAGATTCACGATTACATATAATCAGTTAATGATGTGATGATTGCAACGAGCTGATGAAAAACATGCTGTTTAAATAACAGAGTTCAGCAGCTCAACTTGCTTTGATTTAAGTCATAAAATCTACTATTTTAAAGAATTTATGATTTATTATTTTTTTCAGTGTGTTTTTTTTAGTGCTGAGACTGTATTTTTATTTTCGGTTTTGCCCTTGAAATTGGCAATTTAATATTGTACCTAAATGGAATTTATTAAAGCAAGTATCTCCGAATTAGTTGATGAATTTTCTATCGATCTAATGCAAGACTTATCTGTCTCTGACAAGGTCCTACAAACCTTTTTTTTCTGCAGACACAAGACAGCCACTGAGACTATTGCTGATATTTAAAGCTGTGCTCTGAATACCTGTTTCAGTTTTGGCTGGAGGTATTAGGAGGAGGGAAGAAGGGGAGGAGGGTGCACTTTATATTAAGTCTAAACATATGTTTTCAGTTTTCCTAAGGATTTGGGGCTGTTTGGCTGTGGATGCTCCCTACCTTAGTTCAGATCACTATGTAAAGTCAAGGGATGTAAGAAGGTATCAGAATGGGTGGATCATTAATTAGAACACAGGGGATGGGGGCTGATAACCTGACTGATGTTGCTGGGGCTGTGGAACATGTTTCCTTATCCGGGGATGGTTGAAACGTTCCCATTGGCTCTCGGTGTCACATGCAAAAGCCAACTTTGTTCACTTGACATTAAGTAGGAGGGTTTCACCAAACAGGAAAACGACTGGGGCTCCTGGAATAAATTGTTACATGGGTTTGGGTGCAATTCAAACAAATAAATGACTATGAGCTCGTTTCTGATTAGTTCCAATTATGTGGACCCCAAATTTCCACCGTGTGAGGAGTACTCCCAGAGTGATTACCTCCCCAGCCATTCTCAGGACTATTTCAGCAACCACAAGAGGGACAGCAGCTACCAACATGGGGCGACCTACCCTCGAGCCCCCAGCTCCAGCCAGCCCTATCCTCCCTGCCAGGGCTCTGGACTTCAGCCCTCTGTAGTGTCCCCCAGGACTCACCCCCCAGCAGGACTGATCCCTGAAGACAAGCACAACTGTCAGTCCACCAGCCCCAATTCACCTCCATCCTGCAGCCAAATATCCCTGGACAGCAAGCCCCTGGACTCTCCTTGCCAGGATCCGGTAGTCTACCCTTGGATGAAGAAAGTGCACATCTCAACTGGTAAGTGTACACTAGTTGTGTCTTCTTTCCCCAGGACTTGGAGTAAAAAAAAAATGATGAGATTTACGATGTGCTGTTTGCAGGGCAGTATAATTACATCCTCCATAAATTTTTATTGCACTCTTTGGCCAGCTGCCTTTGAAGTTAAGTTACCATCCTCCTCAAATTTCTCCAAAGCCCCCGTTTTAGTATGGTGTGTGTGTGTGTAGGGGAGGGGGGTTTGCTTTCCTTCACCAAGATTTTTATGTTTTGCTAATTTGTGTTTTAAGTGGCAGATTGGGTAAACTTTCACTGCTTCCTGTCACTTTAAACGTGGGGTTGTTAGAAAGTGCAAGCTTGACACTATGTAACAATCTGCTATATTATAGCACTAACCACTTAAACAGAACGTGTATATAATTCATGGTTTGGGATAGCCTAAGGGTGTTCTATTAGGCAAACACCCAGCTTTAACACTGCTGTTTTGTCCCTGTTTATCCAGCATAAGACACCCTAGGGTAACAAAGTATTCATTGTATATGTATATGTAGGACTGAGATTTTTTTATTTTATGTATTCATTATTTGTATTTATTTATATTGCAGCCAATCCTGCTTATTGTGGGCCAGACAGTAAACGGTCACGAACAGCGTACACCAGGCAGCAGGTCCTGGAGCTGGAGAAAGAATTTCACTACAACCGCTACCTGACACGCAGACGAAGGATAGAAATTGCGCACACTTTGCGTCTTTCTGAACGTCAAATCAAGATCTGGTTTCAAAACCGGAGAATGAAGTGGAAGAAAGACCACAAACTCCCCAACACCAAAATCAGATCTAACACCCCCGCAAGCCTCCAAATAACTGCACCCCAAAACCTTACCAAGGGGAACATGGGGTGTCCTTAAAAAAATCTCCGGGACTAATTAAAAAAAATTAAAAATAAACAACTAAAAATATGAATCAGACAAAGACAAAAATTAAACTTATTTTATTTATATGAGGAGAGAACGCTCTGGAAAGAGAAGCAGACTTGGCTTTGTTCCTTGTCTCCATTGAAGAGAAGCCTCTGTAGATATATTTCAGATTTGGAGAAGATAGATCTATGTTTCATCTTTAATCACGCCAAACTCTGGCCCATTTGTCATGTTTACACTGCGGTACAAAGGATGAACCTCGTCTGACAAGAGGGACGCTTACTTTAATAAATGAGACTCCCTTGTTTTACTGGGACCACATTTCCTTTCTTCTCCTTTATTCAACCCTAGAATGTTCTGTGGTGGATCTAACATCCATGCATTTGATATGTTACATGTAGAAAGCCAGCTGTTGTGGGGAGGGTTTTTTTTTAGCTGTGGCTGTATTAATCTTTGTTAGATAGCTCTTTCATACATGAGATTATTTCATATTAGAGATCCTTGGTTCTCAAAGTTGATGGTCATCAATTTCTCTTGTCAATTAGGTCTCCAGAACCAGGGAATGGTACCCACAATGAAAGCCTAGAACTGCCTGTTCCTATCTAATGCTCATTTTCCTATCATTCCATGATAAATCTACCTAAATTATGAAAAATTCACACCCAAGGCCCATGCACACAAAAGGACATGGACTGGGTGGACTGGAGGGTGGGTGGGTGTGAGGGTGGAGATATCAAACTTCATTAAATATCTGTCATTCATTCACTCTAGAGGCCGCTCCTTGCTTACTGTAAATATTCTATGAATAAATATTTTTTTTCTTTCTCACGTGAATGTCTTTTGTGTTATCGCAAACGTGTTAGCTTTGATTACGTCATGGGAACCCATGAACTATGACGTCATAGCACCAGAAATGCTGTTACCTCTTATATTTGTTCACCTTGTTTGATCAAGCTCGCTTTAACAACTATATTTCATGCATAGAGCTGTCTTTTTTTTTTTTTTTTTGACAAGTAGCACTCAAGTAAAGTTTATTTTAAACTTGAAATCACTCCTCAGTCATTGAAGAAGGTGTTCAAATTCTGTAAAAGAAAAGGGCTCTGCATTTAACGCGTTAATAAGACTCATTCTCTGCACAGATGTTTCACGGTGTATCCAGGTTTTCTGTGTGTTTTTATAGTACAAAGAATCCTGGCCACTGCAATAGCTCAAACCCTGACAAGCAAATAGATGATCAAGAAGACAAATGGGTTCTTTTGTGATACACCGATCTTGTATTAATTTTCATTTTCTCCCTCATATCGAGTTTCAGTTCGGGACTAAATATCTTTTTATAATTGTTATTTTTTTTTTTTATAATTCTGCTTCCATGAACCAGTTTGTGCGTGTATATATCTATCTATATATATATATGTACACACACACACACACACACACACACACATCCTCAAATTGTGTAAATATTTATTTAATAATCCAGGTCTTGGTTTTTGTTTAGTTAAAAATAATTATTTCTGAAATAAAAAATATATAGCTTCTACACAGCAACGTGTTTAAATGTGAAGAAAGTGTATTTATATTCTTTATTGCATAAAACGAAATACACCTGAACATGGTCTCAAAAAACAGTTTTTTTTTGGTCTCAAAAAAAAAAGAAAGATCAAATATTCCTTTGGAAAATAATTTTTGCCTCAAAAAGGCGGCCATGTGCTATTTAGCCAAATTAAAGAATGGGCATGCCACTCACTCTCCCATATATTTAGCATTTTCCTTGGTCCAGAATTATATATGTGAAGGAGAGAATGGCTTTTAGACAGCTTTTTCTGTTGAATCCCAACCATTATTTGTAGACAGAGCCCAAGAAAAATGTGAGAATTATACAGAAAAATCATTAATCACTTGTTCTTTTTTTAAAAATACTTACCCGTTGTCTTTGTTATTCAACAGCAAATCTGTGTGGACCTTCTGTTGAGAGGGGGAAAAGGTGCAGGAGACTTCTGGAAACGTAAAAGAGACGCGGGATTTGACCATCCACTGTTTTCCCCCTTTTTAAAAAAAAAAAAAAAAATTGGAAACGTTTCAGAAAACATGGCTTGGAAATTACAAGTCTTGAGATCAGGGGCCAGGATCCCTCAAGGTAACAGCACTGTCAAACTCACTGCATTTTATTGTTTTATAACCTCCTGTCACAACTGTCTGTATAAAAACAAAACTTCCTTTGAAGTTACTTTGAAGCTGACTCGGATTTAATAGAACAAAACAGGATCTATAAAATCATGTGCTATAGAAGACACAGTCAGAACAAGGTAGTTCATATGTACAAGAGATTCCCAAGTAGATCTTATAGTACCGATATAAAATATAAATAAAAGGAGAACAAAACAAAAACATACACACAATTTAGAGATTCCTAAGTATGTCTCATAGTACCTAAATACAAAATGAACAAAACAAACAAACAAAAACACACACACAATTCAGAAATTCCTAAGTATGTCTTATAGTACCCATATAAAAAATGAACAAAACAAACACACACACACACACACAAACAATTCAGAGATTCCTAAGTATGTCTCACAGTACTCATATTTAAAAAATGAACAAAACACACACACACACACACAATTCAGAGATTCCCAAGTATGTCTTATAGTACCCATATAAAAAATGAACAAAACACACACACACACACACACACAAACCCACTTACAATTCTTAGATTCACAAGCATGTCTGATAGTACTGATAAAAAAAAGAACAAAACACACACACATATATAACATTCAGAGTTTCCCAAGTAAGTCTTATAGTACTCCTAAAAAAAGAACAAAACACACACATGCAAACTCATATATATATATATATATATAATTTAGTAGAGATTCGATTTTTTGGGTTATCAAAGAAATATTCCAATGTATATTATATTTTCCAATTAATTTGACGCTAAAGTGAGTTCTAAGGAAATGAGGGTTGATCTGGAAAAAAAGAGCATAATCCTTTTATCAAATTGTAATTTTGTATTTTTTTTTTTTATCATAGAAAGATATATGTGTTGTTTGTTGCATAGGCGTTGTTTCACGGTTTTTCTTTTTTTTTTTAAGTATAAGGATTTTAAAGGGCAAAACATCTGGGAAAAAAATCATAGATGGCCATGAAATTAGACATTTTTTCCTTGCTGGAAAAGGCTGGGAATGCCCAGGAACAATCTGGAAATGCCAGCTTATTTTGAGTGCTTAGAGCTCATTTTGGGTCAAATAAATGTATATACATGAACACAAAAAAACTGAAAGAATGTGAAAAGGAATGAGCTTAGGGTTCAACTGTAGGGCAAGCTGGTGTAATAACCACAGTCTGCAGCAGGAACCCTGTGACCTCTCTCTGAGAGTGGACAGGGCCTCACTGAACTCTTGCTACACAGTGCAGGACAGCAGAATTAAACTCTGACTATCTCCAGAGTTCCAGGGCTCATCTGGGGGCCTGATATTGGTCTTCACAGATAAACATATACACAGTAAGACATCTACACACATGTTAACTACTGGAGTGCCAAAGGCTTTAGTATCTCTTTCGAGATATTCACTAAGCAATGAGAAATAGCTTGCAAAAGAAAATGAGAAATTATACCACACACACATTTATTATTATTATTATTATTATTATTATTATTATCTTTTTTTCTCTTGATCTAGGCCATTGATCTTAGTTTTTTTTTTAAGCCTTTTGTTCACTCATTGCAACTTTTTAGTGAATAGACCTCTACATATAATTTATCTTAACTCAGTTAGGTTATATGATTTAAATAAAATGCTTTCAAAATACATCTAAATTCAAGAACACAAAATATAAAGCTAAATATGTCAATATTTCCACACAGGATATAAGGTAGAACTTAAGGACACACACAGGATATATGGTGTATAGTTTGTTTCGAATGGAACATTAAGTTTGTTGTTTTTTGAGGGGTGAGGGAATATCCTGGTGTACAAACAAGTCCCATTGATTGTTCAGGCCCATATAACACTTATAAATGCCTTTTTACAGCTCCTTCTAAGGTTGACATTTGCTGTTATTCTTGGGCGTAAACGGATTTTTTTCTTCTTCTATATATTTTATTCAAACGCTTGTCGTTTGGTACACCAGAAAATTCTTATTTGTGAGAAGAAACGTCCATAAATTATACCGAAGCCTATTTACATTTAGCAAATAGAACAAAATAAAACGATTACACTTTATTTTCTCTTTTTATTATATTTGATGGCGCAAATACTATAGTATAAATAAAATAAATACAGATTTTATAGCTGCAATGATTTATGTTACTGCTGGTAGATTTCGACACAGAGTATTGTTTATAGCATTTTGCATTAGGAGTAGAATACACTTCATTAAAACATAGAAAATTATTATATTAATAGGTTACAGACTTGTGTATCTGTTTGTGTGTGTGTGTGTGTGTTTGTGTGTGTGTGAAAGAGAGAGAGAGAGAGAGAGAGAGAGAGAGAGAGAGGACAGGTAATTACTGAAAATACACAAATTTAGCCAAATGTATTAGACATTTTTTTTCAATTGTATTCAGACATAAACTTGGTGTTATCAATGTAACAAATGAATCGCTTTTGCCAGCGATTTTAAGTTGGAAACATATAAATTGAGAATAAGCAACGTTTAAAAAAAAAGGAGAGAAGCATTTAAATCTAGAGTGTGTTAAAGAGACAGTCGCTTGTCTTCTGCTATAGTTTAGATTCCCCATTGTTCTCAAGAGCCAATTCACAGGCAGAGATTTCTCAGTGACAGATTTATGATGCCCAATAAAACGCAGCTTGTTTAAATTCCTAAATCAATCTCTTTTTCTCATTACATAAACTTACCTTTTATCTACCTCAAAAATGCTTTGAAGCTCTCACCCACGAATCTAACAGCTCCCTTTGGGTCCATGCAATCTCCATGTCCCTTTAAAGGAAGATTGTGTTTTTTTTTCTTTTGTTTTGTTTTGCTCTTAGCACGCAATCGAATTATTTCCCTTGTTTACACTATGTTGATCTGGGGTACATTTTTAATGTCGAATAATATGCACTATTTCTTACAAATATTGCATTGCTCCTACATGGGGTTATTCATTAAATCGTGGTATTCTGAAAGCACTTTAGGGCTGAAATATGGTAATAATGTGATATTTTTGCATAATTATTATTTTTGGTCTTGTAGTAGTTCTATTCAATTAACCAGCATTTAACAAATAAGCCATCGTTAGAAACTGTAGCAAATACATTATAGTCAATTTGAAGGATCAGCTTAATATTATGTGAGCCTCTTGTTACACTTTGTATCTGTGAGCAGTGTGATGCAGACATCAGAACCATATAGATTCCATTAGTAATATATATATAAAGGTATACACGGTCCATTAATAAACTAAATAAGCACAAAAAAAAAAGTTAAAAAGAATTTTAAGGAATTTTATGTGTCTGCATTGATCAGACCAGCAATTCACTGGCTAACAGACTGATCTCTGAACAATGTATACAATATGAAGTCAAATTACAGAATTGAGTTTATATCTGAGGTTGTATGGAATTATGAGAGGTATAGATCTGAGGTCTCCAACACCTTTATAGAATTAATCTAATCCTGGAGATTCATATTTATACCTATAGATATATGTGATATATATATATATATATATATATATATATATATGCACAATATATTGCTATACACTATACTGGGTGTTTTTGTGGAAGGTCATAGTGGTCCACAGTGTATGAAAGTGAGACCCCCTCCCCCCCTCTCTCCTTGGTCACGTGATTCATTAAATAATTAATGCAGAGGTTGCAGGATAGATATGTATTCGTCAGTAAAATCGCAGACATGGTCTCCTTGTGTCTGACGTGAAATTCAACTGTCCTTAAAAAACAGCCTATAGCAGAGAAAGAGAGGGAGAGAGAAAGAAAGAGAGAGGGAGAGAGAGGCTGCAATAAAACAAGTGGGATCAGAGCCACTCTGTGGGCTGGATTATTGTAAGTATCAGGGAATCCCTGTGTCTGTATGTGTGTGTGTCCATGTAAATTTATTGTGTCTTATTAATGTTATTGTCGTAAACTGTGACAAATAGGGATCTTCATTTCCTGCCATTCCTCCTCACTTCGTGCTATGTGTGTTTATACCCATAGAGACATGCAGACAGAATTTTCACATTTCTCCCCATACACTCCTTTCTTGATTTACGACAATAAGGATGTCAGCACTGTGCTGCTGCCATTGTGTGTTTGTGGGAGAGTTGTGTTGTTTATGATGCTGTCTGCAGTGAATCATTTTTCAGCATCAGTTGCTGATCATAATCCAAAATGGAAACATTTCAGACTTTTCTTATTTATTTTTTTCCATCCACCCTATTCAGGATCACTTGCAATAAAACAGCAGCTAATAGGGAATTAAGTAGCCAAGGGGTCTCATGTTACAGCTTAGCATGTATTAAAGGGTGGAGCTCTCTGCTATTAACTTTAAACTATGGGGGTACTCCAGGCACTGAAAGTGCAGGAGAGAGACTTTACAATGGTACATAGCGATATCTCACGCTGAATCCCCCCCTAACAAGAAAGGGTTTCAGACATACTCAGGGGGTGGGTGAGGGGTTGTGTGGATTGTAAAGTCTACCTAAACATCCAGCAACATCTGCCTGGAGATTGATGGAAATAGTCTTTTTTAGGACTAAGAAGAAATACATGGGATTAAAAAAGTTATCATGAATTAGTATAGTAAAAAAACAAAACGTGTTATTGTCTACTATAGTAACTAGATATATGTACACTCATATGAGAAAACATTAATCTGTATAAAGGGTTTTTGAGTTTTTCAGTATGTGTGTGTAAATAGATTGTTGTTTATTCTTAGCAGTGTTTAATTGTTTCATTGTTGAATCCTGCAAGTCGCCTTTAAGAGCAATGTTACATAGCAATGAATATACACTACATTGTCCATGATTGCCAAAGCATCCACTCTTAAATAAATGCTTTCGAAGACATGTTGATTGCTAATTAATGAGTTAGGAATTCTAGATGACATATCTGGCGTATGAGTTATATTTAGAGAAGCTTCCTTTTGCCATCAACCCATCCACATAGACAATGTATTTTTTTCCCAAACACTAGGCTACAGAGGACTTTGGACCCTGTCCACTCATACAGTCAGTCTGTCTATAGATTGTGTAGCCCAGGTACCTTTGTTTGTAGGACATCTCTACATGTATAATACTTGGCCCGTTCTTAATAAGAAAAGTGTATGATTATTTCATAATGAAATATTTATTGTATACTTGTGAATGCCATATGTGTGTATATTCAGTTTATTGAAATATATTTATAAAATAGAGTTTTATCTGGTTTCCAAAATAGATTAATTAAATGTTTATTAATCACTGGCTATCAGAGTTAAACATAACAACAAGGCAAGAGTTATTTTATACTCTGTGTTTGTGTGTGTGTATATATATATATATATATATATATATATACACACACACACACACACACACACACACACACACACATAATTTCTTTTCTACTCTTTCTATTCTCTCTCTCTCTCTCTCTCTATCTATCTATCTACACACACACAGACACACAGACACAGACAGACACAGTATAAAATAACTCTTGCTTTGTTTCTATATTTAACTCTGATAGCCAGTGATTAATAAACATTTAAATCTGTTTGATTCCTAAATATATTCCTTTGGACATATTTAATGGTTTAAATAGTACAGGAGACAAAGAGCTTCCTTGGGGGCAGATCCCTGAACCACAGCTCCTTATTTCACAGCTAAATGTGAATTCTCTGAAATATCTCTCATAGCACCAGGTACTATCACTCTCTCTGTATCTACCAGCAGAGCTGAATTATACATTCCAAAAAGAATTCCAGGAAATATATCTCCCCACCACCTCGGATAAATCTCAGCCAAATATGCTCTGTTTATTGCCATCAGCAAAGACCCACATTTTATACACTGAAAACAGGTAATTCTTTAAATCAGAAATTGTAGTGAATTGAAAACCAAATTGAAGCATTTTAGGTAAAAATAATTGCAGATTTTCAGAAATTTTCCAACTCAATTATGATCACAGTTTGGCTGTTTCATACTATATTCTGTAATTTGGTTTTCATTTCCCTTCATATTGGGGTTTAGTGTCAGTTGCAAAAGTCTATGACTTCTCAATGCAATAAGAAATGAATATATCTGATATTAATAAATCGTGCATGTAAGGGAAAAATCATCCTCTTGAATACCCTTCTAACTATAAATATATTTTAAAACAAAATTAATGCCATACACAAAAATCATCTGCCATGCAATTATATATATTCCCTTAATTGGAAGACGGATTTGTATTGTTATTAATTGTGCATAATGATATATATATATATATATTTGTTTTTATATTTTTTTAAATTGAAATGTCCCTGAACAATAATGCATGTGTGTTTGTGTTTGTTTAGTACGTGTGTGTGTACACAAATGCATTGTGTTCAAGGGTTAGTTAAGGGTTAGCTCTTATCTCCTCGCTGAGCTGCAAAAAGTCTCAGTTAGAAATCAGAGTCTCCTTTTCTCTTCACTTTAACACTTTGCTTCTCCAAGATCTGCCAAAAGTTGGGGAGGTGACAGTCTTAACGGAAATTGTAGCAGTGATTTAAAACACAGGAGTTACAAAAGCAAGGAACACACATGGCTGTTTGAAAAAATCACTTCAAACAAAGATTCAAACACATACTCTACAATTCAACACAGATACAGTATGTGCCAATATGTCATTCTCTGCCTCTCCTGGCATCTTCACCTTGTGTTAACATTGAATCCAACAGCTGCAATAGCGCAGTATACTATTCTCTAAAATCAACATAGATCTTGCACTGAGCAAAAAGACATGGGTTTTCATGCTCACACAAGGGGAAATGGGAGAACACAGATGGAGAGAAGCAATGTCCTTTATGGAAAGAAACCTCAGTGTGCTTTAGACTAGAGAACATTTTTGAGGCTATTCACTAAACGATAAGTTGTGGTGACTTGAAAGCCGACGCCTTTAAGTATAATTATCCGAACGGATTGTGCTGAAATGGGGACAAATTCGTCAGTTCAACCACTAAACATTGAAAACTGATTTGCTAACATTAGACTAAAACTGCTTGATTTAAAAAAAAAAAATTCTCCAATTCGCCTATTGTGTGGCTAATCTAGCCTAAATTATGCGATCTGAGTTTCATTTTAAGAAAGACTCACTCTTTGAATAAACCATCAAGTTGTTTTTTTTCTTATACACTTTCTCCAGCCTAAAATTTCCAAGCTGTAATTTATTATGTTTTAAATGTCATAACTCTCTATTTCGTGAACAGAATATTATGTGTACTACAACTTTATTTCAGGATGCTAAACTGTTTGTTGTATATCGTGCGATCAGTAAACTCACGCAGATATTTAAATTAATTAAATTAGATAGATGTTTAAATGAAATAGTACACTTCATATATATATACATATGTGTGTGTATGTGTACTATTTAATTTATATAGCTATATATATAGGTTTTCTGCAAACCCCACACAAGCTCCTAGAATCTAGTTTAAATTGCTAAAACCACATGCAACATTTTAACATTTAAAAATAAAAGCATATCAATGAAATCACAATAAAAAGGAGGCCTTTGAAATGTCTCCAATTTATCCTGCACATAAAGGAAATGTTTGTAGAGAGTGCCCCTGCTTTCCTGGGGCTACCCAGCGAGGAAATGGCTATTGAAATATCCTATTTTGCTGAGAATTGGCTTCCATTAGATTCCCTGTCTCAGTATTATTACTGCAGCCTGCAGCTAAGCGGAATATTTTACCAAGCGCTTCATCTGCTCACAAACGAAATCCGAGAACAACCACAAGTTCCTCAGTGACCTTAATGTAATTGATTTTATCATAAATCATCAATTTGATGAAGAAACAAAGTTTTCATTGAAGTAAATTGATATTAATGGACTTTTTTGGGGAAATTCAAACTACCTTTATTGTTGTTTTCGACCATACTGGAGCGATTTATATATATTTTTTTCTGCTGTGTTAAAAAAAATTGCCTTATTAAAACGTGCTTCCTGGAGGAAGGGAATAAAACGCTTTAATTGAGGATGCAATTTCTATTTTTTCTATATTGCTTGCAGTGAAATAATCCACAAAGAGACGGATTATTGCATGAGCATGGATCTTACAATCAAAAGATACATGGCATATAGAGAATGGCTTTGGGAATAATTATAAATACATATATATAAAAAAAACCTGTGTTAGCTGGGATCAAATCATTATCTCCATATAATGGCATAGGTCGAATTTAGAGTCAATACTTGTGGCTTTCACTAGTTCCAAAATAGCCAGGGGTGTGACCCCGGTTTTAAGGGCCTTGAAGAAGAGAAGGTCTTACAATAAAGACATTGAGAGTTCTGTTAAATATTAACAGGCCAATTATTTTCACTAGTGATTAAACATTAACTGTCAAAAAAGAAAAGAAGAAATTGTTTCTAAGGGAAGGTTCTAGGGATTAGTTTTAGAATGCTAAAAACGAACATATACGGTAAAAACAATAATAAACTTTATATATATATGTATAGTCACTGCTGTGTGAAATATGGCTGGAGGGAGGGTTTCACAACTTTTACCATTTAACTATTAGACCGATATATCGAATTCCGGTTTGAACTGAGACACATTGGAAAATATTGTTGCCATAGGGGAAATATTATTTATATAACATTAAAGCGTGTAAGATAGATATTAGTTATTATGTTACTTTGTCCCTCTGGCTTTGTTTTCTGTGTAAAGTGGAATTCAATATTTCGGTCAAAAATTGAGAAAGCCTTCAGCTGTTGGAGGGTTAATAGCACATCCGTGTCTTTATTAAGGTAAAGACATTTAGAATTTGGAATCTTCTTGTCTTGGGATTTCTTTCATTGTTTGCCCCACATCGCTCCTGTGAAGCCAAAAGCCACCCATCTCAGTGGACACCCATAAGGAGGAGAAGATATCAGCTATCAGGAATGGTTCTGGATCCAGCTTGGAAGTGGTAGGAGATAATCGGGGAATTGTATTTGACTGGGTTAAACATGAAGCGTGGGTGTGAGCCAGCCCACCTCCTCTTAGACCCTCCAGCAAAGTGCAGAGTAAGGTTATCACATTGAAGGGAGAACAGAAGACTCACAGCTCTCACCTAATGCTACACTTTGAAGAGCAGGTCCTACAAGAAGTTGGAATTTTATCGCCTCTCCTGTCCTCTCCACATTCCAGACTGGGCTCACCACATGGGTTTCATCCACTTTCAAGTAGCAACCCTGGGCCATAAGACGATAACTGCTTGGCAAGACCATCTACCCGCAAGAGGTCTGGAACAATGAGAGTTTGGAGCTGCCGGTCAGAGAAGAAGTTAGTAGTTCATCTTGATTACAGTTTGCAACGTTCCATCGCCATGGTCATTCTAGAATGCTGGTCAGAACTATCCTGCAAAGTTGACAACAAATGTATCCAAATGTCCCTTGACCCAGGCTACCAGCAATGACTCAGGAGAGGTGACCTCCGAGAGAATTCTGGGAGAAGTCACGCAGGCTAAGGGCAGTTAAATATTAGTAAACACTTGGAGCCATTTTAACTTCCTGGTGAGTTAACTTTTTAGAAGATGCATTGATATTACATTATTGGCATTGTGGCATGAATTTCTTATCCTAATATATTTGATATATATATATATTCTCTACTAAATTATGTGATATGCATATTATGTGATATATATATTATGTGAAATATATATAAATATATATTCACATCATTTAGGAGAGATGTGGAAAAGTGAACATTTAGTAAATGTAAAGGGTTACAGTATCATCACGATTGCATGGTATTGGTTTTTTATTCAGATAATATAATATTAACGTGCCTTATTTAATTGGAAGCCAGTCACCCAGCTCAGTAATATTTCTATAATCTATAGATTTGGGAATCACCTCATTTTAGTCTGCAGTAATAACGTTATCTTTAATCTAGCGAGAAAATTAGTAATTAACTGACCTGGCTGCCTGTTTGGTGGACTATTGCCAGGGCCTCGTGTTATGAAGAATATATGGCTAGAGGCCTCATATTCTGGGAGGTCATGGTGATTTGTGACGGTTTTACACAGGAAAAATGTGCTAATAACATTTAAAGACCAGTAACTCACACACTGAAAGGGGATTATATATGAGGGTTGATATATATCCCAGCTCTAGCTCCCAGTACTGCACAGACCACGTGCCTCCAGCAATTTATACATGTGTCATTATTAATAGAAAGGAGAGAGTTTTTTTTTAATGTGTCGATTGCATTTATTTTTGTGTGTTTTGTTATTTAACCCTTTTCGCGAATATCCATATTGGTAGGTAATGGGGGGAAAAAAATCATAGACACAAAAAGTGTTTCTCACCAAAATAAGGGAAAATAATCTACTGCTATGACATTGTCGACGTTTCGATCTAAGATTAAAGGAAATTCACTTCATCAGAGTCAAATAGTGGGGCATTTGAGTTAGACGTTTCTGGGTTTAAAAGATTCTTAGTAGATATGTAAATCACCCAAACAAACCAATAAGTGTATAAATACATAACTGAGTAAAATAAAATGTTGCTTGCTCGGTGTGTATAGAGTACAATAAAGCACAAAACAGATTGTATAAATATCACTTTATTTTATGTGTATATAGGATGTGTCTATTAGCTGCGGTAAAGCGCAACTCACATCAGGCTGAGGCAGCACAAGGCACGGTTGGATCATGAGTTTAAAGCTAAAAAGATGTTGTTATCGAAACGTTTGTGCGGGTTGGCACTTATATAAACGCTACAAACTTGGCAACTAAAATGCATCTAAAAGCAGTCACTGCATGACGAGTTGTGGCGAGTTTATAACTAACTTGAAAACTTTAAGGGAACATGACTTGGGGAAAAAACTGCCATTTTTTTTCCCTCCATAATAGTAGATTGCTTTTTTTATTGCGTATTTTTTTTCATTCGGTTGTTTACTCACCACAACATTTTCAGGGTTATTTAGTAAATTAAGAATTTAAAGAGAATTTAAAATGTAAGGCCAGATTAGGCAAACTGAAAGCTCAGCTGTTTACCTTTTAATTTAGAAATGATGCACATGCAAACTAACATGGTTATTAACTTTTAGAGAATTTTAAATTTAAGGTCAAAATAGCCGAGCTGGAAAAATTCTCTAAGTCAGCCATGCTTTCAATTCGACTGCTCTGGCCTGAAATGTGAAATTTACTTTGGATTTTCACGTTAGTGAATACACTTATATATTATTTGCTTCTGTGATATCATTCAAGAAGTACAAGCTAAATGAAATGACTAAAGAAACAGCAGTGATTACTAATAAACTATTTGATATAGTCACTCCCTGAGACATACACAGACATATAACTTATGTTCTGCTGATATTGAAATGTCTGAGGGTTTGTATGTTTCCTACAAATTGTCTGGGCGCTGTTTATTCACTAACATCACATGGTATAATATAATATTTATCGCCTTCTTCCTACAGAAAAAGTAACCCGCTTCATCTTGAAACGTGATATTTGTTGGAGAAGACAATTAAAGCGGTGAGTCCTCACAGTTAATTCTAAATATTTAGCCCATGCACAATGTCAATTATTCCAAACACTATGGTTATCCTGCGATGGTCATGATGTCATTGATCACTCCAGGTTGATATTTGCAATGAGTTAATGTAGCTGGCCCACTCTGTTTGTGTACATAAAGTTTCAATATGAGCAGAAACACTTGAAGAACAGGAGGTTTGGCATTTGTGAAGAGAAGTCACACCTCTGGCAGCTGTGCTGATACAAACCTCTTTTTGGTGACAATACAGCCGGGTCCACTTTGTAATCATCAATGGACCTAATTTACTCAAGTAGCAAAGCCATTAAAGGTTGAGGCCAATACTGTTTTAAGTGTCTTTCTTTAGATAAAAAGTTGAAATCAGTCAGAGTTTCACTAAACACAGTTGCACATTGAAATTAGCAGTTGGCAGTAGGCAAAAGTAGGCCAAATAGCACAACTGGCAAAAAAAATGTGCAGAATAGATTAGTTGCAGATTTATTTATTTTTTTCCAATTCTCCATTTTTTTGCTTCTTTGTGCTTCTTTGTTTTTAAGTTGGCTATTGTATGGCTGCAATTCACATTCAAGTGAATACATTACAGTGACTTATTGTAAACATGTAAACACTGAATTTATTTTTCTTTTATTAGAACTAAAGAGTGAGTTGTGGTGTCCTAAAAATTACTTCCAAAACAGAGACTGCCTGATTTTGATACAGTTCCAATGGAGGAAGGGGGGGGGGGTCTCAATCTATAAAAACTAATTATTTGGTAAATAAACTCCCAAATCCTTTGAATACCTTAAGGGACCCAGACATGCAGAGGTATGCACCTCATTGTGTGCAGAACAGATATGTTGTTGTACATACAACATGTCTTTGCCATGCTGCTTGATGTGATTTACACAACACATAATGAATTACCATAGGTATGATGCATCTTACAATGTGATACTGTAGTAACACATTCCACCCAGTTGGCAGCCTAACACAATTATGTTAAACATGAAAATACACAGTACAATAAGCATAGAACATAAACACATAAAAAAAAAAAAAAAACATATTTCAACAGAAGTCATAAGGCATTGGAACATCTACTAAGTTTATATTTTATTCTTTAAGAAAGCAGTATGTATGTAACAGGCTTTATTGAAATGTTGCATTTTATTATTCTCTACCACCTCTGCTGGAAACCTCGACCACCCATCCACTACTCTTTAAAAAAACACCTGATATTGAAATGATAGCTTTAAATCTGGCAATTTATATGTACAAAATAATTTTCATACAGTTCCCCCCTTGCATTCAGCTGTCCATCATCTTGGTCACACTTGCATGGGTTTCTGCAGAAATTGGCACACTATTTTGGCAAATATTTTGGAAACGTTTTGGAAGACTGTTAATGTTTCTCTGCTCTAACCTACTATATATAATGCTTCAGGATCCCTTGAGATGCATTGTTATGTTACCTTGCATAGCATGGTGTATTATAGAGAGGACTATATTATATACATACACCTACTAGGAATGACAATGCACATTTATATACAATAATAATAATATTCAATGGTGCTTATAATAAGCAAAGGAACACATGGTGCAATACAGAGTGAGATCTATCTTTAAAATACAAATATGTATCAAATGACCTTAGGGGATAAGTAACTAAACAGTGTATTGTCTTGAGTTGACAAGTACTTTGCAAAACTTAAGCCAAACTATGGTAACTAAGGCCCCCATAAGCTTTTCAAATGATCACAGTCTGTTAGAAAAAAACTTTCCAAATGATTTCTTTACAGATCTCACTAATAAAGACTATTGTTTTTTTTCTGTAGATAAGTCAAAACAAAGTTATTCTAACACATTGTGATCCTAAGAAAAGCTTTTCCAAAAAATAGGCCTAACTTGGTAAAAAAAAAAACTCAGTTTCAGCCAAACTCACTATTCAATATATAGATCTTGAAATATATATATACATGCTCTTTAGGGGCATATGGTGTACATGCATTTGTACACTGACATAGTATATTTTATAGAGAATTCTGACACAGTAACATAAAATTACATATAATAAGCATATGTAGAATATTTTTTTTTAGGTTCATACTTAGAAGAATATATTACACAATATGCAGTATTTCCCTACTGTAGCCAATATACCAAATATATTATATTAATACAGTATATACTATTTTAGTATAGTTAGTGTATATAATATTTCTGACATAAATATTATCCATCACAGTATAATTGCAAATATATAAGCAAGCATAGTTCAGGTAAGGCATAGCATGATAATGTATAAAATATACAGTGAATAATTTGTGTAGAACCATCTACTGTGACCACAGATAAGAATGGAATTGGCCTATCATGTCTGCTTATAATGAATACCTTATGCACATTCCAAACATTGCTGAATTCCTGTACTGTACAAGCTTTAACTACTTCCACTGGAAGGCTGTTCCTGGTATCTACAACCCTATCTGCAAATTGCTATTTATCTCACATTACTCATCCAGTTTCCAATAGATGGATGGACAGATTGCAATATGGTTTGACCACTTTGTAAATGATAAAAGGTTAGCAGAAATATATTGTGTGGAAACTTCAATGCCATAGACTTGAGTGTTTTCTTAACAGATGCAAACTAGGTTCAAAAGTAGAAATAATGTACCTGACCGAGAATATAATGGAATAATGTTATTTTATCGAGTTTAATAAACAATTTTAGGGGAGCAAGGTAATGAGTATTTGATACATGATTTATAGAACACCCACCCAAACTGCTAGTTTGTGAATATTTAAATATAATGGCTTTTATTGTGACTGGTAAATAATCTACTTTTAGATTTGTGCAAATAATTAGCTGAGATGGACCTCACTAAATTGCCTGATCTGGAGAATTTTATTTACAACATTGTTATTTTGTTTACATTACTGCAAGTTGGATTAAGGTCATCACAATTCACTGTTTAGTGAATAAAACCCTTTTGTATGTTAAAAAAGATTTATTTCTTATTTTGCTATTTTGTTTAAAATCACTGTTTAGTAAATAAACCCCAATAAAATGAATTCTGAATACATCTCTGCTTCTCATCTTCAATTAAAAATGGTAAAATGGTACAATGGTACAGTGTATATATCTCCATGTGAAATGAAGGAGGTGCCATTCTGCAATGTAACAAGTTTTGTTTATTTGAAAAACTCCTCGGAACTATTAGTTTGCATTTCTGTATACAACAAGAATAAATTGGAGAAACAAATGACAGGTTGCATTGCATCTTTCAGATCTGCCCCCTGCCTCTAAAATGAACTAAACCATTTTTTTTAACCATGTGGTTCCAGGGAGGACTTTTTTTGAAACTTGCATAGGTGCCATCTGGCAGTGAATGGGTTCACGTTTGTGAGATGGGAGTTTATACACTGCTACTGACAGACCCATAAATCTTCCCTTTCAGTCACCCAGTTACCAGGGAAATCCTACAATCTAACTGGCTCCTCCTGTTACTTTTACACATTTCCTCCCAGGCTCTCAAATTTCTTTTTTTACATTATGTATAAGGAAAATTAAATACAACATAATTATTATTTAAAAATAAAAAAAAAGAAAGAAAAAAAAGGCAATATGCAGTGTGAATAGTTAAAAAAAAGAATCATGAATAATACAGAATCATAAAATTACTCAAGATACAATGTTATGTAGAGTGTATTTCTAAGAGTAGGCTCCCCCCCCTCCCCTTTAAGCTTTTCCAAAATACCTAAAAACAGATAATTTCATGTGATCTACTCAAATTTGTTTTCCTGAAGTAAAATATGGTGAAATTACACCGAGATGTGACCAACCCCTGTGATTAATTTGCAAGTTATTGATGATTTGTTTTAAATTAATATTATTTTTAATTCATTTGATTTTATTTATATAATGTAAGAGTCAATGATTAACCCTTTCCTCCTTTAAGAGATCTCCAACTTATTACAAAGGCAACACCCCTTCCCATATAGGCATCAAAGGGGTTAATCTTTAAGCAAATGCTGGGAAAAGGCTACACAAGACCTCCTGGAAGAAAAAGCCGGAATATAACACACAGAGTAGGTGAGATCAAACGGTGTATTAGCATAGACTGGCACCTAATTGAGCAGTAGGAAGAGATTCCAAGGCTAGGCCTCTGTCCACGTCTGTAATTAGCATAATCCCTCAGTGGTGACGCTGTGTTTAGAGCAATAACAACCGCTGACTTGTAGTGTAAAAAGCAAATGGTGAATATTTTTTTTTGTTTTTGTAATTATCTCGTCGCATTTGCCGTGGAATTTTGACGCACCGACCGTTCCTTTGCGCGGATTCTGCGACCATTTGTGCGCCTGGGATCTGAGGCCATTGTTAGCAGTGAGTAGGGCGGTGTGTAGGGGCAGCCTAGAGGCTCAGCTTGTCCATTGAAAGCCCTGAGATTAGCACGGATTCTCTCCCAGCTCTGCCTGCCACTGGAGCCTCTTCTTTCCCTCCCTCCCCTGGGCTCCTGCCTGGCTCCTGATGGTCCATACCAGGCTGCCAGGGGGACTCTCTGCCTATTGATTGCCCTGGATGTGGATAGATAGGATGTCTGCTTGTGGTTTGCTCGTCAGAGTCTGCTAAGGTAAGCTGGACCCAAATAGTCTATCAGTGAATGGCGGAGTCTCTGTCCCAGTGATTTATGACCATATGACTGGGATCTCGGTTCAAGAAGAGTTCACACCAGCCTTAAGCTCTCCTCCAGTCACAGAGTTTCTTCCATTCTTGGTTGCTCATTATACATCTATTTGTTGCAAACTGCTTATGTGAAATATCACAAAATGTAGCACTGTATGCATTTTCACCTTAATTCCTGCAGTCAGACAGCCCCCATATCAAGGTGCCTTCTAGTCTGCCTATTGTCTCAGCCTGGCTAAAGCTATGTGCTCTCAAAAATGAAAGTATGTGTTTTTCGCCAATACTGTGCAGAACTAGATTTGTATTTCGTTATGTTTGTTTTAGATCTTTATATTCTTGTTTGTAGTTAATATGTTGCCGTCACTCTTATACATAAATTCTGCTGGTTTTGTTACTGTTCTACGATTTCTCTATTCACCACTTTCTATATTTACAACAAGAATTATTTAACAACAGCATCGAATATTTATGTTTTAAAATATTGCCAGTTTATTAATTCAGTCTGTACATTTTTATTTTCTTTTTAACTTATTTTCTCTGATTTAAAAAAAAATGAAATGATTGTTAAATTGTGGAGAATTTAGATATGTTATTAAAAAAACAGAGAGATATTGGATCTAAAATAAGAAAGTGCTCAGATAAGGCAAGAGTCAACTAATTGGAACACCATATCATTTAATATTTATTATTCAGGTAGAGATTTTTTTTTTTTTAACAATTCCTTGGAGTAAATAATTAGGATTTGGACAAAGATAAATGAGCGACATTTGTGACGTGTTGAGAGATGAGCTGGAAAACCTGTTCAGGGCGATCTCCCTTAGCTCTCTCCCTGCTTTTTAAAATGGGAACTTATTATAAGATCAAAACAGTGTTATACCCCCAGCCTAAGGAAGAAAGGGAAGTAAAATATAACTGGAGGAATTAATGAAAGCAACAAGGCCTCAGATTATATAACACCCCATGTACTGCCGGGGGATATTGTACTTTATCGGTAATTTTATGTACACTTACATACACACACACACACACACACATAAATGTATTTTTTTATATGAGGCCTTGTTTTATATATATATATATATATTTATATATATATACACACACACACACACACACACACACACACACACACAGATATATATATATGTGTGTGTGTGTGTGTGTGTGTGTGTGTGTAACTAAAATTGCAGTGATATAAATATATATATATCGCTAATATTTTAGTAATTTTATATATACACCCCCTAAAATGTCCATACAAAAAAAAAAATTTATAACTATGCAAATTTATACATAGATGTTTGTGGTTTAATGCCTGATTAAATATACATTCATATATAGGAATTACTCGAATAATTTTAAATTGTAAAACTATATAAAGATAGATTAATATATTTATGCTAGAATGCACATAATATGTGAGTTTTAATTTAAATTTTATTAAATCAGAACTTAATGTAAATATTTATATTTAAGATACTTTTTTGAATGATTAATTTTTTATTTTTTTTAAGGGCATAAGCTTAGTGAAGTGGAGGAAACATCGATAAATGTATGACTTAAATATGTAAAAAGAGACCTAAATATAGAGTTAGAGAGAGAGATAGATTTCAGAAGAAGCTTGCAGATAGCTCCCAGGCTAGAATACAAAGATAAATTCATTTGTGATTTCTGGTCCTGAAGAATAAAGGGATCTGTGGAGTTGTTTGAGATCCTCGGCTCCTGGTCTGACCCTCATACATCATAGCTCTGGGTACAGGACAGCAGCTATTATCCTGGATTCTTGGGCTAGAGTTGAACGCTCCGGGCAGGGAGCATTGCGAGTTTTTCTGGTTTAAAGATAATTTTGTTTAGTTAAACCTCCAACAGCATAGAGAGACATTATTTATTTACACTATTTTATTTATTTATTATAGGGGGAAAGAGGGGGGAGAGCGAGGGGGAAGGTGTAATAATTTACAGTGATACAGAATGTTCCTAGTACCCTACACTTTCTTGAAATATAAGTATCTAATTTATAAAATACTTGTAATTGTGTATAGTAGATCTAACAAACCATTGTCAAATTAAGTAGAATTACAGTGATATAGTGATGCTTGGATTCCATAAAACACGAATTAGTAAAATGTATATAAATATTCAAATAGTATTATGTACAATCCATGAACATAGAATTTGTGCAAGAAAAACAAATGTAACATTTCATGCACTGGTTATAATTATTCTTAGTGCAATATGTAAGTAGACATTAAAAGTAATAGTAACAATATATATATATATATATATATATATATATATATATATATATATAAATATATATAAATAACTGATTTACAAGTTCAAGCCAATAATGCTTTTATTTTGTTTTGTTTCAAATATCTTAGGTCATTCCTAAAACCACACAGAGGATACCAGTGCCAGGTGACTGTGGGGTGCCAATGTTATTCTGTAGGGGTGGGGACACCCTCCGACTTGGTGACAACACGATTTGGGGAACCAGGAGATGCAGAAAGCATCCTACTATGACAATCCCACGCTGTTTGGAGGTTACCCCTATCAAGCGGGCACTTTGGGGTATGAAGGCCCACAACAGTCCTTTGCAAATTCATCCCACCTCGACAATGACTTTCAGCGCTCTTCTTGTTCCTTGCAATCTCTAGGACACACTGGTCCTCTGACCAAACCTAAAAATCTCAACGGGAGCTGTATGCGTCCAAGTCTATCCTCTGAGCACCACCAGCCCCCCTCTCTCTCCCCACCCCAAATCCCCCCAGCCAGCAGTAATAATAACTCCACTGTCCTGCCTGGGGCCAGTAAGTCTTCTCCTGCTAAGGCCCAGTCCAGCTCCAGCCCAGCCACCAAGCAGATCTTCCCATGGATGAAAGAGTCCAGACAAAACTCCAAGCAGAAATCCAGCCCCCCCGTTGCAGGTACATGGTCCCCTTTCTAGGTTTTTAGCACCTTCAGTGCCAGTGGTATGCTGCTTGCAGCCCTCAATGAACACAAGTGGTTGAAGTGACATTTCGTTCATGTTAACTATAACTATCATTTAGGAAGTAAAACACATACACATGCATATATTTGTTTGTGTATATATATATATATATATATATATATATATATATATACATACACATATGTGTGTGTGTGTATGTGTGTATGAAAGTGTCTGTGTTTGTTGTATTTTTTTCCCATTATTACTGTAAAGCTAGTTGTATATGTATCTAAATATATTTTGTCTCCAGTGCATCACATCCAGTCTGGTTCCCTAAATCCCTAATATCAGGGGAAATAATCTAATACATAGATTAACATGAATTTGACCACAGCCATATCTTGTCCATATAACAAACTATATATATTACTGATCTAGTACAGTTCTTATTTTATTTATTAAGTTATTGTTCCATAATATCCTTGAGAAAACGTTATACTTCCTATAATAATTAAATCATAAATAAATGTCTACCCCTGGTTGATGAAATCTCCATAAGGCAGGGCAGCTATAGAGCAGATCTCTTAATAAATGCCAGGCTTTATGAAGTGCAGACTAATGTGGAGGAGGCCAGGTCTGGGTGCATGTTAGAGAATTTATTAAGAAATAATGCTTTCAATTTTCTGAGTGTAGTAATTATCTTCTATTTCATTTGAAGCGGCAGAGAGCTGCAACGGTGACAGGAGCCCCCCGGGGTCTTCAGCCTCCAAAAGAGCCCGTACAGCCTACACCAGCGCCCAGCTAGTGGAACTGGAGAAAGAATTTCACTTTAATCGTTATCTGTGCAGACCTAGAAGGGTGGAGATGGCCAATCTGCTGAACCTCAGTGAGAGGCAAATAAAGATTTGGTTCCAGAATCGCAGGATGAAATACAAGAAAGATCAAAAGGTTAAAGGGATGTCCTCATCTTCTGGAGGGGCTTCACCAACCAGCACGCCACCCCTGAGCATGCAATCCTCTGCAGGGTTCCTGGGATCTGTGCACTCCATGAATGCTAACTATGATGCCCCTTCCCCACCCCCCTTTAACAAACCCCACCAGAATGCCTACTACCAGACCCCTGCAAAAGGTTGCCCATCTCAACAGAAATATGGCAACACAGCTGCTGAGTATGACCACCATGGCTTACAAGGGAATGGAGGCAGCTACGTGTCTCCCAATATGCAAGGGAGCCCAGTGTATGTAGGAGGCAATTATGTGGATTCTGTACCAGCACAAGGCCCTTCTCTCTATGGTCTAAATCACCTTGCACACCAGCCCAATAACATGGACTACAATGGAGCACCTTCAATGCCAAGCAACCAGCATCATGCACCTTGTGAACCACTTCCCACCTACACAGAGCTCTCATCACACCACCAGGGAAGGATCCAGGAGGCCCCCAAACTGACCCATTTGTGATTGAGTCATAGAACTCATCTTGCAAACTCTAGGGGGCGCTGATCTCCTCAGGAGCACCGTGAAACACTTGTGTTGATGTGATAATGTATTTATAATTCATTATTTCCCTTATGATATTTTTCCAACTATTAATACAGGGTTTATCTTGCACTGTTACATGAAGGCATCACTCATTCAACACAAGTGATTCTAAAGGCTGAGTATTTTTAAGCTGGAAAAAACCTTTTATCAAAAACCACATAATATATGTGCAAGTGATTGACATTTATTATGTTTAAAATTTGCTGTTCAGCTTTGTCTCCAAGCCAATACTAGGAGTCTTCCTCGAATTTAAAATAGTACTCGGCTAGGTGACTCCTACATCATTTCCTAAATATCATTTCTAGAGATTGAGATAATTGCCCAGTGTTAAAGCATTTTCCGGTCCAAATAGGAGTAATGCAGACAACAAACACAAAGTTGATGAGTAGTTTTATTTTTATCTACATCATTCTGTAAATTTAAATATCATGACAATGGTTGCATTTGTAGTGATAGGTACCTAGGCCTTAAGATCAAATGAAGTTGAGCTATTTAGATAATTCTTGGAGTCTCACCACTGTGTAAAAAGTAATGTGGGCGTCTAAAATAGAATTCTTCCAGTCCTATGCTAAAAGGGCCAGAATAATCACTTTTTTTCCTCGTCTTAATGTGGATACAGGGTATATTTTAAAGAAGATGTCTGCTCACCAAACCAAGCACAGTGATTTCCATTCAGTGTTTGCTCTCTTCGTGTAGACATCTCGTTTGCACTTAGTTTACATGTACTTTATAAAAAGCAGCCTGGTGACAAGGCTTACTCAATCCTGGAGACTACCAGGCTTGTGTGATCTTGCAAACAGACATTTAGTATTGCTGCTCATAAAACCGGTGGAAATATGTATTTTTGTTTTTTTATTTTTCTTCATTTCTTTAATTATTATTTATCCAGCATATTAATGTATTTATAAAATTTAAGAAGGGAACTACTTTTTATTTGGTATTTTCTTGTTGGAAAAGTTGTGTTTTTTCCTGTCATTGTAAAAAAATATCTATTTAATTCTAGTAATTTAGAAAGATGTTAGTTTTGTTTTCTTGTATTCTGGATAACGTAATTAGTCTACAGGAGGCATGAGAAGCCCCTTCCAAATGTTATTGTCCTGCCTTGAATAGAAAGGCTGCACAAAATCCTCGGGAGATTGCCCCTCTCTCTCCACCTCCCCTTTGTTCTTTGTAGATTATTTTTCTTTGCATAAAAAAAGTTGTCTGTTTAAAAATCCTGGAATAAACTTTCTGTTATAAAATGTGTTTTGTGTATGTAGTTGGTTTAACTCCAGAGATAGGAATCAATTAATTGTTTCATTATTCCACACAGCAGACTTTCAAGATTATTTACTAAATTGAGAATACAAAGTGAATTTCAAAGTTAAGGTAAAAATAAATAAATCTCTAAGTCAGCCATGCTTTCAACTCGACTCCTCTGGTCTTAAATTTGATATTCACTTTGTATTCATTTTATGTTATTTGTGTGAGATGCAGGGCTGTATGAAACCCTGAATTCGAATTAAAAATCGCCTGTATATTTCGACATACAGTACTCTTAATAGCTGTGTATGGGGGTACACTTTCTTATTGTGCAAACACTAGCACCATTTAAACAAAGGGTTGACTGCTACAAAGCAGGCCCTAAAATTCAATCACAATACAATAAAGGGGAAGAACAGAACTAAAAAAAAATATGTTAGGTTTTTTAAAAGAAAATATGGGAGGAGAGGGGTTAAACGATAAAATAATAATACAGACCACAACAGTGCTATTATTTACACTGTTCAATTCAAATATAAAATTAAGACGAATTATAAAAACGATTTATTAAAACGTGAGTCGAGGTCACTAGATAATCCATGTCAAACATAAGACTAAATAATGTATTTGGGAATCTCCCCTATCCAGAAATTAGAATGTTACTGTTAAGTGTCTTACCCCTGCCTTTGTTTTGTAAATAAGATGCACATTTACTGTTTAGTAAATAGAGCCCAAGAAGTAGAAAATGGTGGAGGGGTTATGGGGATAGAATACTTACATAAATATAATAATAATAAAAACAGCCCGAGTGTTAAAAAAGACGGGGAGGCAAATCAAAGACACCTGCAGTGTTTTATTTGAGATCAAAAGACAAGTATTAATTACAGAATTTAGAGCATTGTTGGAAAAACATAAACCTGCAAAGCTAGATGTAAAAGTTGATAAACGTTTAATCATTATGGTAATAGAGAAAAGTAAAATAAAACGCAAGTTGTAAAAATTACGTTTTACAAAACCAAGTTACACAAGAATAAAACAGACAATTCAACGTGTGAGGATATAAAATCTCAGCTGGTGGACTTCGCAGCTCATTAAAATATCGTTATTGCATATCTTCAATATAGAGTAGTTTACAAAATCAAATCCTATTTGCTTTTTTAATTATTTTTTTTAAAGCAATGTGGAGAAAGGTGATTCTGAAATGTCCTCTGACTATCTGACTGTACCTCTAGGTATACAAAACAAACGATATGGTGAAACCATAGCAGGGCTCAGTATCTCCAATGCATGTGTTCGCAGCTGCTGTGTTCGGGGGAGCAGCCGCCATGTTTCTAGAATTTTGTAGAGGTTATAAAAAGAAACCTAAAACAGATTTGATGGTTGAATGCCAAAAACCCCATGGTTGCAGCACAATATTTTCAATCTGATAAGATAACCTCTCAGGTGCAGACTGTATACCCAAACAGACCACGTTTACTAAACAGCCTTTACATAAACAATGGATAGAAACACGAATTCCTAGTTATGTGTGTGTATAAATATAAAAGGCAGGCTACTGTACAGACAAAACAAAACAAATCACTGGAGCCATGGTCCACACAATAAAAAATAGGCATTACTCTGTCCACATCACACATAGACAAACAGAAATGTAGATCTATATTGCATATACACACTTCAATATATGCACAAATAAAACTAAATATACATTTCATTAGTGTATACACCAACTCACACACATATTATTTATATATATTTTGTATACACATCTACATACATGTATCAGATAGGCAGAGTATAGCCTACAGAGGTTAAAATGTATATAGTGAGACTCATATCATACATTTATTTCTGTGCATAGAAAATACAAGATTATACATTTTGGTTATGTGTATTATATACGCACATTTGTGTACGTACATCTGCTAACTTACAATTAAAGTGCTTAGGCTGCTGCATTGTTTTCTCATATTAGTTCGCTTGGGTATGAAGTGTTTCTAAAATATTTTTAAAAGTACCCTTCCTTACCTCGTACGTTTTTACTAAATCGAGCAGAATTATAAACTAGAGAATTTTCTCCCACTAAGAAAAAAAAATCACAGTGTTCCAGGCTCCAAGTTTAAGCAGGATTCTAAAATAAAAATAAAACAAAGGATAAGTGAGGTTAAAATAAATTCAGTATATATGGAAATAAGTGAGGGGAAAAACAAAACAAAACAAAGCAAAATAAAACGAGAACATACAAAAAAATTAAATAAAAAATTGTTACAAATAACATACAAGATCCTACAACAAACATCTCCCATTTGTCAGCACTCTCTTCTCTGTGAGATTGTGTAGCTGTGTCTCAGTGTTATACCCCCATAACCTCCCACACGAATTTTTGTTGTAACAAATGTTTCCAGGCTATAGAATAAATGAGATCTGGATGAATTTGCTTGTTGTAATCCGGGCTGTCCACATTCTCAGCTTCATCCTGATATTGTTTATTTTTTTTTATGGCCTCAACTTGCTTATTTTTTATTTATTTTTTTGCCTCAGTGTGTGCTGGAGTAATATTTTCTTTTGTTTATGTTCTTGAGTTTCTGAGTTTCTTTCCCATGTCGGTTGCAATAAAGGGCGGAATTCTTGTCTGACAGAGCCCCTCCACTGCAGAGATTGATCACTCTCTTTTTAAAGCGGTTTAGGATTCCCAGCAACTCACCAGCCTCTCCATTAGGATTTATTCTTCAGGTATAGAAAGTGTTTCTCGTTTATCCTGAAACATATAAAGGAAATGTAGAACCTGGATATGAAATATATTGGTCCAGGAGCACACTTATAATTAACTTTCCTTAAATGAACCCACGTTCTGGACACATCTGAACTCCTGAGATTCTATTTTACAAGGTATATCCATTCAGGATTTCTTTGTAATATCTCTGGTGTAAGTAGTGTTTGTATATCCCAGTGTCCCTGTTTAAATAGAGGCAGAAGGAGCACTTTATCAAATACACAAGCCTCTGCTTGCTATGATATGATGTAATACTGGGTTTATCAACCCCCCCATGCCCCCACACCAGACTATGTAGCTGTTGTCATACCCAAAGAACACATGAACCATAGACCAGATAGGGAACCTCCACAAATATACTGGAATTAATTCTCAGTAATAATGCTTTCTGTTTTCTAGCAGGCCTTGTCTACCATTGGCCAGACCTGGTCATGTGACCAGGAATTGGCTGCTGGTCGCCCAGTCTTCAGTTTAATACAGCAGGGTCCCCATACGCCTGATTTATCAGCAATATACAATAATAGGGCCTCTGGATTATTGAGACCCTAATATTTGCTCTCCCACCCCCAGGCTGGCTCAGGGAAGCCATGAATTTTGAGTTTGAGAGGGAGATTGGATTTATAAACAGCCAGCCTTCGCTAGCAGAGTGCCTGACGTCCTTTCCTGCTGTCCTGGAGACATTTCAAACTTCATCAATCAAGGACTCGACATTAATTCCTCCTCCTTTTGAACAAACCATCCCCAGCTTGAATCCGGACTCCGGCAACCAGCCGAGGTCCAGAAGCCAAAAACGTTCTGATAATGGCCTGGCCCAACCACCACTACCTCAGCCTGGCCACTTGGCTACTGAGTTCCCCTGGATGAAAGAGAAAAAATCGGCTAAGAAGAGTAACCAGGGGTCCCCTCCAGCACCTATCTCAGCTCCTGAATCTTCAGGAGGTTCCCCAGCAGGTTTGTTTTATAGGGATTTGGGGGGTACATGGTAAAGGGTTAAATATTGGGATGTTATCCCCAATCAATGCTGCATATTTATATATATATAATCCTGATCTTGATTGGCCAGTATTAATTAACAGCTACAATAAAATGACTGTGTATGGATTGTCACTGATTGTGGGAATAGTAGAAGATCAGGTCTTGATGTGACACTTTCTGAAACAATATCTTTAACTGTAACGATAGAACGCAATATGAGTTGATACATTTGAACCATTAAACAGTCGCTTTAACACACACTAGGAATGACTGCGGTTTTCTAATAAATGTTAGCACAGACTCACGAGCTCGGCAACATTAACCCCTTTGCAGCCATAGAAGGAGGGGGAGGGGACAACAAGACATTGCAGTCGAATCACTCACTGGTTCTTTTTGGCAGCGCAGAGGTTAATACCTTAGCATGCTATTTGTGCTGTGACAAATGGTTAAGGTTTAAATGTCTAATAAACCTGCTTGATTATTTTTCCAGAACCACCAGGACTCAATGATAGCAGCGGTGGCTCCAGGAGGCTCAGGACTGCTTATACCAACACCCAGCTGCTTGAACTAGAGAAAGAGTTTCACTTTAATAAATATCTGTGCAGACCAAGGAGGGTGGAGATAGCAGCTTTGTTGGATTTGACAGAAAGGCAAGTGAAAGTTTGGTTCCAGAACCGGAGAATGAAGCACAAAAGACAGACCCAGCACAAGGACCCAATGGATGGCGACCAAAGCTTCTCCACCATGGATGATGGTGACCCAACAGATGATGGAGAAGAGAGCCCACCATATCAATCTGGGCTGGACAGCAATGACTCTTTCAGGGACACTGACCAGTACCCACCTGAGAACCCAAAACAATCTAGCATAGGCATAAACCAGCATCAGACTTCCAGGAAGGAATCATCTTCAAGCAGCCCCTTCTTCCAAACGCCCACGAGTGAGCCAGAGGCCAGGATAGAGGTGGGTAGCATGGACAATATCCTCTCTGAAACACAGGACAATTCCTTATTGTCAGACTTCACTTTATTCTCTTCAGAGTCCTGCCTACACATTGCAGATGGTATCTCGAGTTTGCAAGGATCCCTCAGTAGTCCTGTCCACTTTTCAGAAGAAGATATTGACTTTCTCACTAGCACACTCTGCAGCAAAGATCTCCAGCAGTTAGATTTTTAAGTAGTTATTTTAAATTTTTTCCCTTAATTTTATCTCTTCCCTTTATTGCACACAGGTCTAATCTCGGATACGAAAAAAAATAAATATGTGAAAATGTAATTTATATTTATTTAAGGATCCCAGTAAATCAATCACTGGTTGTTACAGCGGTATTCGTGTGTTTAAATCACGTGGAATCACGATTTTCAATTTCGATTGTTAATTAGAAACCATTTCAAGATTAGACAAATGAATCACTTTGTAATTTATTTTAGTGAAGCCTCAGGAATTAAAAAAAAAAAAAAAAAAGGCTGCTTAGATTTGTTAGGCAGGGAAATTTAAGTTATCGAATATTTATTTAAAGTCTTTATTAGCAATTTGATAAGTATTTATTGTACATTATTTTTCATAGATGAAATAATTGTCTTTATAAAAGAGTGTGTGTTATGATTTGCCATGCTAATAAAAATAAAACATTTATTACCAAGGCATTTTAAAGTTCAGACCTTTTGTATTTTGTCTGTAAATATCGAACAAACTTTACAAGTTCCATCTCCCCTATAAATAAATATATGGGCACACTGAATGCAATTTGTTTTACATATATTGAAAAAAAGGATATATAAATAAAACACACACAGATTTTATATATATATATATATATGTATATATATATATATATATATATATATATATATAATAGCTTGACACAGACACGCATAATCATTTCTTGAAGGTTAGCGGGATTAAAAAAATGTTGATTTCACCTTATTTTCTTTGATGATAAATTCGCAGCATAAAGTTCTCACCCATTAGCGTATGCTCCATAAAACTGTATTTTTCGTTAAGACTGACTTTAATTTAAATGCTAAATTAAGTAAGGCCGCCATAGAATTGTTTCAAATGCCATAGAATTTTTTTATGTTTCCAATTGAAATAAGTGAGATTTTATATTTTTCTTATTGTAGAATATTTTTGAAATGTGTTCTTTTTGTAATCACTAAACCTTTTACATTTCGTCTTTTCTTGTTTGCAAGATTCAATTTTTAAGCTACCTGATTTATTGAGCAGGGTGTGTAATTCGATCCATAGATTGCTATATGTACAAATATAAGGGGACAGCATGCAAAGTTCATAGCTTTTACTGTGTCATAATTGCAATAAAACAGTTACATTCAATCCGATTGTTAGAGATAAATAATGCACATTGCTACAGACAGAAAAAGGGGGGGAAAACGGAGAAACGATTAGGCCTGGAAGCTCAAAATGGCGCTGAAAGAGAAGGCCAGACAATGAGATTAAAGCCACACACAGGCAGACACACAGGAATACACAAAACACTGTTACACACACAGAATATGATATAGAGTCATAAGAAGCTAAACCAGATATGAAAACAAAAATATACACACTTAAAAAAGCACAAATAAATATACATCCAAAGAAATACATACACAGACATGCATATCGAAATACTTACAATACACAACAAAACACAGAAGCACTAATCCACAAAAAATAAAATAAAATACACATATACGGCAATCAAACTGATGTACACTAATATACACAAATAAAAACACACACCCAACTATAGAGAAAATCACAAAAAAGTATACAAAAACACTGAGGTACATTCACTAAAACACAGAGAAATACACAAAATTCTGATCTCAATATACACTGAACATGCACACGCATTAGCAAAACACATACACAGACAGGGGGCAAATACGCTAACATACACACACACATAATGAAATCTACACACAAACGCAACGTCATGCATACTAACGCAGAGAAACACAGAAAGACACACAAAGCAGGCACTCTTTTACAAGTGACACCACAAATTATTTATCTCTACACACAAACAGAATGTAATAAATTCCACAATGTAACCAAATCTAACTGTACTAACAGATGTGTATTGTGGGGGCTTCTCCTCCGAGGGGGGTGGGGGAGGCACACACTGCTCAGTGTGTAGACTACCCGGAATATATTGTAACCTTGTATCTCTCAAGCATCTGTGCATAAAATATTAATAGTCTTCAAATAACCCACAAGAGGCACGTCTTATCATACGAGATCTGTACTAGCCTGATTTAAAATGTTTATGAGAAATTAGTGCATCCGCGTCCGTTCATATCACACATAAATTGCTTTGATTTATTTAACTCCAAAGCTGGCCCACACAACACAATGCTCAGTTTAAGGCCCTCTGGATATACAGGGCCTTCTGACAATCTCCCCTATAACAATGAGAGGAACACTAGGGAGTTCTCTTATACAGTATTGGGGTTTATGAAACAAACACATCCACCTATCCAACATTAATATACTATTATTATTATTACTATTATTATATTTGGAGTTATTCTCTCTCCTGATTACAACATATGTTTAGGATTTATGTAATTCTCCATAATTTATGCAGTTTATAGCCACAGAATTCCTTTGTTCTTCTCCCACTGAAATCAGCTGTGTTTCAGCTCACACACAGATTTTAAAACAAAAAAATATCACCTATTTTTGTTATGGTCTCAGTTACAAAATATGAATATTTCTTTATAGGCTACGACTCCAGAGCAGTTTTTTTTCCTTTTCAAAATACTACAATTGCAGAAGCATTAAAAAGAAATAGGGTTTAACAACTAAACAGCGAATTGTGGTGAAATGAAAAATGAATTGCATATTTATAGGCTAACTTAACTACAAAAATTCTCCAATTTAGTTTCAGTGACAGCTTGTTTGTTTTTTTATAGCCTGGATTGTGCAATTAGGTTTTCAAATCGTCACCTTTTACTTTTTAACCCCTTAAGGACCAAACTTCTGGAATAAAAGGAAATCATGACATGTCAGACATGTCATGTGTCCTTAAGGGGTTAAATCCCTTCCCAATGAAAGAAACAGAATTGCAAGACTGTGTTTTCAGGACATTTTTTTTTGTGAATATAAAACATATTTAGAAATGCAAGTATGTAGGTCTTGGGAGATGTCGAGAGAAGGATGAAGTTGCTGAAAAGTCTAGGCCTAAAATAGATTTAGTGGTTCATTAATTAAACTGCTAGTTATGAAGAATTGAGAACTGTGAAATTTAGGCCAAATAGCACATTCATTTTTTTAACTTCAATTCTTATTTAAAATTTGCAAGTCTGTCCTCAGTTAACTATAAGTAACTGGTTAGTGAACAGACTTCTCTATATGATGGCGAATGAGTTAATTATTGCTTCCTCCACTGTAAAGGAGGACTGTGTGATGAACAGGGATAAGGTGAGGAGGGGAGGGGGAGTGAAATATATTCACAATAGGCTATGTTTAGTTTTATATATTTGGATAGGAAACACAGGTTTTGAATAAGAATATCAGTTTGGTTGGGGGCAGGTTGAAGAGTGCAGGTTGAAGAGTCCACTTTGTGAAAGTTTGGTATCCCTGATACAGGAGTATCTGGAAAATGATTTTGATTTAGATATTCTGTGCCAGAACAATGGGCAAAGGAGATGTCATGAGAGCTTTAAACTATAATCAAGAAAACATTAGTAGACTAGACTGTAAGCTTGTTTGAGCAGGGTTCTCATCAACCTATTGTTCCTGTAACATTGTGTAATTGTCTCATTTATTGTCAATCTCTCCTTCTTATAATATTGTAAAGCACTATGGAAAATGTTGGCGCTATATAAATACTACTAATAATAGTAGTGTATTAGGGTGCGGTAAGGGTAGGGATGGCTAGTTTGGCTTCTAGGTCAGGGCTACAGAATAGTTAGCATCTGATACCCCCACCAGAGGACAATAAAATGAGTATGGCACTTTCCTGTGATTTTGACACTGGCTGGTTCCAGGTGGTGATACAGAAAGAACGTGAAGTTAGATATTCACTGCAAATGTAATCATTGACATCTCATCAATACAGATCTCTAACAAGGACATGCTAGGCCATAATGACTTTTTAAAGTTCCTGGCAGCTAGTGAAGATGCCACTCAGCGATCAATTCTCCCCCTACTCCGAGGACTTAATAAATGACACTTTTATTCCAGCAGCAATTTTCCGATTACCTGTAATTACTGTGGTTGGACTTACTGCATGGTGATGGTTTCTGCAAGGCAGCACTGGAGAGAAGGCCCTAGGTCTGTCTCACTCAAACTCTGCCTGACTGTCTAAGGTTTGCAGGAGGTGTAAGCTTTCCTCACTCACTGTGTTATATGGAGAGACAGTGCCAACAACACTCCTCATTTATAGAAACATGATACCATGTTTGCCTGCAACACAATGAAGGTTTATTTGAATAAACTGTTCCCACAGTAAGTGTATGTTTGCAAAGCCTATTAGAATAAGATTTTCATAAGGGAACATAAATCATGATGTATGTTAGTGGAACTCACTTTATAAACTTGTAAATATATGTGTGAATGCATAAAAATATATTTTAAAATTTGAGAATTTACTGACTAAGCAACGATATAGGACACTCATTTAAAGTCATCAAACAAGTTATAGGGATACATCAGACCCCTAAAGCACTTTAGATTGCTGAAAATCTTTATGTGTGAAGAGTGTGTCCTATCCTTTTCATTTTGCAAAAAGTGCAGATTTTAATATAAACTGACACCTTCATAATTTAACCTGGTTACACCTCCTGGCTTCCAAGCATACATCTTGTCATGTTACTTCCTGGTTTAGTTAGCTCACTGGAGCTAAACTCTAGACTCTAGGCAGCAATTGCTGAGAGCACCTGCCTTGCAAAGACTTCTCATTGAGCTGCATTGGGAAGTCTTTGATTGGACAGACACAGAGAGTCTGGGTGGGGTTAGAAGGGAAGGGCTGGCAGAGGCAGCAGACAAGAGATCTGCAGTTTTTGCAAGCTGGTTTTAGGTATATCCCGAATGAAAAAAGGCATAATTTAATGCATGCAGGTTTTAATCTGTGGTATATCTACTAAACAGTGATTTGTATTATTTGCAGTGGAGTGTCCCTTTAAAAAAACAAAAAGTCAAAATATTTTTATTGAAAAGCAACGTGTTAGAAATGCAGGTTTGTATTGTGTTCATTTAATGGGATATATAGTACCCCACCAGCTAAACTAACAACACTCAGTAATAATGAATTAATTTTCTGATATATTTTATTACAAGTGCATAGAAACTAAAATAAAGTGCAGAGGGCTAGATCTCATGTCAAATATAATAAATTTATTCTAATGCAAATGACAAAGAAATTATATATAAAAACAATAAATATATGTATACAAGTGTCAGTGTTAATGTGGAGGTATCTGCGCTTTCTTTTAGTTTCTATGCACTTTTATATACAGAAATATTGAGGATATTTCCAGTTGAAGGCATCATTAGGATTTTAGATGTGACAATTAAACTGCTTAGATATTGATTTGTAATTGATCTCTAGCATCAAGCTGTAGTGCATTTTTTTTCCTTGGAGTTGTTGCTAACCCCAAGGTTTCTCTTTTTTTATATATTTTATTACAAGAAGCAAATTATATAAAGTGAAAAGAAATGTGTGAGTACAAGCACTACGTATCAAATGACTAGAGGTTCTTCCACGCTTTTTCACTGTGAATTTCACAAGGAAGGACAACTGGTTAACCGGCGTCATGGTCATGGGTACCTAAGGCTCATTGATGCACATAGATAGCGAAGGCTAGCCTGTGTGGTTCAATCGCACAGAAGAGCTACTGTGGCTCACATTGCTTAAAAAATTAATGTTGGCCATGATAGAAAAGTGTCAGAACATACAGAGCATCATAGTTTGCTGTGTAGCCACAGACACCTCAGAGTGCCCATGATGACCCCTCTCCACTGCCAAAAGCACCTTCAACAGGGAAGTGAGCATCAGAACTGTAGCATGACGTAATGGAAGATGGTTAAGTAATCACAAAAGTATATGAGCGCTTCTAAAAAGTCTTTTTTTTGGAAAGATGTGTTAAAATATTAAAATGATAAAACAATAATATATATATATATAAAGTGTTTAAATCAGCTGCTATATCACCACCAGTGTTATCTTAAAAACATCAAAACTAAAATTAAATAAATGTATCACAAATCCCTTTCACAAAAAGTGCTTATGCAACAAAATAAAATTGATATATATATATATAAATAAAGTGCGGAAGGCGTGGCCTGACTACCGATGGAGTAAGACACACCTAACTCGAGCTCCTAGGCCCCAACCTGCTAAGCCCAATAAACTAGCTACAATTTACCAAAATAAACGCACAAATGGAGAAAAACAGGCGACTGACCACCGCAGGATCATCCGGTGCGACCCCGGCGCGGCAGGCTCCGGGTCCGACGGACGGATTCCTGTCGGTGCCCACCGGCCTCCGCGGCCCCGGGGACACAGACATGCAGACACCCTCCTCCCCAGGCTCCAGCGTGATGGGCTCAGTACAGGACTCACCCACTGTAGGCACTCTGTCCCAGATATCGGCAGACATAGCAGCAATCTCCTCAAGCATGCAAACCCGCAGAGACAAAACTGAAATGGTGGCTGAGCTGCGCTCAATCATCAGAGAAGAAATTGCAGCAGTCCGCAGCGACCTCGCCGCATTGGAACAGAGGGTAGATACCCTAGAAGAAACGCACCTGCAGGCCGCACAGCATCAGCAGGCCGCGGACCTGGCCACCACAAGGCAGGGCAATATTCTCCTGGACCTCCGCCGGCAGATTGAAGAACTGGATAACAGGGGCCGCCGGAACAACATTAGAATCCGGGGCCTACCGGAGGCGGAGGGAGAGACACTGCAGGAGATCCTCACGGGCCTATTCACGCACCTCCTGGGAGACACGGCTCCACAGGAATTTGGCATAGAAAGAGCACACCGGGCCATGAGGGCCCCCAGGAGAGACGGTCAACCCAGAGACATCATCTGCTCACTGGTGTCGTTCCAGCTGAATGAGGCCCTCATGAAATCCGCCAGGGTACGGCCGCATGTCACCTACATGTATGCTCAGGTCTCCCTCTTCCAGGACCTGTCCACCATCACCCTCGACGCCCGACAGGCCCTGAGGCAATAACCCGCCTCATGCAAGAACGGAGAATACTCTACAAATAGGAGTTCCCTTTCAGCCTCCAGGCCAAAATTGGGAACGTCTGGCATGTCATTTGCTGGCCCAACGACGTGCCCCGCTTCCTCCGGATGGCCGGCCTGCCTGATGTACCGATCCCGAATTGGATCCTAGATAACCCCCCAGCTCGACCAACCGGACCATCAGACGCAGCGCATAACCTTCGTCCAACCACAGGTACGCCAAGGCGAAGGGGAGGCCCTGAAGGCCCCGAAGAATAAAGTCAGATAAGAAGTTACCCACACACACGGCACCCGCACCTACACCCCGGTTGGACCTGCGCCCACACGAAAGCCGACGGCATTTGCCACAACAACCCAGCGCCTCAAGCCAAGACCACGCGGAAGCCTCAGATGGGGTATGTACTGTTCCGGTGGCCCTGCCAACTTAGAGTCTCACCCAACAGCTAAAGGAAAAAGTATCCAGGGGCTCCCCACAAGTTGGGTGGGACAGAGTCTCCAGGGGAGTGCACAAGTGGGGGAAGGAGATCAACCGACAGAGTGGACCCCCGGGGGTCGACCGATAGCTCCGTGGCTCCCTGAGGTGGGGTGGGGAACGAGGCACATGGGATACATCCAGGGGACCGGGACACACCCGTCAAGGGACTCGGATCACAGCAGGGCCGCGGCTGAGAGCCTTTGACTATCTGAGGGGACGATAACGAGGTCGAACACATTGTCACAAGTGTTGCACGGGCGCACGGGGCTTTGCGGGGGGGACGGGGTTGGGGTAGACCTGGGTGCCAGCGACGGCCCGAGCTGGACGGCCGACAGGGGGAGTCGGGTGAGGAGTTAAAAGTTTATTGTAGTAAGGTTTGTTTCAATATGGTTACATGGATTGGCAGCATAGCTAGTTACTACCACACACACAATCGCTACCTACACCACGCAAGGCAGACAGGGCGGACCCAGGGGGCAAAGGGAAATGGGGGCGGGGAGGGCCCCCGGCGGTTGAGGTGCATGGTAAAGAATCCGGGCGCCCAAAGTTAATTACATCGCCCTAAGGTACAGACAACCCTGTAAAGCCTCCCTCTGTCTCAGGCCTTGGTCGGGAGGTAGCCCCCATGGGGAATACTTGGTAAGGAACAGACAGGTCCAGGGGGCTGCGGGGCGGGGGCCGACACCTACGCTAACAGACGACAAGCATGTTGCGACCCGATGAGCGGGAGCAAGCAGGGATGAGCCGAGGGGGAAGGGGTGGGCTCAGATGGGCACATAGCGAACAAGTAGCATCTGTTAATACCCACACATGGACAGGGTTAGCAAGCACGGACAGCAGGTCAGATATAAACATAGCCCCCACAGCTAGGATCAGCCACCTAACAATATTGAATGCAGCACTCGCAGGTTGGGCGCCATACTAGGGGACCGCAGGCAGAACACAACTACAAACAAACGAACTCATCTCCCTCGGTGGCTACACTGAACCTCACTGTGACAGACCCTATTTGTACATTATACCGGGGTTGCAGGACAGTGGAAGATCCCTACCCCTGCGACGACCACACCCGGTACCGGGACATAGTCACACCACACTCTCTCCGAAACCCAACACCCAAACAACTAGACGGAGACATTGGCGCCAGACACATCCCTGACTTCAGACCGTTCCCTCTGTGTCCTTTTCTTCCCCCATGCCTTCCCCGGGGCTAGGTCTGGACCGCCCCCCTGCAGAGGCTGCAGCTAAGGAGGGCTTCACGCCGGCCCGGCTAATACTGGTCGAATAATGTCCAGGGTCTCAATGTGCCGGAGAAGCGCACACGTCTGCTCAACAAGCTCTGGGCCGCGAGGGCGTCGGTTGCATTCAGAGGCAACAATGCACCCAAACTAGAGAACCGTCGTTTTCCAGCAGGGTACTATGCAAATCACCCAGACGCCAAGAAGGCGGGGGTGGCAATACTGTTTGCACACACGGTGCCATTCCAATGCAAGGCGACCATGGCAGACCCCAACGGGCGCTACCTTTTTATTAAAGGCTCCATAGCAGACTATACATATACCTTCGTAAACCTTTATAGCCCCAACAGGCGACAACACACCTTCATCAGCAGGACTCTAGCCAAGTTGGAAAGTTTTAGGGAAGGTATGCTGGTGATGGCGGGGGATCTGAACTGCACATCTGCACAACTGGGATCTGCTGCACAAAACTGACATCGAACTGATGGAATACTCTGACCATGCACCCGTGGTGGCTCACACAAGCTCCCCACTGTTTAAACCCAGAGAAAGGCAGTGGAAACTTAATGAATCCCTTCTTGATGACCTCGCACTCAAGACCATGATGGCTGAAACCCAACTCAATACTTCGCTGACAACGAGAACTCCCACCACTGGTACTCTGGGAAGCGCATAAATGCGTCATCCGGGGCCGCCTCATCGCAGAGAGTACTAGGCGCAAAAAAGACCGTGCCACACGCCTCACCACCCTAACGAAGCGCATAGCTGAATTGGAACACGAACATAAACACACGCTAGATGAAGGCACATACCTCCACCTCACAGTAGCCCGTAGGGAACTCCGAGACATACTAACGCAGGGACAACTACATACGGCTAGAAAATCAGCCAGATTCTTCTACGAACACTCCAATAAGAGTGGCAGGCTGCTGGCGCGGATGTTACAAGACAAAAGAAGGGCACAACACATCCACAAAATACATGCACGGGAGGGAGAAGTCACGCACCTACCTGAGGGCATCCTCGAGGCCTTCCAAGAATACTACGCGGCACTTTATGCGCAGGCACGAGCTCGGGAGAGTCCTGCGGAGCAGCGCCACAGGGACCAAGTCCTGACATACCTTGAAAGCCATGTGGCCAGAAAAACTCACCCCCGGAACAGGCAGCGGAACTTGACCAACCTCTGACGATCGAAGAACTGGCCGGTGCCATGAAAGTCTCAAAGCCACATCGGGCACCAGGCCCGGATGGGCTACCGCTATCATACCACTGCACATTCAAGGACATCCTTTTACCGAGACTCCTCACGGGCCTCAACCCAATCCAAACGGGGGGCCACTTCTCTACGGACACTTTGAGGGCCATAATCACTGTCCTCCCAAAAGAGAGTAAAGACCCCACGAATTGTGCCAGCTACCGCCCAATTTCGTTACTGAATGTGGACCTGAAGATATTCGCTAAGGCAATGGCGCTACGGCTCACCCAAGCTCTACCCGACCTGGTACACCCTGACCAAGTCGGTTTCATACCCGGGAGGGAGGCCAGGGACAACACCATCAGAGCCCTCAACATAATACACTCGGCCAAGACCGGTAAACGGGAGGTGGTGCTCCTGTCGACAGACGCCGAAAAAGCGTTTGACCGGGTGGACTGGGCCTTCCTCTCGGAGACGCTGCGCCACATGGGTTTCGGCACCCACATGCGAACATGGGTGGCCGCACTGTACACCACACCAACGGCACGCATACGGGTCAACGGAGCTTTGACAAAACCATTCAGCATCCACAATGGCACCCGCCAGGGCTGCCCCCTGTCACCCCTCCTGTTTGCCCTCACCCTCGAACCCTTTCTGGAGGCGGTCAGACGGGACGGGGGCATTGTGGGGACCTGCCTGGGCGGGGCGGAACATCGCGTTGCGGCATACGCGGACGACATGCTCTTCTTCCTGGAACAGCCCAGAATTTCGCCCCCGAACCTGCTAGCGGCGTTCAAACAATATAGCAAAGTCTCTAACTTGAAACTTAACTTAGAGAAGTCGGAGGCGATGCCGGTGGGGCACAGGACACAGTCCTAACACGGCACTTCGAAGCACACTTCACGTTCAAAATCTGCACAACAAAGCTCCGATACCTCGGCGTTTGGTTGCCGAAAGATCTCTCGCAGATCTACCAACTGAATTTCGCTCCTCTCCTTGTAACGATACAACAGGACTTAAAACGCTGGACGTCCAAGTACATAATGTGGTTTGGCCACATAAGCGCTACAAAAATGAATATTATGCCACGCATTCTATACTTATTTCAGACGCTGCCTTCCACTATCCCCCAAGTCTTCTTCCAGACGCTAACGACCAATGTTAGACAGTTTGTATGGAACAAAAGGCCTACCCGGGTCCGGAGAACGACCTTGGAGCGACCGAAGAGTGACGGAGGTATGGGACTTCCGTCCGCACTCATGTACTACCAGGCGACCCACTTACATCGACTGGTAGACTGGCACGCCAATCCTAACAATAAGCAATGGGTGGACATGGAGCTTCAACAAGCACAAGGGAAGATCCCCGCCCTGCTGTGGCTGGGAGAGGCTACGCTCAGAGAAATAAGCACAGGCAATCCAATGATAGACGCCACCCTTAGGGTCTGGTGCGGGATAAGATACGCCAACCCGCTCACACCCATAACCAACAACCCTAAGCTAGCCGGCGGACTAAATCCAGCTGCCCTAAAAAACTTCCAGGCGACAGATTGGCTTTACCTACACCAGTGGTGCAGCGGCCGGAACCTTAAACCCTTGACAGACCTGATGCAGGATCGCAGACCAACCAGACTGGATGAATTCCACTACCACCAGCTCAAAACTTACTACAACGCTATCAAGGGGAAGGATCACGTCCACTGCCCCCTCCTGTACATGGAACAATTATGCACGACCAGGCAACACCTCTCACACGGCGTATCAACTATGTATACCGCACTAACGAACAGTGGAGATAAGGACGCTTTGGGCTTCACGAGGCGGTGGGAAAAGGAAACGGGGACTGAGCTCACGGACACAGATTTAAATAAAATCTTCCAACTGACGCATAAGGGAACTATAAGCTCAAAATACCAGGAATGCAATTATAAAATCCTGACGCACTGGTATAGGACCCGGGACATCCTACGACATATTCATGACGCGATTCCTGGTGACTGCTGGAGATGCAGATAAGTACAGCCTATCACATCTGGTGGACATGCCCTCTTATAGTCCCGTACTGGCGAACGATGAACCGCACAATTTAGGAAATCACAGGCACCGAACTCCCGCTACAACCCCTGACGATGCTGCTCAATCATACGCACACACCATTGAAAGCATACAAAAAAGGGCTCACCATACACCTGCTCACGGCGGCTAAGACACTTATCCCCACACACTGGAAAACCACAACAGTACCTTCTCTAGAGCAATGGATCGCTAGGGTGGAAGATATCTACAACATGGAAAAGATGACGGCCTCCTTGCAGGGACGCGCGGAAAAGTGTGCACAGACCTGGTACCCATGGGCGGACTACGTGGCCAAGAGATCCGGCGGCGGGCCCGCGTGGGGGGGAGGGGGCTGCATGTGCCCCGGGGCGGACAGGGGCGGGGGTCTAACACAGACTGGACACACACGCACAAGAGGACAATTCCCTGCACACACAATAATCCCTGACCCCACCCACCTAGACCGCTGACGGACATAACACTGACACACCTTAAACCAAGACAGCGGAACTCCCTCTCAGGACTACAGACGGATAAGGCATAAGACCCAGGGTGTAAACTTAGAGAAACGCAGGTCTCCACTGCCCAGAAACAAAGTGTTGCACACAAACCAGGGACCACCCCGGCCCCACACAACACCTGACACCACTGGCACAACAAACTCCAACGCCTAGTACTGAGACGGGGAACCAGTGACCGTATAACCTTCATCATTTGCACCGCAAGGAGCTACAACACAATGGGTACTAAGCCAAAGGGTGGTGGGAAACGGGGCCAGGGGTCCAGGGCCAACGAAGGAGTACACACAGCCCATGAAAGACACACACGCCATCTTACGGGGTCCCACAGGATACCAAACAGACAAGGGAGGGATGCTCACAGTGGGGGCTTAGTTGTAGAAATGGTGGGCTCTCAAACACGCACAACCTGCTCCACGGTTCACCACAGAGGCTTTTTTATTTTTTTTATTTATACTTCTTTATTTTGGTTGTGCATATATGATAGAATACAGGCAAGCTTATAATATGTCACATTGGCATAGGCAAGCTTCCATAAACACAAACAATGTATTATGACATATGAGGAACATGCACATTTTTATATTACGTGGTTAAACAAGCTTCAACATTCTATGTGAACAGGTAGATAACAGATGAGACTTGCACATTTTTAGGGTACGAGTATAAAAGAAGTGATCATGTCACTATGCATAGTGTAAGATATAAAACATGTTTAAGGGCAGGTCGCACAAGCAATAACAAGATTGTTATAAATAGTTTTGTGGCCTTGGAGCTAAGTTACCTGTCAAGGTTCCACCAGTAGCATTTAATACAGGTTGTAGGGTATCCATGTTAATCTATGATACTCAAGCAATAGTGGTAATAACGTGCTGCACCTGTTAGTTAGCTTATGAGAGATATAAATGTTAGCATAGAAGATTTTTTAGGCCTATGTCTGCATATTTATGGTTTGTACTGAGTAGCTAACAAGGCTTAGGGCCACTGGAAACAAGTTGCCTTTAAGGCAGTAACTAGAGCGAGGAGGTACAATAAAAGTAAAATTGCGGACAATAAAACAAGGCCTTAAAACAAGGGGAACCGCTTTTTCTCGTAATGCCATTTGTGGCAGGTATCATAGATTTTGCCTGTTCGAGGGATGGTATAGGTTATATGTATTGCCAGCCTTAGTTCCTTAAGACCCATAGTCTATGCAGTGACAGTTCTAGTTACTTGAGTCAATAGTCCGTGCAGCAACAGCAGTAAATGTGCCCTCTGGGTGCAAATACGGCATGTCCACTGAGAGACATAGTAGTCGGCTTCAGCCTATGCCCAGTGCAGGATTGTGCCTCTTGCTGTTGGCTTTCGTCTCTGGGAAACCGCTGGTGCATGCTGGCAGGCTGTATAGGACCGCTGCTGTGCGGGTGCGGGAACAGGTGATCCTCCAGCCCCAGGCTGGTGAGCAGGCCTGCATCACAGTGCCACAAACTCGGTGACTGCCAGAGTCTGAGTTTCCTCCTCTTGTGGGAGTGCCAGGGGGTCTGGTGGTTTGCTGCCGTTTACGGCGCTGGGACCTCCGCTGCTGTGGAAGATGCTTTCGGGCTTTAGCCCTGGGGGCCTTCAGCCCAAGTGGGCTACGTGGAATAGGGGTACTTGGTTGTGTTGTCGCTGCGCCCGAGGACACCCTCCTTGTTCCCTGCTGCTTGTGCCCTAGCTCACCGGCGTGTGTCTTGGTTTGTGGATTGGTCTGGGCTGTCTGTATGCGTTGGTCCAGTTTCTCCCAGAACCGGAGGAAAATTTCCTCGAGGCGTTGCAGGGTATCTGTGGCAGTTTTTTGATGGGGCCTGTAGCTTAGAGGTAGGCTTCGAGTATTTGGTGAGTGTTCAGCCGCCATCTTAGATGTGCCACGAGGCCAGCGTTTTTGGTGCTTCGCTTGATGCTGTTGTCTCGATTAGTGCAAGTTGTTCTCAACTGCAGTTCTGCATGGTGTCCAGGATAACCCCCACCGGACCGGGGGGGGAGGGAGAGGGTTGTGTTCGGGGTTTCAGTCGCTGTACTTGTGCCCGAAGAGCGGCCGTCTCTCCGTGGCTCAGTTCCTGGCCGGCTGCAAGCCTCAGTGCGCCTAGTTGGCTGTGCTGGAGCTCGGGAGTGGCACCTTTCGATGCAGCAGCCTCTCCTGGTTTCTGTTGTCGTGGGTTGCAGTCTGTCAGCCTCAATTTTTGGGCAGAAATCCCTGTTTTTTGTCCCCAGACGTGGGAGCTCTTGCTGGACACATCTGGGCTGCTTGGTTGCTTAGCTCCGCCCCCCCACCACAGAGGCTTTAACCCACTCTACAATTACAGCGTAGAACCCACGAGGCAACGGAAGACAGAGACGAAAAGCCCACTGCACACAGTTACTCAATCGTACAATTCCTTCAGTACGGCTTTGACAATAACGACTGTAGAGGAGGGTGTTGGGGGGGGGGGGAGAGGAAATTTGGGTAGCACACAGTTACATACATTAACCTTAAATCTGATGCCCTGTCATCCCAACACACAGGGGCATTCAGGTCTCACCAATCCCAGAGGCTCACAACTCCAATTTTTTTCACAGGGGTTCCTACTCTCGTCAGGAAAACACACTTGACACCCGATCTAACCCCGATGATTTATTTAGGCATGGAAAACATATACTACTCACTATACCACCTAGTATAAGAGATGAGACGTAGCTAAAAAGATTAACCTGAACAAGTATCAACAAGCTACGTTTTAATGTGTACAATGAAACTGCCTTAACGCACAATACTTTCTTTAAATATTGTACTATGTCTATGCATGTAACACTTTGATATATCTCAATAAAAATTTGATTGACAAAAAATAAAATAAAAAATAAAGTGCGAGTATACAAGTGCGGTATTGTGGTACACACAAAGAAATGTAAAGCAACATGCCAACTAGTTCACACTTGAAAGGTATAATATAAATACAACATGTATAGTGCAATCTTTTTTCTAGAAATATTTGCAATTTATGACAAAAAGTGATAATGCAGTAATGAGTCCAATTAAAACTTAATAATTTGAATCTCCAGGAAAATGGAATAATAACAGAAAATAGTGTAGTAAATCAAATACATTTGTCCTCGAGGAGGCATAACCACCTAGCAAAGCTAGTGGGTATGCGGCAGCTTCCCAGAGTCAAATGCCAGAGCTGAAAAGTTCGCACTGTGCATCTGCACAGCAACAGCATTTCAGCCAATCAGGTAATCAGGAGAGCCGTGCTGAGCGCGGGAATCCTGATTGCCTCAGATTTTTAAAATGGCATCATTGATTGAGGACTCTATTTCTGTGTCTGCCACATATTTAGTGGATGCCTCTCTTAAAGGCAGCCCCATCAGTGTTAGAAAGCTCCATAAGAGAGCTTTCCTTGCCAGGGATCTATCCTCTTCATCTTCTGAGGATGATTTGGTCCCAGTTTTAAGCAAAAAGAATAAAGGAAGGCGGCTGGTCTCTTCCGCCAGTTCCTCGTCTGAGGAAAACTTCTCTGCTCCTCCTTCCCCTCATACTCATTTGAGTAAGCGTAAAATTAAGGGGACAGGACCCCAAAAAAGGAATAGCGTGTTTCCCTCGTTTGAGCACCAGAAACACCTTCCAGAGAAAATGGACAAATCTCGTTGGAGGTTAGATAGTCCCTCTCCTTCCTCTTCTAGAGCGTTCGCTCACTCTTCCTCCCAAAGCCATTCCAGTTGCAGATACGGCTCTCCAGAAATAGACTGGGAATCCGAGGAAGTGGTACGTTCAGCAGCTTCCACTGAGCGAGGGAAGCTAAGCAATGTTCAGATGGCCAGAGTAAGTCTCCTAGGAAAGACTCTCCCATCAAAATTATTTCACTCCAGATGCGCTATGGAGCACGATTCTGAGGTTAGAGATTTTGCTAAACTAGCCTTCCAATCCCCCTTGGTTAAGGAGGATGACCTTCTCCTCAGGAATCACATTGGTATCCTGGACATTCAGGCTTTAATGGCTCCAGAAGTAGATCCTGCACTGTTATCTATCACAGGGAGCAGCGTATCCTCTGATCCCACAGACCAGACTTTTCGCAATATACAGTTCAAAATTGCTGATGCTGTGGGCCCACTATTACTGATGCTCGATAAGGCAGAAAAAGAAGGCAATGCTCAGAAACCTTCTGCTTCATCTCTGTTGGCATCTAAGATGGCTCTTTTAAAAGCGTCTGGCAGGGCAGTGCTAATAATTGGCCAATCCTTTAATTACATATCAAACATCCGCAGATCCCGCTGGCTCCATGCAGCAGGTCTGTCTGACCTAGCCCACAAATCGCATGAGTTCCCAAATCTGGAGGGTTCTTAACTATTCGGTCCCTCGTTCATTCAGGAGGCTAAAGGCCGTTACAAGGCAAGGAGATCCTTTTCAGAACTCAAGAAGTCCGTCCCTGGCTACAAAAAGCCATTTCGACAAAGGGTCACCCATATAGGGCTGCAGGAGCGTCCCGAGAAGCCTCTCACCAGGCCCAGTACCGCCACTACAGTGGAAGACACAAGCTTGTGGCAGAGGAGCGCAAAGAAAACCCATGCATTCAAGCAGTGGCGTCTCTAGGATTCATTTTTAGGGGGGGCACATGGAGGGCCAGGGACAAAAGTAGGGGGGCACATTTAACCCCGCCCTCGTCGCAGTTTGACCCCGCCCCTGACACAATGTGTTTTGTTTTTTTAATAATACCTGGTGGAGGATTCATTATTTTCCTCCAGGGATTATTAAAAAAACAAACACATTACCCTTGATACAGTGCCATAGTCGCCAACATTTGAAAAAAAATTTCCAAGGACATTTTGCAGCACAGCTATCAATTACTATCTGGGTATAATATCCCTGGACAGTTAGTGCTCTCTGTATAATACAGGGTTGTGTGTATAATAAATTGGGACACACAGTGCTCCCTGTATAGTGCTGCTCTCTGGATAATACAGGTCTGTTTGTGTATAATATCCCAAGACAGAGAGCAGCACTATACAGGGAGCACTGACTGTCCCGGGATATTATACAGGCACAGGCCTGTATTATACAGAGAGCAGCACTATACAGGAAGCACTGACTATCCCGGGATATTATATACACACAGATCTGTATTATACAGATAGCTGAGCATATACCCCATGTCCTAATCTCTAGACTACTAGTACCTGTCAACAGCAGCTCCCAGACACGTGTAACAGGGCTAAAGTGTGCAGCAGCTCACACAGATGATTCAGCGGTAAAGTGCACTCGCTGGCAGAGACAAACTGGGAATCCCTGGGAATCCAAAGCACAAAGCAGCCCTGGAAAAAAATGTATGCCATTCCTACAAGTCTATATATATATATATATATATAGTACAGTAAGCACACAAGCTCACTGACATGCACAAATAGGCTTACTGACAGACAAAACTCTCTGACTCACACACAAGCTTACTACAGACAAACTCACTTGTATAAACAGAAGGCTCACTACAAAGAAGTTCAGGGACACACAAGCTCACTTAAGACAGGCTCACTGACACACACATGCTCACTAAATAGAAGCTCACTGACACACACAAGCAGTACCATTTTAACAGAGTTAAGGGCCCCTGGGCAAAGCAATGCACCTGGGCCCTTCCTACACAACAACTCACAGGAATTTTAATTATTGATAGACTGCTGAGTCCATACACACACACAGAGACTGCTGAGTCCATACACACACACACACACACACACACAGACTGCTGAGTCCATACACACACACACACACACCGACTGCTGAGTCCATGCACACACACACAGACTGCTGAGTCCATACACACACACACACACAGACTGCTATGTCCATACACACATATACACACACACACAGACTGCTGAGTCCATGCACACACAGACTGCCGAGTCCATACACACTCACAGACTGCTGAGTAAATACACACACACAGACTGCTGAGTCCATACACACACACACAGACTGCTGAGCAGTGGCGGATCCAGAGCCTGATCTCGGGAGGGGCACTTGTAGATTATTTAAAGAAATAATCCAGACACAATAACCACTACAGCTCAGTGTAGTGGTTATGGTGTCAATAGTGCCGGGACCTCCTCCCAGAGTAAGTAGTCAATCCGTTTAAGAACAGTTTGACAACTTACTTGAGGTCTGCTGGGAAATGGGGCTGTAGTAGGGTATAGGAGCAGTGGTGTTTGTGAGTGGTGCAATGTGTAAGGGGTGCAGTGTGTATGTGTGTGTGTGAGAAGGGACAGTGTGTGAGCAGTATGTGTGTTTGAAGGTTGTAGTGTGTGAGTGAGGGCGGCAGTGTATGTCAGGGATGCAGTGTATGTGTGGGATAGTATGTGTGTGTAACAGTTGCAGTGTGTGTGTGAGTGTGGGCAATGTGTGTGAATGGGGCGGCATTTTATGGGGATAGTGTATGTGTGTAGAGTGTGTGTGTATGGGGAGCAATGTGTGTGTATGGGGGCAGTGTGTGTGTGTGTATGGGGGGCAGTGTGTGTGTATAGGGGAGCAGTATGTGTGTATAGGGGAGGGGAGCAGTGTGTGTGTGTGTATGGGGGGCAGCGTTTGTGTATGGGGGGCAGTGTGTGTATGGGGCAGTATTATGTGTGTGTGTATGGGGGGACAGTATAGGGGCAGTGTGTGTGTATGGGGCAGTGTGTGTATAGGGGGGCAATGTGTGTGTGTGTGTGTGTATGGGGGGCAGTGTGTGTGTGTATATGGGGGGGCAATGTGTGTGTATGGGGGCAGTGTGGGTATGGGGGGCAGTGTGTGTTGGTATAGGGCAGTGTGTGTGTTGGTATAGGGCAGTATGTGTTGGAGGGCAGGGCGTGTGGGTGTATGGAGGCAGTGTGTGTGTATGGAGGTAATGTGTGTGTATAGGGGCAGTGTGTGTGTATGGGGGCAGTGTTTGTGTATATAGGGGGCAGTGTGTGTGTGTATGGGGGCAATGTGTGTGTGTGTATGGGGGGGCAGTGTGAGTATGGGGGCAATGTGTGTGTATGGGGGCAGTATGAAGAGTGTGTGTGTATGTGGGGCAGTATTGGGGGCAGTGTGTGTGTGTATGGGGGCAGTGTGTGTGTATGGGGGGGCAGTGTGTGTGTATGGGGGACAATGTGTGAAGAGTGTGTGAACACCCCCCCCCCAAGCCTACCTGTCACTGGAGGCTGTTGCTCGGGGTCAGGCAGCCATCTTCTGCAACAGCATGGTCTGCTGCTTTATGATGGGGCGGGGCTTATGTACGGGAGGCGGGGCTTCGTTTGGGGGCGTGGCCTGTGACGGGGTGCCTGTCAGTGCTCCCTCCAGCCACAGACAGCCCCCAGCACCTCAGCACTGCATTCCCTCGGGCTGTAACAGACACACACACTGTTACAGTCCGAGGGAATATAATGGAAGCCCATGGCCAGCAAGTTGCTGGCATTTGGGGGGGCACAGCATGATGTAGGGGGGGCCATGGCCCCCTCTGGCCCCCCCCCCAGCGACGCCACTGCATTCAAGTAAGTGTGCCTCCTCATATGCAACTAAATTGGAAGGATATTTCCACAGACAAATGGGTTCTAAAGATTTTTCAAAGGGGTTTACAACTCCCCCTTTTAAGGTTCCCAGTCCAGAAATTTGCACCCCACAGAGAGGTGAACCCAGTGCTAGATGCCTCCCTTTCCTTAGCTTTAAGTTAAGGGAAGATAGAGTTGGCAGACATGTCTATTACAGGATGGGTCAGCCCATTGTTCCCAATCCCAAAATCAGACGGTTCCTGGAGACCGGTCCTAAACGTGAGGTCTCTGAACGCTTTCATCAAAAGGAAAAGGTTCAGGATGGAGGGTTTATCAGATCTTCCAGGCTTAGTACAGAAAGCTTTTTTCTGCATAAAGTTAGACCTAAAAGATGCATTCCATTCAGTCCCCATAGCCAAGAAACACAGGCGTTTTCTCTGGTTTCAGTGGAAAGGAAAAGTGTGGCAGTGGACCGTTATGGTGTTTGGCCTATCCAATGCACCATAAACATTCTCCAGAATTATGAAATCAGTGATAGCTCATGTCAGACTAAAAGGTTTCATGTGTCTGTATTATCTAGACGACATCCTGCTCATGCACCCAGATGGGGAAGTCCTTGCTTCTCAAAGGGATTACCTTTCTTCCCTTTTACAAGACCTATGATTTGTAGTAAATTTACAGCAATCAGTCCTAATTCCCACTCAAAGCATCCTCTTTCTGGGTTTCATACTGAACACCAGGACTATGTCTCTAGGAATCCCTCAAGACAAATGGGACAAATTACTGGTACATCTGACCTCATCCCTCAGGCACCAGGGTTGATCCTTGAGAGACCTAGCAAAGATTATCGGGAAATGAATAGCTTTAACACCAGCATACAACAATTCCCCCTTACTTTGCAGAAGAGGTCAGCTGTTTTTAGGGAATCGACTAAGACAGGGCGGCCATTGGGAATCAAAATTCGTTCTCCCCAGGAAGGTCAGAGAAGAGTTGAAGTCCATTCTGGAGTTAGAAATTGCACTTCCTCATCCCCTGTTAGAGCAGCCTGTGGCGGTCACTCTGATGTCAGATGCCTCAAGTCACAGTTGGGGTGCGTTTACAGCCCAGAACGCCATAAGAGGAATTTGGTCAGACCAAGAGAGTCACCTCCATATAAACATCTTGGAGTTAAGAGCTATAAAATTAGCTCTCCAGGGTCTAGTTCCTCTAAACCAGTCACCAACTTTGGTAAAAGTCCAATCGGACAACAGGACAGCAGTGGCTTATATAAACCACAGAGGGGGCACAAGATCTTTGTTTAGAGGCTCTAGATCTTTGGTCTTGGGCTTTAGCAAGCAATGTTCAGGTTTTGGCAGAATACGTTCCGGGAGAGGCGAACGAGCTTGCAGACTCTCTCTCTCGCCAAAGTTTGTCCCTGGTAACGATTCAATTAAAGAAAGCTCTATTCCAAAGGATAGAAAGCAATTTTGGCCAGAGACAGGTAGATCTGTTTGCATCCCAAACATCTGCACAAATTCCCAAGTTCGTCTCCAGGACCTGGACAAAGGGAGCTTGGAAAATTGATGCAATGTCTTTCCAATGGATAGATGTTCCAGCCCCTTATGCTTTCCCCCTCCATCTTTACTGATGAAAGTGCTGGAGAAGATCCGCAGGGACAGGGTACAGAGCTTAGTTCTCGTTTATCCAGTATGGACCTCCAGACCCTGGTATCCCCTGATCCATCAGTTAGTCAAGGGAACCAAGATCCCATTCGGCATGACAGTGGACTGCTTTCAGGGAACCAGCGATCTTCTGCTCAAGCTCCAACAGCTGATGTGGATCACAGCCCTGGTAGGCTGTTAACACATCCCCTTTTATCGGATCAGGTCTTGGATATTATTAACTCATCTTTAAGACGTAGAACTAGGGTAAGATATAGAAAGATGATCGAGCAATTCAAAGAATGGGAGGTTTCTTTTCTGTCTAACACACAGGGATCTGATACCGTTCCATTGGCTTTAGAATTTCTTACCCTTAAGTTCCATTCTGGTTTATCTGTCAGTTCAATCAAGACCTATGGATCTGCTTTAAACTTCCTGACCCCAACCTTACCCTGTATTTGAGATTACTAAAAGGGATATCCGTCTGCCGCCCATATACCCCACGCTACACGTCTACTTGGGATGTAGACATCTGATTAAATTTCCTTAATTCTTTGGATAATGCTAAAATTGATTTAAGATGGACTGCTATTAAGTTGGCTTCTCTGCTGTCTTTGGCCCTGGCAGCTAGAGGAGCCGAGTTAACTCAAATCCATATTTCAGATCCTTGATTGTCCAGGACCCCGGGAGGTTTCCATATTATACTAAAAGGCATTTCCCATTTTTCTCCTGGTCCGGTAGAATTGGATTTGGTTCAAGATCCTTCCGAACCAGGCTTATGTTTAGTCAGTTTGTTACAATCGTACCTTCAACTTTCTGCTGTATTTAGAAATGATACCAGTCAATTATTCATTACATCAAGGAATCCCTTTCGTCCAGCCAAGGTTAATACAATTAGAGGCTGGATACTTTCCGCCATGTCTTCAGCTGGTATTGATGTTTCTGTGTTCAAAAGCCATTCAATTAGGGGAGCCTCGGCTACTAAAGCAGCAGGAAAGGGCCTTCCTCTCCCTACTATCTTGAAAGCTGCTAGATGGTTGTCCAGTAAAAACTTTGTTAGATTTTACTGGAGGCCTTCAGAAGTTGAACGCCTTCAGTTTCTTAGGACCACCACCAGGTGTGTGCTATTCTACCCACGAGCTTTGCTAGGTGGTTATGCCTCCCGGAGGACAAATCAGAGTTTGCAGGAATCTATGATCTGCAAACTTTCTTTGTCTTAGGGATGAGCATTACCACCTAGCAATAGCGCCTGTCCCACCCTCCTCTAAGTTAAGGGTTTTGCCTGCTGGTGGTAGTTTGTTTTTGTAAAACATAAGGTTATCTGGTGCTTATTCAGCCTATTGATAACTGTTCTCTGTTTTGTTTTTTTACAGACTATAGCCGTACTCCAAGACAAGACCAACAAACCAAGGATCCACCTAAGTAGGAGGATTGGATGCTAGTAGTCTCGTCATTATGATATTCTCATGGACTCCCTGCATAAAGAATCTGTTTGCTGGGACTTGTTACAACATTTCTTTTCTCTTTATTGAACTTATTTTGTTGCAATTTATGATGAATGGTTCCAGTGTTCATTTGATACTTTCCTTTGCTATACATTGTTGCCTTGTTGTCAGCTCAGCTGTTTTATACAACGTTCCAAGTCTATCTTAAATGTCTTCATGACTTATTAAACATTTTTCTTGTTCCCCTGTACTATTGGCTACTTGAATTGTTTCATTTTGTGTTTAGATGTTTAATTATATTCCTATACACTTTGGGCAATATTTATCCTTAGTACTTCGTGGGATGTACTAACCATCCACAGTTTCCCAATTTTAAAAATCGGAGGCATTCAGGATTCCCACGCTCAGCACGGCAGATGCACAGCGCGAGCTTTTCAGCTCATCCCTAAGACAAAGAAAGTTTGCAGATCATAGATTTCTGCAAACTCTGATTGTAACACACCAAAGGAAGTTATATAATGCTCACTCAAATGGACCAGAGCCCAAAAACGGACTCTGTTAGAAAATGCCTTGGATTCCTTTTACGAGACTTCTCCCCTCTTGTGTAGTGGTGTAGAACCTCAATAACAGTGTAGTATTTCCAAGCATATGAAGTGGTAAATGGAAAACCACTCACCTGTTCCAGAGCCACTCTTCAGGCTCTATATGATCGCAGTGCATCCACTCATGGGGACGCCACCCTCTGTGGTGGAAGAGGTACTTTACAAAAAGGTATCAATTAACACTAATTGATAAGTAAAACATAAACAAAATAATATAAAAATGAAGATAAAATATAAATAAACAAAAGTATAAAATAAATATATGAAATATACAATCCACAGGGTAATCTCCTTATTGAAACATGTTTGGCTTGCAATTTAAGCTTCCTCAGTCTATATTGGAATTAATGGAAGATGGTTGGAAGAAGGTTGCTTAGTCTGATGAAACATGTTTCTTTTAGATAAGGTGGATGGCCAGGTGCCTGTGCGTTGTTTACCTAGGAAAGAGACTGCAGCAGGAAGCACTATGGGAAGAAGGCAGGCTGACAGAGCCAGTGTTATGCTCTGGGCAATGTTCTGCTGGAAAACCTTGGGTTCGGGCATTCATGTAGATGTGACATTAGCACTCACAACGTACCTAGAGATTGTCGCAAGCCCATGTACACCCCTTCATGGCAATGGTGTTCCCTTATGGCAGTAGCCTCTCTCAACAGGATAATACACCCTGCCATACTGCAAAGATTGTTCAGGAATAGTTTGAAGAATATGAGAAAGAGTTCAAGATGTTGCCTTGGCCTCCAAATTCCCCAGATATCAATCCAATTGAGCAAGTGTGGGATGTGCTTGAACATAAATCTGATCCATGGAGGCACCAACTAGCAACTTTGAAGGATCTGCAACTAGTGTTTTGGAGCCAAAAACTACAGGACACATAAATATACCCACATACATACTTGTATTTCCTGAGGGATCTCCCAAAAGCTTGCTGTTCCAATATTCTGTAAGTCCAATAAAAAAGGTATTACAAGACACTAAAATGTGAAAGATTAGAGACAGGTTGAGCCTAGCAATGGTAATAGTCTGTTATCCTCAACAGGTCAAAACTTGGGATATGTAAGGAGAATAAACACAAAATAGGCCTCTGACGGTGTAGTATTTTTCGAATTGACGTAATAATTTCAAGGGAATAGAAATGCATTCAAAATAAAAGAGCTGCCAACTAGCTCAAGACCAACAACCTGTAGCAATTCTCATTCCCTCGACCCCAAAGCCCCTCCATGTGTCTCAATCCCTCTGCCCCACAGCCTCCCCATGTGTTCCACACCCTCCATCTCTCCCCATCCTGTGTCCCATTCTTCCATCTCTCCCCCTCCCTTCCATGTGACCCATACCCTCTCTCCTCTCCCTTCTAACGTGTCCCACACCCTCCTTCTTTCCCCCTCCCCTCCAGGTGTCCCATATCCTCTCTCCCCCTTCCTTCCATGTGTCTCATACCCTGCCCCCTCCCTTCCATGTGTCCCATTCCCACTGTCCTTCCTCACCTGCCTTCCATGTGTCGCATACCCTCCCTCTCTCCCCCACCCCTCCCTGTGTCCCATTTCTCCCTCTCTCTCCCTCCCATCCCTGTGTCCCATTTCTCCCTCTCTCCCCCGCTCCCCCGCTCCCCTACAGGAGACCCATTTCTCCCTCTCTCCCCCACCTCCCCGTGTCCCATACCCTCCCTTCCCCTCCCATCCTGTACCTGGCTTGCAGCGGTTCCTGGTCTGACAGGAAGTGCTCTCACAGTGGAACTACGGACCTGGGCCGGTGCGGCTGTGCACCGGCCCATAAGGTATCCAGGTGGTCCACAGTCACAGGGGTCGCGGCTGCCGCCAGGACCCCTGGAGTGAGGGGTCCGGTCGCAGCTACGAGCCCTGCAACCGTGGTAGGTACGCCACTGAGTGTAGTATTTTTAGATTCACGTGGACTATGTAATAAAGGTTAAAAACACACTTACAAAATGCAGAGTTTCACAATAAACTCTAAGACAACAGAATGGAGCAGTACAATCCCCGCTCCAAGATACAGGTAGGTAGTTTTCTTCCAAGATCATCAGTGGGGTATATGATGTAAGCATAAATAGAGAATACAGTTGTGCTCAAAAGTTTGCATACCCTTGGAGAATTTGTAATATATGTACCATTTTTAAAGAAAACATGAGTGAGCAGGAAAAACACATTTCTTTTATTTCTTATTGGATTCATATCTAACTGTACTTTATGACAGAATGGCAGATTCATAAAACAAAACATGGCAAAAATAAAATAAAAAATGAAATTACCCCGGTTCAAAAGTCTGCATACCCTTTATTCTTTTTTCTTTTTTTTAATTCTTTTATTTATTCCAAGACAAACAGCAATGCCACATGTATTGCAAAACATTCGGTTCAATACAAAAGCAAAGGTTAACATTTGCTTAGCCACTCTATACATTTGTATCTGGCCGTCCAGTACATATCTCGTGGTAGTGCTACCTTCCTCTCGTTAACTCACAGATATCTCGTTATTTTCATGCACTGGATCCTCTTGTGCGCCTTGTAGATCCGTTCATCTTGTTTTTTTTTATTTTTCAATAACAACCAAAACTTTATAACTGTGTGCCTGTCTCATAACATACTTTGCATATAACATATATAACCCTTATAACATACTTTGCATATAACATATATAACATATATAACCCTTATATATATACTTTGCGTATAACATATATAACCCTTATATCCTACGTACATGTTCATACAGTGTGTGTCGTGCACAGTTTGGTTATACCCAGTAGCCTGGGACCCATTGACATTTAGGCTAATCGCTATGGTATGCTCTATATGGCTTCCCAGTCTATAGTCCGTATGCTTCCGTCCATATAGTTATTTTGGGTCAGGGCCCCTACCTTCAACCCTTTTTTGTCTTGACTCTGGGCCAGCCAGGGTCCGTTTAGTTTGCTGGAGTGTATGGGCAGTATCCTTGTACCACCCTGTACATGTGTTCAAGGGATAGAGGGCTTTAGAAGGGAAAGAAAGGTATAGGTAGAGAAAGAGAGAGAAGATGGGGTGGAGAAGAGGGGGGGTATAGGCAGCGGTTCAGCGCGGCCTGCTATTATTTAGTGTACGTATCTTTCTCAGGGGGGGCAAGATAGGGTGTAGCTGTGCCAAGGCTCCCACAGTCTATCGAATTTGGATGTGGTCCCTCTCAATCTGGCCGTCAGGCTATCCATTAAGTGTACCTCCTTTATGTTACCTATCACTCTCCGCCTGCAACCATGTTTGTGCCATCGTTCTCCTTGCGGCTAGTGCGATCTTATGGATCAGTTTTTGTTCCTCCCTAGTCCAGTCGTCTATGGGTCTGTCCATGGGTTTAGGTGGGGTGCTCTGTGGAAAATTCTATTTATAATTTTGTGTATTTTTGTCCAGAATGCTTCAACTTTAGGACATTCCCACCACATGTGTATATATGTGCCTCTGTGTCCGCAACCCCGCCAACAGTCATCTGTAGGTGTTTGTCGCATGCGATATAGTTTGACCAGTGTGGTGTACCACCTAAACTTTGTTTTGTAGGATTGCTCCTGTAGTGTTACGCAGATGGAAACGGAATGATTTGCCTCCCAAATGTCCCTCCATTCTTCTCCCTCCAGTACCTCGCCTAGGTCTATTTCCCACGCTTCTGTGTATGTCAGTGCTCCACACTCCTTTGTTTCTGAACACAAGTGTGTGAACATCGTAGTTATTAAGCCATTCCGAGTGTATTCGTCAAGGCACATTCTTTCAAAAAAGGTCAGAGGACCTATTGCCGCCTGTTGCACGAGTGGCTGCTGAACATCTCATATCTGTATATATCTGAAAAAGTCTGTGGGGGTGAGGTGTGTTGCCTGTTGGAGTTGGTTCATACACGTGACAAATCCTCTGTAGCCCCGCTTTTTCCAAGTTTGCTAATTCCCTGGCTGCTATACCTGGTGGGAATGCCCTATTTCTCAGAAGGGGGTTAGGGTGGACAGCATTGATGTCAGATTGTACTTGTGTGCGTAAGCATCCCATAATCTCAGGGAATTTAAGATAGCTGGGCATGTCGTTCTCAGGATTGGCCTATCTTCTCTGCGCACCCACAGCCCCTGTCATGAGGGATTCTAGATCCACCCATCTCCTCACCTCTAAAGGCGCATGCCACATCCAAACTTGTGCCAACTGCGCCGCTAGGTAATAGAAGTAGAGGTGTGGCAGGCCCAACCCCCCTTTGCTTCTGTCTATATAATATGTTCCTGGAAATTCTATGGCGACGGTTTTGCCATATGAAGTCGCCTATTGCTTTTTGTAGGTGGGCCAAGTCGGATTTCAACAATTTCACGTGTAGCGCTTGGGAGAGGAACAGAATTCTAGGTAATATATTAATTTTTACTGCGTGGATGCACCCAATCCAGGATATAGGTTTGTCCTGCCATTTTTCCATGTCTTGCATTAAGGTCCGAATCAGTGGGGCATAGTTCATTTGGTGTAGTTTGGTTGGGTCGCCTGGGAGTCGTACCCCTAGGTACTTAAGATGGTCTCTCACTATGGGGATGTTGTGGGTTTCCTGCAGCGTTGCTATGTCCTCTGCAGTCATGTCAATCGGGAGGGCGCTATATTTTTCTTGGTTCACCTTATATCCGGAGAAGGTTCCGTATTGAGTTAGTAAGTGTCAGGATTACTGTTTGATCCAGCACGTAGAACTGTACAGCACGGATGACAAATAAGTAACGTATCACCGGTCCTTAGAATGGCCGGATTTAACGTACAAAGAATAGTCAAAAATACTAGCCGAGGTCAGGGAACACAGAAAGGGACACAGCGATGAGGAAAGCCAGGAGTCAGGATACCAGAATATAGAGAAGTCAATAAACAAAGCCAAAGTCAAAAACCAGGTAGAAAACTATAAACAGGAACGCGCTCTCAGACAACCACAAGGGAAACCACGACAGGGCACTGAGCAGGCTGAGAACTGGGCCTAAATACCCCTCCTTTAGTTCTGATAGGCTGTAACCGGCCTTTGACCCCAAAGTCAGTTACCAGGTTTCATTTGCATAATTGCTGCTCAGCATTAACCCTTCTGTGGATTAGGTTGCTGCTCGGCACAACTTTTCCTGTGTGGACAGTAAATGTCATTAATCACTTTTCTCTAAGCGGATGAATACATGACACCAGGTTTCATTTGCACAATTACTGCTCAGCATTAACCCTTCTGTGGATTAGGTTGCTGCTCGGCACAACTTTTCCTGTGTGGACAGTAAATGTCATTAACCACATTTCTATAAGCGGATGAATATGTGACATTACCCCCCACCTGAAGAACGCCCACCGGGCGGACAGGACCAGGCTTGAGAGGAAATTTAGCGTGAAAAGCGCGGATCTTACGGCCCGCATGCAGGTCAGGAGCCGAAACCCAAGAACGATCAGCAGGACCGTAACCTTTCCAAACAACCAAGTACTGTAAAGTGCCCCGAGAAAACCTAGAATCCACGATAGAAGATACCTCATACTCTTCCTGACCACCCACCACCACCGGAGGGGGAGGAACACAAGGAACAGTATATCTATTGCAGACAAGAGGTTTGAGTAAGGACACATGAAAAGTGTTGGGAATCCCTAAAGATGCAGGAAGAGCCAGAGAGTAAGACACTGGATTGATCCTACGAAGCACTCTATAGGGACCAAGGAATCTGGGGGCAAACTTCATGCTAAGGACCTTAAGCTTGATGTTGCGAGATGACAACCAAACCCGGTCCCCCACTTGGTACACCGGGTTGGCACTCCTACGCTTATCAGCAAAATGTTTGAAGCGTTCAGCAGCAGCCCCTAGAGCAGTTTGAACCTTAACCCAGGTATCCCGAATGGAGGCCAGACGCTCATCCAGAGCAGGAATGGCAGTATCAGAAAATACCGCAGGGAGAACCGTAGGATGCCTACCATTATTGACAAAAAATGGACTGTGCCCAGAGGAGTCATGAACAGCATTGTTTCTAGCGAACTCGGCCCACGGGAGTAGTTCGGACCAATTGTCTTGTGTGCTATTAATAAAACAACGCAAATAAACTTCTAATGACTGGTTAGCCCTCTCAGCTGTACCATTGGTCTGTGGATGGTAGGAGGAGGAGAAGGAGAGATCAATCCCCAATTGTTTACTGAACGCCCTCCAGAATCTGGACACAAACTGAGAGCCCCTATCAGACACAATATTGTGGGGGATGCCATGCAAACGGACAATTTCACGTATGAAAATTAGGACAAAATCTTGCGAAGATGGCAACTTCTTGAGAGGAATGAACTGAGCCATCTTAGAAAATCGGTCTACAACCATGAGAATAGTAGTGAACCCAGCAGAGCTAGGAAGCTCAACAATAAAGTCCATGGATAGGTGGGACAATGGAATCTCAGGAACAGGAAGAGGCTGCAACAGGCCACAAGGAAGTGCATGAGTCACCTTAGAAACTGCACACACAGAACATGCCTGCACATACTCCTTTACATCTTTCCTGAGTGAATCCCACCAAAATGATCTAGTGATCGCGGCAGTGGACTTATTGATGCCCGGGTGTCCAGCAGTTATATTGTCATGGAACACTTTCATGATATTAACCCTTTCACATAGGGGAACGAACAGTTTATCACACGGTTTACCACTGGGCGCCTGAGGCTGGGCCTCCAGTATGGTGCCCAGCAGTGGAGAAGACAGTGAGAGGACAGTAGTAGCAATAATACACTCTGCTGGAATAATAGGAGATGTCATCTGTTCTGGAGCTGACTCATTATCAAATTGCCTGTACAAGGCATCAGCCTTGGTATTTTTAGAACCAGGTCTATAAGTAATGAGAAAGTTAAAACGTGAAAGGAACAGTGACCATCTAGCCTGTCTGGAAGACAAACGTTTGGCATCCCCTATATATGCCAGATTTTTGTGGTCGGTTATGATCAACAGGGGGTCCTTGGAACCCTCCAAAAGATGTCGCCACTCCTTGAGGGCAAGAATAATGGCCAACAGTTCTCTATTGCCAATATCATAGTTGCGCTCAGCAGGAGACATCTTTCTGGAGAAGTAGCCACAAGGATGCAATGGTGTTCCCTGGCTTTCTCTCTGACAGAGAACAGCCCCTACCCCTGTCTCGGATGCATCAACCTCCAATATAAAAGGTTTACTGGTGTCAGGATGTTTTAGTATGTCTGCAGAGGCAAATCTTTGTTTAAGAGTCTCAAAAGCATTCACAGCCTCTTTGGACCATACCGTGCTACTAACCCCTTTGCGAGTCATATTTGTGATTGGGGCTATTACAGAAGAAAATCCCTTGATGAATCTTCTGTAATAGTTGGCAAAACCAATAAACCTTTGAATAGCTTTTAAACCAGAGGGTAATGGCCAGTGTAGTACAGCCTCTAGTTTTTTAGGATCCATTTGAAATCCCGATGCAGAGATGTTGTAACCCAAAAAGTGGACTTCAGGCTGGTCAAATATGCACTTTTCTAATTTACAATAAAGTTTATTTTTCAACAACGTCTGCAGAACCTGTTTCACATGGGAGTGGTGAGTTTGAAGATCAGGGGAATACACCAAAATATCGTCCAAATAAACCAAGACAAATGAGTAAATGAATTCCCTGAGTACATCATTTATAAAGTCTTGGAATACGGCCGGGGCGTTGCATAACCCAAATGGCATTACCAGATATTCATAGTGTCCACTACGGGTATTAAATGCCGTCTTCCACTCATGATTCTCTTTAATTCTAACCAAATTGTAAGCGCTCCTAAGGTCAAGCTTAGTAAATACTTTAGCTCCCTGAAGTCTATCGAACAATTCAGAAATGAGTGGGATAGGGTATGCATTTTTTACAGTGATTTTATTAAGTGCCCTGTAGTCTATGCAAGGGCGTAACTCACCACCCTTTTTCTCAACAAAAAAGAATCCTGCACCAGCTGGTGAGGATGACTTTCTTATGTGCCCTTTGCTCAAGGATTCTTTGATGTATTCCTCCATTATTTTACTCTCCTGGGGAGATAAGGCATAAACTGCCCCCTTAGGTGGCATAGCGCCTGGAAACAGGTTAATGGCACAGTCATATGCTCTGTGGGGAGGCAATACATCGGATTGAGCCTTGTTAAACACCTCCTGAAGTTCTCGGTATTGTATGGGAACTCCAGGAGTTTGGGGAGTGGTAGTGGGAAGGTCAATAGTATCCAATCTCTTTAGTACTGGTTTTATACATCTCCCCATACACTCTTTACCCCATTCTAATATCTCCCCATTAGCCCAGTCAATATAGGGATTGTGCTTACTCAGCCACGGAAACCCTAATATGATAGGACATGATGGAGAAGTAATAACCTGAAACGTCATCTCCTCCCTATGGGAGGCCCCAATGGAGATCGTAATAGGGACAGTTTCGTGGGTTATAAGCGGTTGTGTGAGTGGTCTACCATCAATAGCCTCTACAGCTAGCGGCGTAGGTCTCTCCCTGACCGGTATCTCATTACCCCTAATAAACTGTACATCAATAAAATTTCCAGCAGCACCTGAGTCCATTAGGGCACTGCAAGAAAACTTCTTGTTATCAATGGAAATAGATACCTCAAGGAGGAATCTACTTTTGTTTTTGTTAGAGGACAACTCCATCACACCTAAGATCTGTCCCCTTAAGGTTCTTAGGTGCGGAAGTTTTCCGGACGCACTGGACAATTAGTTATCATATGTCCCTTTCTACCGCAATATAGGCATAACCCCTCCCTTCTCCTATACTGTTTTTCGGCCTCTGACAGTCTAGTGACCCCCAACTGCATAGGTTCGGGTTCGGACTGTACAGGGAGGTTAGACAAAACAGGTTTAGAGAATTGAGGTGCTAGGGACATAGCCGTACGTCTGGTCTTGCTTCTGGTGACTTCTCTGAGTCTTAACCTATTATCAATATGCATGACAAACGTAATAAATTCGTTAAGACTCTTAGGTAATTCTTTAGCGGCTATCTCATCTAGTATAGTCTCTGAGAGACCCTTTTTGAATGCTGAGATTAACCCATTGTTAGTCCAGTCTACCTCGGAAGCTAAGGTACGGAATTCAATAGCATAATCCGAGATAGACCCGGTCTATCTCGGATTATGCTATTGAATTCCGTACCTTGTCTGATGTGCATTAGGGCAGTGGAGGCGTCATCCTCTCTACCCAATGGCTCTATCCGGTCTATCTCGGATTATGCTATTGAATTCCGTACCTTGTCTGATGTGCATTAGGGCAGTGGAGGCGTCATCCTCTCTACCCAATGGCTCAAACGTGAGCTTGAATTCGGCAAGGAATTCCTGGTAATTATGAGCTATGCTCCGATTACTCTCCCACAACGGATTAGCCCAGGCAAGGGCCTTGCCCTTTAATTGATTCATTAGATAACCAATTCTTGCTCTGTCCGTGGGGAATGACCCTGGTGAGGCCTCAAAATGGTACTCCACCTGATTAAGAAAACCCCTGCATTCCTGGATATTGCCATCAAACTGTAGGGATGGTGATAAGGAGATGCAAGGAGTCCTATTAACAGTGGGTGGAGGTACACAGGGTAGAGGTGCTATAGGAGGAGACGCTGCAGGCTGCAGATGCTCCGTTCTAGCGAGAAGCGTACTTAAAGCCTGAGTGAATTGATCCATGCGGTGATCATTCTCCTCTAATTTCCTCTCACAAGCAGCTATGTGCTGACACAGTTCTACAGGATCTATGGCCATGTCGTAATGTCAGGATTACTGTTTGATCCAGCACGTAGAACTGTACAGCACGGATGACAAATAAGTAACGTATTACCGGTCCTTAGAATGGCCGGATTTAACGTACAAAGAATAGTCAAAAATACTAGCCGAGGTCAGGGAACACAGAAAGGGACACAGCGATGAGGAAAGCCAGGAGTCAGGATACCAGAATATAGAGAAGTCAATAAACAAAGCCAAAGTCAAAAACCAGGTAGAAAACTATAAACAGGAACGCGCTCTCAGACAACCACAAGGGAAACCACGACAGGGCACTGAGCAGGCTGAGAACTGGGCCTAAATACCCCTCCTTTAGTTCTGATAGGCTGTAACCGGCCTTTGACCCCAAAGTCAGTTACCAGGTTTCATTTGCATAATTGCTGCTCAGCATTAACCCTTCTGTGGATTAGGTTGCTGCTTGGCACAACTTTTCCTGTGTGGACAGTAAATGTCATTAATCACTTTTCTCTAAGCGGATGAATACATGACACCAGGTTTCATTTGCACAATTACTGCTCAGCATTAACCCTTCTGTGGATTAGGTTGCTGCTCGGCACAACTTTTCCTGTGTGGACAGTAAATGTCATTAACCACATTTCTATAAGCGGATGAATATGTGACAGTAGGCCTTTAAGAGCTGCCATGGACTCTGTGGGCCTCGTGAGGGTCAGCAATACATCATCCGCATATGTGGAGGCGAGGAACTCCTGCCCCGCCACCTTTATCCCCGTGATGCGCGGATGCTGTCGCATAGGCTGCATTAGCGGCTCTAGTGAAAGCATGAAGAGGAGCGGGGAGAGGGGACAGCCCTGTCTAGTCCCATTCCCCAACTTAAAAGGTTTAGGCCCAGATCCGGCTATTTTGACTTGCGCGGAGGCGTGGTCATACATGGCTTTGATTGATGCTACATATCGTTGTGGGAAGTTCAGATATTTCAGTAGACCGAATAGGTACGGCCATTCGACTCTGTCGAAGGCCTTTTTGGCATCTATTGATACCAGTAGCGTTGGTGTATCGTTGGTCTTTTGGCGCCAGATGAGATCGATATTCCTCCTGGTATTCTCAAAGAGCTGTCTGTCTGGCACAAATTCCACCTGGTCTGGATGGATGAGCGTTTTTAGTACAGAATTCAATCGATCCGCCAAGATTTTCGCTAGTATCTTTATGTCATGATTAATCAGCGAGATCGGTCTATAGTTGTCGGGGTGTAAAGGGTTCCTGCCTGGTTTTTGGAGAAGTATTATGTTGGCTAGGGACTTCAGCCATCCATGAGGCCATTGAAGAGTCGTTCCAAACATGGTGAAAGTTCCTCACCGAAAGTCTTGTAGTATGTCCCATCAAATCCATTTGGTCCAGGTGCCCTGTTGCCCTTAAGGCCCCCTATTGTTCTGTCCACTTCTTCCCCTATTATGGCCTCGTTGAGGAGCTGTGCCGCTGTGGTCGGAAGTTTTGGTAGGTCTAGGTCCTTTAGGAAGTTCTGCATGTGTACCATAGCTTCTTCCTGCGAGGTTTGATTTCTTGGTGTGTGGTTGTAGAGCTTTGCATAGTAGTCAGTGAAGACTTGGGCTATATTTGACGGGGAGTTTTTAATCGTGCCATCGCTATGCTTGATTGTGGTGATATGTGTACGGTTTTGTCGTGGTCGTAGGGTTCTGGCCAGCAGTGTGTCCATCTTGTTCGACTGTTCGTAGTATGTCCTCTTCGTCCAATTGAGTGCCTTTACTGTGTTGGCCATCAATAGCTCAGAGATGGATTTTCTGGTCTCCCTTAACTGCTCCATGAGTTGTGGGGTTGGTGATGTTTTGTGTTTTTGTTCCGTTTTCCTCAATACTTCCAGGAGCCGCGCCACCTCTTTGGTTTTATGCGCTTTCTTACGTGTTGCCAATTTGATGCATATGCCTCTGATCAATGCCTTGTGCGCTGCCCAGATGGTGTTCGGGGCTACGTCCTCCGTTTCGTTTTCTGTGAAATATTTCTGTATTTCCTCGCGTATTTCTGCTTGTGTTCCCTCGTCCCATAGCAAATGGGAGCTCAGTCTCCAGTTCCATGGCAATGCCGTGCAGAGTTGATCCATTGTTAGGGAAATGTCGGCGTGGTCTGACCACGTAATGGAGCCGATTTTGGACTCCGTCACCCTAGCCATACTTGTGTTATTCACAAGGAAATAGTCAATCCTTGAGTAGGTTCCATGTAGTGCGGAGTAAAATGTATAATCTAGCTCCCCAGGGTGTTGGGCCCGCCACACGTCCAACAAGCCAGTACTCTGGATAAAGTTGCAGAGCAGCCTATCCTGGCTACCTCTGCCCTGCAACCTCTGTTGGCCTGCTCTAGTGCTCCTGTTGACGGCCGGGCTCGGTACGGCATTAAAGTCTCCCCCATTATTAGCATACCGTATGGTAGGGCCTTTATTTTTTCAGTCTTTTTCCCTCAGAAGTCGGGGTCTGGTGTATTGGGGGCGTATATATTAATAAAGTAAACTGGATGGGAATATAATGTCCCTGTCAGGATAACGTACCTCCCTTCTGCGTCCTTTTTTGTTGTAACCACTGGAGGGTTAACTTGTCCTTATGCTTAGGGTCATTGTCATGCTGGAAAGTCCAAGTCCATGCGCAGCCTTCGTGCAGAAGAATGCAAATTACCTGCCAGTATTTTCTGATAACATGATTCATTCATCTTAACATAATTTTTCACAAGATTTCCTGTACCTTTAGAGCTCATTCCAAATTACAGTGTACCAGAAGCTGGGAGGCGTGTCAAGGTGTTGTCGGGCTTTTTTTATGGCATTGGCGCAGTAAATGCTTCTTTCTGGCAACTCGACCATGCAGCTCATTTTTGTTCAAGTATAGTCGTATTGTGCTCCTTGAAACAACCACACCATGCATTTCCAGTGCAACCTGCATTTCTCCTGAGGTTACCTGTGGGTGTTTCTTTGTATCCCGAACAATTCTTCTGGCAGTTGGGGCTGAAATCTTTCTTGGACTACCTAACCTTGGCGTGGTATCAAGATATCCCAGAATATTCCACTTCTTAATAAGTGACTGAACAGTATTGACTGGCATTTTCAAGGCATTGGATATCTTTTTATATCCTTTCTATCTTTATAAAGTTCCATTACCTTGTTATGCAGGTCTTTTGAGACTTCTGTTCTGCTCCCCATGGCTCAGTATCTAGTCTGCTCATTGCATTCATGTGAGAGCTAACGCATTCATGTGAGAGCTAACAAACACATGGTCTATTTATACATAGACACTAATTGCAATCTAAGAAGCCACAGGTGTGGGAAATTTACCTTTAAAGGACCACTATAGTGCCAGGAAAACATACTCGTTTTCCTGGCACTATAGTGCCCTGAGGGTGCCCCCACCCTCAGGGACCCCCTCCCGCCCGGCTCTGGAAGGGGGAAAGGGTTAAAAACTTACCTTTTTTCAGCGCTGGGCGGAGAGCTCTCCTCCTCCTCTCCGCCTCCGATCCGCCCCGCTGGCTGAATGCGCACGCGCGGCAAGAGCTGCGCGCGCATTCAGCCCGTCGCATAGGAAAGCATTTACAATGCTTTCCTATGGACGCTTGCGTGCTCTCACTGTGAAAATCACAGTGAGAAGCACGCAAGCGCCTCTAGTGGCTGTCAATGAGACAGCCACTAGAGGATTAGGGGGAAGGCTTAACCCATTAATAAACATAGCAGTTTCTCTGAAACTGCTATGTTTATAAAAAAAATAGGTTAACCCTAGAAGGACCTGGCACCCAGACCACTTCATTAAGCTGAAGTGGTCTGGGTGCCTAGAGTGGTCCTTTAATTGACATTTTAACCTTGTGTGTCTGTAACAAGGCAAAACATTCAAAGTATGTAAACCTTTGGGTGATTTCTGTAATCATTATGATTTAAAAAGAGGCCAAACACCTGTGTGGTAGTAAATGGCTTCATATGATCACTAACCAAGGCCCAATATTTTTGTGAAAATCTGAACAATAACATATGAAACTCTAGAAACGTTTGGAAAGTCATAAATTAATTAAAAACACCCCCAAACCACTTCCAACCCTGCACTGTCAAAGTAGATAACCAAAACCTGCAACTTCCCTTAGATGTTGCAGATGCCTTTAACAATTATTGTGTCGGATGCTCCACTACTCTGACTGCCAAGCTAATTAATGACACACATCCTGAAACTACAAATGTGGACCAGGCCCCACTAATTTTGCAAAGACCCAATACAGACAAGTTAAATTTTAGACCTGAACCTATTACTGTCATTAAGAAACACCTTAATAATCTAAAAATGAAAAACCAGTCTGGACCTGATCAAATCCCAGCAATGCCGTTGAAGTTCAGTGCGCTGGCAATTGCTAAACCTGTCACAACACTAATTAACGAATCCTTGCTATCTGGATACATAGCCAAACTTTGGAAGACTGCAAGAGTAGTGCCTATCTATAAAGGTGGTGACACTACTTTGGTTTCTAACTATTGCTCAATATCACTGCTCCCAGTATTGACATATATAAAAAAAAATCCATCTATACGCAACTATGTGAGTATTACCAACAATCAAACTTTCAGACCCCTTATCAATCGGGTTTACACCCGAAAAACTCCCCTACAACTGTCCTCTTAAAAGTTTGCAATGACATCCA